GGTCATTCGGCAGTCTGAAGAATTCTCCTCCTAAGATCATTAGTGCCTTGATCCCGCCCCCGTGATGGTGCCCATCAGGAAGCTCGGTAAATGCTCGCCGCTGTCATCATCAGGCTCTCTGCCAACATCATGCAAGTGAACAACACCGAGACGCAGAACGACAATCATTTTCAACCTCTCTGGGGTCCTGTGAGGTGGTATGCAATCGCCCCGAGATCAGGGAGACCAGCAACATATATGGCTTGGAGGAGAGCGTGTTCCTAATCATGAATGTCCCGATTCTGTAGTGTCTGTTTAATCTTTCTCCCGGAAATACCTAAAATAGTTCAAGGTCGAGAAGATTGAGATGGGAAAACAAGTATTTTTTTTTTGGTTGGAAATATAGTTTTCATTCATTAGGATAAAAGGATGAGCATACATAATTGCAGATTCAGAACAAATAAGAGCACAAAGGGATGAGCATACATAATTGCAGCTTCCGTTTGAGCTGCAGAGGATGCCATGACTATACGAGCGAAGCCATCCGCGAGAAGACCCGAACTATCGCAATTCATGTCCTCCACGAAAGAAGAAAAAGCCACCGATCGTCACGAAAGTCAGGAATGAAGCAACTAAAGCCACGAACGATCCTCTAGCCAGTATTTGTGAGAATTATTCTTCCCAGTGATTAACTACTATATATATAATTCAGTTTTCTTCTCGATTTGCGGAGTACAAACATGTTGACCCTCTACTTAGCATATACCTGAATTGAGCATAAGTAGATCCAATGTTGTAGTATATGGTTTTGAGACCGAAGACCTAAGCTACATAAATGGCTAAAAGCAACCGGTAGGACCCTTGGTCACGGCACATGTTCAATGAAGATCTTCTACTAAGAGCAAGACACTGTGTCCCAAATTTTGCATAGCTTCTCTCTTTCACTGGAGGTCCGTGACTCTGAAAACAGTTGGAGAAAAAAACGATGGCGATCATTGTGAAGTTTTCATGACCGAAGACAAAGTGTTGTTGATCCTTGGATTCCTTCACCTGTAATTAGTCCCATGAGGAATTTCGGCATGACTCTCTACCAGAATCATACAGGCAAAAAGAGTCGATGCGAAGTATATAGAGTGTCCGAGGCTTCTCTGAAGTCCTGCGCAATAGTAAGTGATGGCTCTGGGAACTAGGGAAATGATAAGTAAGAAGGGCATAGATGACAGGGTATTGCCAGAACAAATGCACTTGTTCTGTAATGTCCATTTAGTCTTTCCCTCTCAAGCACCTAGACAAAGGAAAGGATGAGAAGGGAGGTAAGTCAGATTTGAATCATGAAGTTGTGTGCATCTCCTAGAAGACAAATGAGTATTTCCCAACCTTCAAATCCTCCACAAAGGAAGCAAAACCCCCCGATCGCCATTACCGTCAAGAATGAAGCAACAAACATTAGCATTGAACCTCTGGCCTGAATTAATCAAATAAATTACATCAGTCTATTAAGATCATTAAGCATCACTGCCGTTTGATTGAAACGGAGTCAAAACAACGAAGGACATAAAACAACATCTTGCATGCAAAGATGGACCTTACCTGAATCGAACTATCACCAGAGGCGATGTCACAGAAAACTGTGCCTAAGCCTAATCCCAAGGCGATATATATGACAACACTCGGCCAGTAGTGTCCTGGATCCCTATACATGTTAACAAATACCTCCTTGTAAGGACGGGGAATTGGGTGAAGAAGCAAGCTTGGCCGTCTTTGTCTTGTACATTGTCAACCTAGGACAACGCCATAATAAACATTAACATTCACTAATGCCAATATCCTCTATTTAGAGATTCGATATAAGTGCTAAATTATGCAACTTACTTGTCGACATATCTGGATATGCCAAGTTGAATTTGCCTGTAGACATTAGATGATATAGAAGATCTTACGAGTAAAGAATGTAAATGTCTATTGTGAGTTCTGTGTGTTAACCTCAGAGACAATTCTTAAGAAAAACATTGTCACCATATATATAGTAGACACTATACCCAAGTGATTCATGGAGTCGAGTTAAAATACTCGTAAAAAAAATGAAAGATGCCAATATATTTTAAGATTCACAATTTTCTCTTATTCGGGTATTAGCTTTACAAATAAAAGCCGTTAATTCAATTGAGACTGTTACACGTTGAATGAATCTATTCTCTCCTTGAATTCCATAGTAGGAAAAAGTCCTATTGTATAAAATAGGGTTAACATTGTCCAAAATTCCTCAGAGGTAGGGATTAGCAGCTTCTTGCATATACATTATATAGATAGGGAGGACTAAATCATCTCCAAGGTACTGTACCTTTAATTTGTGCTTCTCCAATACTATGGTATAATGCAAATATGATGTATGATATGGCCAAATTTCATCATTTTCAATGGGCCTCAGGCCCTCAGCTTGTATAGTCAGGCCTAAAAAGTGAATAACATGGCCCTGAAGTACCATTATTTTCCTAAAAGATGGTTCAAAATAGATCTTATTTTAAATAAGGACCTAAAGTGATCATATCTGTCTCAAAAAAGAATCTAACCTCATCGGCAGGCCAAATCTTCCTACTAATCATGGACATTTTTGTCCAAAGATATTTTTTTTTATTGGGTTGTCGGAACTCGTCGGTCATTGGCGAGGGTCACGACCCTTGCCTATATTTGGCTGAGGCCATTGCAGCAACGGACGAGGCTGACCTTTAGGCTATAGTGGCCGCAGAGGATTCTTAATATTTTGATGGTAGTTGTCGGAGGCTAGCCGGATTTGGGTGAGGCGTCGCGATGGTCTGGGTGAGGCCAGCCTCGCTGACTGCGCTTGCCCAAATCTGGGCGAGGCCGAGCGGGGGCTACGACCCTCGCTAGCGGCCGGCAAGGGTTTCGCGACCCTTGTCCAGCGGTTGACAAGCTCTGGCGACCCTCGTCGGCCACTAGTTAAAAAACATAAAAAGAAGTGAAAGAGAAGACGCAACCAAGAAGAAGATAAAGAGGGAATAAAAAGAAAGAAAATTACCTTTGGACGATAATACCCTTGATCATCCTATAAAGTTACTCTTTTTTAAGTCAAATATGATCATTTTAGATAAGGTCCACATTGAATTATCTTTTAAAAAGAAATAGGCTATTTCGTACAATTAGTGCGAATTTTTCCGGTTATTAATTCCGAGTTCTTTCCTACCTAACCCGAGGTACCCTCGGTCGGTCGTATCTGGCAGCATTGCCAGTCCCCATCAATCCGGCTCTCTCCCACAGTGCATGATTGCGAAATAGCTTTGGCTTAACATCCCTACCCAATCAGCGTTCGGAAAGTATATTATTTATTCAGGAGTTGCTTCTGCCTCCGGAAATTGCTTCTTCAGTTTAATATCGCTGGAATTTGGAGTCATTCGTCACATCATCGTTTCTTTTCTGTCCTTTAATTAGGCTGCCGTTTACCTCTGGCATTTTATATGGCGCCGTGGTTCAGCGAAAAACCAGGGGCGACTTCACTCACTCGACATTCTCAACGTCAACGCTCGGCTAACTCCGTCGCTCTACTTGACCCCCCTCCAAAAAAAAAAACCGGAAGAGAAAGCTCCGTCGGTCTATGATTCGTGCTCTTTCAAACCAGACCAGTTCAAGCATTTAAAACGGGTCCCCCTGCTTAGTGCTTATGATCTAATTACAGTCGTATCCACGTTTCCTTATTGATTCTTCGGCGCCTCATCCGCGGCTTGGTCGGACACAACAGTGGATCCTAGGAACTTCCCTTGTCACGATCTTTCTTGGATTGGGACCAGATTGAGTCGCTGGGGTTTTAGTCAAATGAAAGCTGCGCGACCTGCATATGTCTGTCAACAAAGTTCAACTCCCAGTCGCTTTCAAGTCATTTATTAATGTGTTCTCGCATAAAGAGGTGGTAACAGTAATCCTTCCTAATGCAGGCCAGATTGCGTGATTCCTTTGCCCTCACTCCACGTTTGTATTAACTTTTCATAGTTGTAATGTAACGAATTCAGAAACCAACAAGGAGCGGTTCGATCAACTCGTATGCACTGATCATTTCGATAACGGAACTGATAAAGCCCAATCATGATTCCGCAGTGAGAATTACTGGATTTCGGGTTCGCGATTTTGTCGGAGTTTCAACGAACAGGTTCCAAACAAAGCTCAAAACTGAAGGACTATTCGCGTCTGGAGTCGAGAAATTGACTGAGACGATGGTGCGAAAAGCCTTGGAATCCATCATGGCTCCCGACGAAAGAATGCGTTTCAAGAGCACTTAAGAACAGTGCTGCTGACATGGTCAAAGTGGGCGAACGGTCTCATGCGCCCGAAGCTCCCCTCTTCATGGACTTTAGCGGGAGAGAAAAAAAACAGAAAATGGCAAGCTTACGTAGATTTTAACATGCTTTTCCTGTATATTCAAAGTACATAGCCACCGAGAAAGGACTAATCGGCAGATATCATGATCAAACGGGGTTTTCGCGCTGCTGTAGTTTGACTTGCCTTGAGGGTACAAACTAACACCATTATTCAGTATTAAATTATTAATCATGGCATGCATACGTTGACCTCCCCCCTCTGGTCTTACACTATTACTCTACAGCTCTTTCTCACCAAGCTGCGGAATACAGCCAAAATTACAAATACACGTTAACGATCTTTATGATTAGATCTGATTGTTTGGTGACATTCTCTACTGATTAAGATAACATCTATTCAATTTCATTGAGACAAAACCAAGTAATAAAATTGTCCATGTTGTAATCATGTTGGAGTATATATTCCTCATACCAATCGTGTAAAGATTCCTTTCTATGGCAGACTTTTGAAGTACGTATTTATTTATATACGGACCCTAGGTCACGGCAATTTTTGTGCTGCATCTTATTTTTTCACGGGCTGAATTCCCTACAGAAAGTTTCCACGCTTTGAATTTCGGTCAGCACTGGCTGGCTCAGTGGCCCCCCAACTCTCCCCCTATAAAAGACAGTCATCTGCTCACCCCAAAAGCACACATTCATCGCTTCACTGCTCTCTCTCTCTCGAGCACCAAACTTTCTAACCATGGAGCTCCTGCTTCTCGTCTCGCTCTCCTCCGTCCTCGCCCTCTCCCTCATCGTCCTCCTGTTCAAGCACAAGTTGAGCGGCGGCCCCAAGCTCCCGCCGGGCAGCTTCGGGTGGCCCATCCTCGGCGAGACCATCGAGTTCCTCTTCGGGAACCCGGAGAAGTTCGTCGGGGACCGGATGAGGAGGTACTCGTCGACCGTGTTCAAGACCAAGATCCTCGGCGAGAAGGTGGCCGTCTTCTGCGGCCCCGCCGGCAACAAGTTCATCTTCTCCAACGAGCAGAAGCTCGTGACCGAGTGGCGGCCACACTCCATGCAGAAGCTCATGCGCTCCTACGAGGCCAAGTCACCGGCGCCGCCCCCGACCAACCCGAACGATTCCAAGACCAAGGTGCTGCGCCAGCCTGGGTTCCTGAAGCCCGAGGCCTTGTCCCGCTTCATGGAGCAAATGGACTCGACCACGCAACAGCACATGAAGCTCCACTGGGAAGGCCAGAGCAAGGTCCTCGTCTTCCCGGTCTCCAAGAACTTCACTTTGTCCCTCGCCAGCAAGTTCTTCCTCGGGCTCAACGAGCACGACCGCATCACGAGGCTCGCGAACGAGTTCGACGACGTCTCCCTCGGGCTCCACTCGATCCCCTGGAAAATCCCGGGGACGATATTTTACAACGCGAGCAACGGGGCCACGGCGATCAGGAAGGCGCTCTTGTCGGTGATCAGGGAGAAGAAGGAGGCGCTGGCGAACGGCGCGAGGTCGCATGACATACTGACGTACATGGTGGCGGCAGCCGACCCGGCCACAGGGAGGATGATGCCCGAGACCGAGATCGCCGACAAGATGATGGGGCTGCTGACCGCCGGATACAGCACGGTCGCCGGTGCCATCACCTTCCTCATGAAGTTCGTCGCCGAGAGGCCCGACATCTACGACAGGATCCTCGCAGGTACATTTAGCCCTAGGACAAAAAATATTAATTTCAGCACAGTATGTTGATAATATCGTCTTGTTCTGACATGCGGACCATCAGACCAAAAAAAAAATTAAATAACATGCCTACCGTATTCACGGTAAAAAAAATGAATAATATGCAAAGAAAAATCTGACGATTGCCCAGAATAGATCAACACCTGAAGTTTGACATTATTTCTTTGGGTGGGAAACAGAGCAATTAGAGATCAAGAAATCCAAGAACCCTGGTGAGACACTGGTGTGGGAGGACATCCAGAAGATGAAGTACTCATGGAACGTGACGAGCGAAGTGTTGAGGCTCACTCCGCCTTTACAGGGAACTTTCAGGGAGGCCATGACCGACATCACCTACGAAGGTTACACCATTCCCAAGGGCTGGAAGGTAATTTTTCGCTTCGTAACTACGTGATTCCCGAATATCATCAACCCACATTTACGTTACTAATCTCTCTTTGCGGTGGTTCCGAATTGCTAGATCTACTGGACGGTGAGCAGCACGAACAAGGACCCGACTTACTTCCCCGACCCGGAGACGTTCGACCCGGCGAGGTACGAGGAAGGGAACGCAGCGCTCCCGCCGTACACTTACGTCCCCTTCGGCGGAGGGCCGCGGCTGTGCCCGGGGAAAGAGTACGCGCGCTTGGTCATACTCACGTTCCTCCACAACGTGGTGAACAGGTTCAAGTGGGAGCTGGTCGACCCCAAGGAGAAGATCATCGAGGACATGATGCCCGCCCCATCGAAAGGGCTCCCAGTTCGCCTCATTCCTCACTCGGCATAGATTCAACTCCCCCACATACCGAGTCCGCCGCCTTATTTTCAGACACGACGTGTTACACGTTTCGCCTTTTTAAGCTTATTCTAATTAATTCCTCTGTATACTTTCTAAGATGTCGATGGTAAAATATGGATGTAAGAAAAATTTACTTACACATGTGTGTCCATTATAGTGTCGATTCGTCATCTAGCAAAATGGGAACGGGAAGATGAGTTGTAGAAAAATGTTGGGAAACATAAAAATTCCGGGCTCGGTGTGAATGCGTGGAAGGAGACAAAGATAGATTGTCCTACGTGAACGCGACATTTCCGCGTTTGTGTCCCCACTCAATTGTTTTTCTCTTTTTTATCGGTGGAACCAAGACTTCAATGAATATATTTTGACGCGTACAAGAGAAGAAAAAAGAAGAAAAAAGGGTACAAGAATTTGTTATATATTCACTCAGGTGAAAACTCTGACCGGAGCGGAGTACATAAGAGAAGAGAGAAAGGAAAGAAAAGAAAATAAAGGGCATGGAGTTAATAAACCGGTGCTAGTAGATGTGGCAGGAGAATTCTTAGGGGTGTTCGAATCATCGTCGGCGGTGGCCGGAGGAGGAGGAGGCAGAGCAGCACTGGGGCGGGGTTGCAGCTGAGACTGGGCGGGAGAGATGTTGGGGGCGGAGGAGAAGAGGTCGACTCGCTCGGATTCAGCTATGTGGCCGCCCTCCAGAGGAGTCCCGTGCTTGTAAGCGACTCTCAGCGTCCCATCTACGGCCACCTTCGCTTGTGCTGTCCCGTATTGGATGTCCTCCTTTCACTTCGCCATCTCTCCCTCTCTCTCGCCCGCCTGGCCCTGACCCTGGCCCTGGGGGTTGACTGTGACTCCATATATGGCCTAACTCACCATTACGAGGCAGTCTCTTCCTCATCTATGATAACAACTGTCGTTGATATAGGGCGACCAGTGGCTTCTCTGCTTGCGCCCCACGTGAGTGTGCAAAATTATTATAAGGAATGCACAATCGCGTTGAAAGGCATAACGAGTGAGCCGCTCAAGATGAGCCAAACTCAGCTCATGAACCACAAGGTTCATAAGATGATTATTTGCCTTCTATTATAAATAGTTGACTCCCAAAGGAAAATGCACGTGATTTTTACATACACAATAAGACACCTCTTCGAAAGAATGTCTTTTTCGGTTTTCCTTCGAAATACTAGTAGACACTAAAAATAATTGAGGATCGCCCTCGAGTGTGCAAAGTGGCATTTAATCTGTGAAAATACCGGGTATGTTCGTTATGTGATATGCATGCACGATTGGTGATACAAGTTGATGATTATTGGGCACGTTTTTCGCATTATTCGAATTTGTTTCGAATATGTTGACCGAAGAATTTATTTTCCCAACATGCATTATTCTGAGTTTACACTCTATGATCTGATACATGTACAGGTCATATTTTTAAGAAAATGCTTTCACAATTAATTATTTTTCGCCAAATAGACAAAAACCCAAAAGCCTTTAATTAAAATGACCGCGACACCTTCCCTTGTCTAAAAGTTCGAACAATCTTAGCATCACATAGCATCACACATCTCCAAACACCCAAACTCTCAAGCCATCTTTGCCACCACCTTTCTCGCCGCCAATCACCACTCCGCCATCACGGGCTGCTTTGCCACCACCAAGCCGCTACCCGTCGTTGCACCGATCTTTTCCTTTCTTATTATCCGCTGCGGCTCTATTGGGGTGTGGTTCACACTCCCCCCTAATAGGAAGGTACAAGGGTCCCCCGCTTCCCGGCGAACAAGTGGGGATAGGGCCGCCCCGACAGGAATCGCGGGAGCAACGCCCCTGAACCGTCAGAGGGTTTTTATTGTTTAGGCCCGTAATTTACTTATAGTTTGGGCTTAGACCCATATATAATTACTGAGTATAGATATAACAAAAATGTGCGATGTGTTAATTATAATGAAAATTTTTTATGGACGTAATCTTAATTTAAAGATAAATCGAAATAAAAATTTTATATCTCCATTTTCTTTTCTAAGGATGGCAAAGCGGTGGTCGCAAGTAGACCGCAACAGCGATGTCAGTTGGAGGCGCAAAGCAGAGAGCATCGAAAATCTGCGTCAATGATGATGGTACGTGGTGGAGATTAAAGATATCAAGTTTATAGGTTATCGGAGCTAAAGCTTGGATGTGGACACAGGTGTGAAAAAGTGGGAAAGTGGTTTTCGGATAGTGAAATGACAAGTCTGTAAAATCCAGGCACGTCTTTAATAATTTACCAACCCTTTAATGGCCGATCCCAGTTTTCAGGTAAGAAGTTATTAGAAACTCTCACTGGCCGATCCTCCATCCACCGTGACCATCAATCATGAAAATTGTATCATTGCATCAGAGCGTGCACCACTGATCATTGCATGCCCTGGAATAGATCTCTATTTTTACACCCATTACAAGATGACTAGCTATAAAGAGTGGGATTCACATAGGACGGCAGTCTCTCTCCTAGGTACACGTGAATTTGCTGAGGAAAATCACTTCACTCAGGCCCTAAAGGAAATTTCTAATTACAATGGAGCGTCTACAACAGTTCGGTATGATTGCGGTGCCATAAAAGTGCCCGATTCATCAAGCACAGTCCCAGCATTTTCCCCTTCAAGTGTAATCCTCAGCAACATAGAAAAGGTAGACAAATACTAAGCATCAACTGAGGACATGGAGATCATTTTGATCAAAGCTGAGCCCATTTAGTCGAGGGGACAGCCATTGCCAAAGGGCCTTTAAGCAGCGCTCAGGATATCCTAACACGAAGGTTGAACTCTTCGAATGCTTTGACCTTAATCATTTAGAAATATGTCAGCAAGTTAATCCCTCATCTGATCTGAATGGTATAGCTTTGGCTTATTCTAAAGGCTCAGACGGCAAAATCTTTCATCTGCTTGTAGGAAATCCGCATTTGAATGAACTAAGACAATTGAGTAGCAAAGAGTAGAAACCCATGTGAACTATGCACGCTAATCGTACTATCCGCAGCCTGTTGGTAACACGTCTAAACATAATATTTGGACTTTATGAAATCCATACACAAGGAGGTTAAACTAAATCATGCACGCAAAATCACCGCTTCATAGGTACTTAAACAATCTCCAAGCAAGATGTCTAAGCGTATAAAAGCATTTCATTAAGTCAGACAACATGCCTACTTGTGTAAAACTCAAAGAAAGTCTGATATCCAGCAACTAATCTAATATCAAATTATCAAAAAGCCCCTCATCCACTCTGATAGCCCTTATAGTATGTTTTATCAGATAGACAAGATTAAGGCAAATCAAGGCCAATGGTGCTTCACACAGCAGGAAACTACTTTGACCTCTGCCGCATCTTTCGGCGCTTCCTCTTAAGCCTCCTCATACGCTTCTTCTTCCACTGCATCGCAAAAGAGTGAGGGGTTAGCGCGAAAAAAAGCCAGCTTAAACAAGAGAGTGATCAGTGATTAAACGTTCATTAAGCAGATAATGATGAAAACACCGTTAGCAAGGAAACTAAAAGAAGCATCTCCGCAGATCACAAGTCAAAATTCATTCTAGAACAAGATGAAACAAGTGGCAGTCAGAGGAATAAAACCAATTGCACAATGAACGCAATAACGCTAAATATTCATGCGCTTTCTGATCAAAATTCGAAACAATGTACTCCTTAACTCCAACAGCAAATAAAAATATAGTTCTATAGTTTTCCAGAATGCACGAAAGATGATCAAGGAATGACACTACAAGCATTGCAATAAAGTACACGGTACTAATTAGAGTGCATATTCAATCGCAGTTGAAGATCAAATAGGTGCCAGCAACACAACTTAAACAGCTCAGGCTATGCAAGTCAAGTAACTCCGCCAAGAGTAGTTACATTCACCAAAATCATATCCCTGGTGATATCAAAACAATATAACCCGAACTTGATAGCAAAATAACACGAACTCTCACAATTATCTGGGTGCCCATCAGGAAAGAGGAATACAGGCCATCCAAGAAGCCTGTTATGTGATGTCATACTTACGGGACACCAACACAAACAGCAACCAAGTACATTGTAAAAATAAATGACCTATTACTGAATGCAACCTCGCTATCTATCCAAAAAACACAAGGATGCAAAGAATGCCGCGATGTTCACGATCTAACATCTACTTTTCTTGCGTGAAGAATGCCGCGAAGTTTGCAATTAGCGATTATTGAAGTACTACTTTCTCTTGCTAAAAAACTAATAAATAATGCAGGGCAATGAAGGGAAAACGCCCAAAATGCCAGCTCCAATAACTAGCAGAGAACAGTCCTCCTGTAAATAGAAGCTCAAACCTCATTCAAAATAGAAGCCGAACAAAATTCAATTGGCTTCGCCAAAATGCAAACGCCAAAAATCCCATCCTAATTTCGTCGATACATCGACGATTTCCACTCCCGCGAGCCGCTCAATCTGGTCAGACCCTACATCACGAACCCCGCTACCGTGCGCACCAACAAGAAAGCTCCAGTCACGAATGGGAGATGCAAATTCTTCCGCTCGACATCTATCGAAGCTATACTCGGGACATGCGAAATCAAACGAATGGCAAAACACATCCACATCGTATACACAGAAAAAACACCCAGCTAGATCGATCGCCGCTTCACGCAGACAGATTCAAATTACCTTGGCCCTCATTCTCTGATCGGAGCTTCGGTTTCTGTCTCTCTTTCTCTTCCTTTATCCGCGGCGACGAATCTCCGAAACGCGAATGATACTCCGATGGCGCACTTCCGGTGGTTATATATATGACCTCGTGATGCGGAAACCCTAACTCATATGGCGGGCCTTTTATTGGGCCCACATACTACGGAGCAGTTCTTTCGCTTGACTCCTTCAATGGGCTGAAAAATAGGCCTATCGACTGGACCGATTCGACCCATTTGTCGTCCCACCACGCGGGAATTCGGAAAGGAAAATAACCCAAAGGATTCATGAATTTTGACTTGATATACAATGTGGTCTTTGAAATTTTGATTTATTTAATATTATTTATAAAATTTAGCTCAATGTGCAATGTGGCTTATGAATTTTTAATCTGTTCAATGCGATCCCTGAATTTTTGGTATATATTCAATTTAGTCTCTGAACTATATGAAAATATTTAATGTTGTCTATGATCTTCAATTAATGGAAAGACGATATTTAGCATTTTCATATAGTCCATGGACTAAATTGAACATATGTCAAATGTTCATGGACCACATTAAATAAATTAAAAATTAAGGTAAAAGTTCAAGGATCACATTGCAAATTTGGCCAAAGTTCAAGAACCATTTGCGTCATTATCTTAATTCAAAAAGGATTCCACATTCCGAAGAAAATTTCTTCCGATCATGCATTTGTCGTCAACATGTAAACTCGAAAAAATAGAAGTGTGGCGATGTCCTCAATTTCAAAGCCACCAATCAAAAGACGGGTCAGATGAAATTTGCTCGAATCAAATTGGAGGCAAAAAAAGGTCCCATTCAGAATACGTACTTGCAAACCTTGTTAGAAGGCGATCAGATGGAGTAGCCTTAGCGGGAACTCGGAAGTCAAGCGAGCCCGCCAATTTAGCTAGATAAGTGTTTTGCTGGAAATGTTCCTGCAACAAAATATAATTCACCAAAAGTCATTATTCGATTTTTTTAATTAGAGGATACCGGGTTCTGGGTCTAATTCCAAATAGGAGTTGTCTAAGAGTGAACAAAGAATTCGATTGTCTTGATCAAAAACTCAAATTTCGTACAGTAACGAAGTTCGATTTATATTTATGGACAATTCAGACGAGTCCGACTAGTGATTAGCGGCGTCCGAAATTCATCAATACAACATTACGAGGCTACTGGCTTAAAAGTAAACAACAACAGCAATAAAAATTAAAGGTGCAATACTGGAAAGTAAAGATAATTGAAAGTCAGTATTTTGGTTTGTATTCACGGGGGCTTTCTTTTGGCAGTTCAGTGTTATTTATAATGTGGGTTTGGTAACCGCCTTTGATACAATGTTCACTGACTATCGTTGATCTCATCTTCACCGTCTATCTAATGACATATGTCCGTAAACTGCCATTGATTTTATCTTTTTGTCCCAAGGTGATAACCGTCGTAGAGTTCATACCGTATGACACGTGTCATTTTCGAAGCAGTAACTGTCATTGAGCTTATATCATCTCTACTCCTGTCCTTCTCGAAGCAGTAACCGTCAACGAGCTCGTATTGTCTTGACACTTGTCCTTTCCAAGGTCATAACTGTCGTTGAGCGCTTCGTGGCTTGACATTTGTCCTTTCCGAGATGATAACTGTCGTTGAGCTCTTCCTGGTTTGACACCTGTCCTTTTGCGGGGTGATAACCGTCGTCGAACTTTTCCTGGCTTGACATCTGTCCTTTCCCTTGTTGACAGCCTCAATGACAATTTTTGTTAACAACTTTGGCGCTCGCTCTTTCTATGAATCAAGCTCTTTCAATTTCAGATTTCCTGCCGGTATCTCTCAGTACTTGCCAGCTGTTTTGCTTACGGAGCCATCTCGTGTGGGCTACATCATTCTTTGACGTCTTTTATTATTATTTTTATTTATTTCGATTGTCAATAACCTAATTAATTATAGGTGTCAACAATAGGTATGACCTATTTCAACTAGATGATATTCGTGATTCAATAGAATGAGAACATGCACAATAAGATGCACCGGGACGAACGCCTTCTTCCTGCGTATCAGCATTAAGACTATACAGATCCAGAATAGTAATCTCTATTTTTCCTTCTGTTTCTTCTGCTGGTCTCCTTTGACTTTGTGCGTATATGGTTGTCGCCAACATTCGGCTTGATCGATCCACCGCTAGAAAACTAACAAGCCATCTCCGGGTAGTTTAACTAACTCCTCGGTTTCAGCTACGATACAACGATGTGATTGCGCAAAGTGCCACGTTTGGAGCCATACATTCGTCACACGACGATATCCATAACGAAGCGCAGCGCAGCCCATCCCCTTTTTCTTTAAGACAGGCGAAAATCATAGTTTTATAATGGGCAATTGGCATAGCTTGCACATGCCTGATTAAATTAAAAACTGGGAAAACCTTGAGTGCTCTCCCGTGAAAGCCGACTTCCTTCTGGAACTCGACAAGAAGGTGACCTAACAATGGCCATCAACGCCCAATACGATTCCTCCCACCCCCCCCGCGCACCAAACCTTTTCTTAACTTCATCCTCCGGCTTCGCATTATCTTAAGTTGGAGTCCATGCATGACGTTTCCTATTTATACACTCCAGAAACTCTCCCTCTTCCCCTCATCCGAAGCCCCGATTGATCCGGCAAGCTCGCATATACTTTCGCAATCAAAAGAAGCAGCATCAATGGCTTCCACATGCGGCTTCTTCTTCACGGCCTTCGTTTTGGTGCTTGTGGCTGTCCTTGCGACCGACCAAACGGGTCGTTGCGAAGCGGCTCGCAATCTGCTACAATTGCCGAACATTCCGACGATCCCGGGGATGCCGACGATCCCGGGGATGACGCTCCCGCCACTGCCCTCGATCCCGGGACTCCCCACCACAAACCCGACCGTCCCGAACCTCCCATCACTCCCACCACTCTCACCGCTCCCCTTTATGCCTACGATCCCGAACATTCCCTCCATCCCTTTCCTCTCTCCACCACCCTCGACCTCTTCCACTAGCCCTTGAAATATAAAAGCTTCATTTGAATATGATATAGACGTTGCGCGCATGACTTTGATGGATTACGTATTATCGAAGTGCGTGTGATTCATTCAGTATCGCAATGTATTGGAGATCTATGGGTCGTAACTTAGATATGTCTAGTCTTTGTGATAAGTAGGTGAGGTTATGATGCCTCGCTTGTGTGTCTTGGATGTGGTCTCTCCACTGGAGGACTTAGGTATGCATACTTTCTTAATTCCTACGTGGGTGATTGGATTCTATGTAATCTACTCATGTTCCTATGTTATCTGGTATCACTTTATTTTTCGTGGTATTCTCTCGTCATTTGTTCTATTATGATTCAACTTCTTTGGAGCAAAATGTTCCTATGCATTCATATTTGATTCATGTGATTGCAATGGAAAATCTATCAATTTCGTTGAAAGTAAGAACGGTGCTCATATTTACCGAAGTGACATTGGAAATTGTAAAGCTGTTTTGGGGCTGGTTAGAAAAAAAGATGGCAATCAATTTCAAATGAAAACGTTTGCTCTGGATATGAAATCGATGGTGGTGATTGTTCGTGAAGCACTAACAAAATTACTATAATAAATTTCTGTAGTCAAAGCTCCACTTCGCAAGTAAAACAAGAGTAATTGACAAAAGCGCAGGCCCATTAAACGAGGAAACCGAGTGTCCCTCTTACATCGTTCGTGGCTTGGATGGGCTTGGTAGTTGGTTGGATCTTATGGCCCGTCATCTTTCCGGATCCAAATCAACCCGCCAAGCCTCCTTTTTTTTTCTTTTTTTTGAAATTTTGACGATATTCTCCAGAATTTTGTTAGTGTTTTCCTTCGACACCACCAAAAAATCTAAACCCATCGTCTCAACTAAATCTTGCAAAATTATTGTTATGATTTATGAATTTCAATAAATTCTTTGGACATTACCACTTCAATCTACTCCTACTAGACTATATTGATCGAATTACCTCACTTAGTTTATCATCAATATCCATTGAGAATCTTTGACGCTATCTAGTAAATTACATGTCCGGACATTAACGTGTGCATGTGTTTGCATGTTGGAGAGGTCGAGGAAAACATGGACTAATATTTGCAAAAAGAATAAATCCGCAAGCCTATCACTCCTTAGTTCTTTTTTTTTTTGGTCGAAATTACTCCTTAATTCACTTTGTTCCAATTAGGATGAAATCTATGTTGACGAAAATTGCACAAAATCAATGACCCTGAACCAAGTCTAGCTCATCTTTTTGTCTTCGCAAGCCAAAGGGAATTTTGATATGGAGAGAGAGAGACACGAGCATGAAGACCCGACCCGATGCCGTAGGCTCCATCAAAAAGTCGAGCAATCGAGGAAAGAACAAGGCCGTGCCCGATTGCGATGACCCGGCCCGATCCATGTCCGATCGCTTCTCCTATGGGACTGGAGGGTCCATCGAATTCGAACTCAAATCAACCGAAACCGAGAGAGGCTGTTGAACTCAAATCCGCCGCCGGCAATGGCGGGGACTTGCAAGTACTCCTGCGAGACCGCAAGCCAAACCCTAGAATGGATCGATGCCATCCTCCGCTTCATCAAGCCGTACGCCTTCCTGATGAACGCTCACGTCGTCAATTTCTTCACGGTTCGTGAGCTCAGCTCAAACTTCTTCGCCCCCTCGCTTCGTTAACCAGCAACCAGCATATCTGAATCATTCGTCAGATTCCGTATCGCTCGTGTGCCGCCGAACGATTTTACCGAGTTTCGCTCACATCTTCTGGACGTTGCTGCTTCGGGTTCTTTGTCGTGATTGATCTCAGGATAGGTTGTGGGAAGCAGTTGATAAGGAGTGGATGGACTGCTTGCGGGAGGAGCCCGTGGAGAATCTTCTCCCGATTCCTTGTGGAGAAGTCCAGGTGCGCTTCCTTATTGCTCCGACGCATGGTTACGTGTTGCATGCAATGCATCTGCTGAAGTTGATCTTGGAATGTCCGAGATTCACTCACTGGCTTGTCTCGAAGGAGGAGGAGGCCACATTCTCGTGTCGTGCTACTATTCTCAGCTCATACAGTACTAGGTTGCGGACTGCGTACGGTCTGGTTCTGATTGTTTCACTGTAATCGTCTTGCTGCTAGGATCACTGGCCTGCTTCGCTCCAGAATTTCCTACACGACCTCAGGTCTCTTGTTTTTCCTCGAGAGCAGGTGGACTTGCAGAAGGTAGCGATCTTTGGCCCTCGTCGAAGTTCGACGTTTGTCTACTGATGGTCGATACAAATCTATCGATCCAAATGTTGATGATATATCCGAGCATTCTCATCAGCTCATTTCTTCAATTATATTGAAGCTCTATGGCATTTTATTTCTCCACAGCATTATAAGCTAGTGCGTTATATTTTTTTATTCTTCTCTGTAAACCATTTAGAAATAGACAACTACCGACTGTGTTGCTCTTCCTATGCGCAAATGTTTACAAAGGACAATCCATAGCAACTTATTATGTGTAGAAACCCGTATACGTGTCTTCATTACTGGTCTCAGAAGTTGTGTCAGCGAAGAATCTTTATATGATGTTTTACTACACCCTTATATGTCATGAAAAACTATTCGGTATTTAGCTTGACTTAGCTTATTTCCCCTCTTGTTGATTTCATTGTTAGCATTTTACTAATCCATTCACCTTGAAATTTTCTGCCATTTATCCCCATTTGAATTTATCACCCTCTTTTGCCTCGGATTTAGTTCTGAAACAGGTGCTAATGACATTCTAATATTCCCTTTGTTGCAGATATTCCCAGGTTTGACTGTAGCTCCACTTGGTAGTGTTCTCGCCCAAGGCATGAATTTCAAGAAGAAACATGAAGTGGGCTGTTTCCCTAATTGCTGCTATTCTTAGTACAATGCTTTCTACAATTTTGTTTCATTGTTCAGATCGCTGCTCTATCCAGATTCCATGTACTTTTCTGTGACCACCTTTCTTGTGTGTGCTTGTGACAGTGGTAACTCCTTTTTGTTCAAAATTTCTCGGGGGTTCTTTTTGATATTGCGTTATTCTAGGGCATTGTGAATTGAGATGGCAATTTCAATATTGGTTGTTGAATTTGATGATCATATCTTTAATTATAAATTTCTTGCAAAACCAGGTCGAAGTTCTATCTGCTATTACAAGTTACATTGCAAAGAGGGTGGGAGCTCAGACAGTTGTCGACGTCGGTGCTGGTCAAGTATGTCGTTTCTTTTCAAGAGATGTTTTCCTTTTTTTGGAGTCCTTGTATTAAATGTTCACTCATACCCAAAGACATAATTGAGATTACTTTATGTGTTCATCTGACCATATTTACAATCCTGAGAAAAGCTATTTTCCTTCTTTAATCGTGTACACTTTCTGTGTTTCATATCTGTTTGACTAGATTTTCTTTTTAACCTTTTTGGCTCCTACAAGTTCGCTCTAAGTGCCTCCAAAATTTTTTCCCAGGGTTATCTTGCTCAAGTACTTTCATTTCAATATCAGCACTCAGTAGTGGCAATTGATGCTTGTTCTCATCATGGGAGTGTTACAAATGCACGGGCAGAAAGAATTAAGAAGCATTATGCTGCTCAATTACGTAGATCTGGGTATCGTCAAATCTCTTTCTATTGAATCTTTCTTCCAATGCACATGTCCTTACTTAATTGGCAACATTTATCTTCTAAACTTAATACATTCAAAATCATGCTAGTTATTATGTTCATGCAAGCATTTGGATATGTTGTTACTAAAGAACCTGGCAGTGTTGTCCGTTTTTTCTAGCTTTTGCTTTCTTGCCACTTGAAAAGTTAAAATGATTGTCCTGCAATTGGCAGTCTCTTCAATTTCTTGTTGTTATGTTTCTTTGAAGATTGAAATGATGGCGAGCAGTTGCCACTTATAAGATTATCAAGTCGCTAATTTACTGCATAGTGCCTTGTATTCACCCTTATCATTATTTGTTGCCTATCAAATTACCTCTCAAAATCTTTAACTTATTATTTTGTGTTAGATCAGTGAACACGAGTTTACTTGTGCCCAAGACAGTGACGTGCCGGGTTTTGTCAACTGACGTCTTGAAAGCCTTAAGTGACACATTTATCCATGAAGATGGACAAACAAATTTGATAGGAGAGGACAATGAAGAATTATGTGTGAAAATAGACTCCTCATATGGTGAGGGGAAGGAAGATTCCTTGGTTCTTGCTGGTCTTCATGCATGTGGGGATCTTTCAGTGACGATGCTCAAGTGAGTCCTACATCAGTTCCTGGTGAAACTTTGTGTAAATGCTCATTCCTCATATACACTGTGCAGTGCATGTGCAATATCCCTATCCATCACAAGATTAGATTGCGAATGGCTTTGATTTTATGGGATCTTCTGTTTCTAAGTGATTAGTATCCAGTAGCAGTAGAGACCCTTGCTATGTGCGGAACTTATTATTCGTTTTGGTTAATTGATAAACCAATTTTACGTTAGAGATATATAATTGGGCCATGTGCAACTTTTAAGGGATGCCTTCTTGTTTATCCTTGTTTATTGGTAATCTTTTTTGGTAAGTCATTCATTGATAGTTTATCTATTCTTTCAGAGAGTTTATTTTGTTAAGAACAGTATCGGAACGTATGTGTTTGGTTTTCGTTCGCTTATTTATTTTGGAGAACTGAACTATGGAGAAATATTATCCTCCGTCCAGTTTGATAAGAATAAATTAACTGTTGTTCTCATTGATGACCCGCAGATTGTGTCTTTTAAATAATCAGTCAGTATCTGCAGCAAATGATCTCATTTACTATAATTTTTTGTTAAATATTTATCTTTCAATTATCAATGTACCTTTTTTTTTCCAGTTGATAAGCAATGTTTCAAATCATCTCATTAATGATAGGGTACAAATTCGTAATATTGTATATTGGTCTTGTGTTCCTCATGGTAATTAAATATCATCACGATCTTCTCCGGTAGAGGCAATCAAGCATTGATGTGTGCTTGAAATTTTTATTGATAAAGAGAAGAATGCTTGGGTCTTAGTCAGTAAAGGTGTACATGTAGTTCCAAGGACCTATAGTTATAGAATCCAGAGTTTCTTGTCTCACCATATATTTTGCATCATATGACATGTTTCCCTGGGACTCTTAAGTGACTGAGACTCAATTTTACTTCTCTGTTTTTTTCGTTCCAGTTACATAATAAATGTCTTTTGTTACTGAATCAGGACCTTCGTGGAGTGTGAGGAAGTTAAAGCAGTTGTCAGCATTGGCTGTTGTTATAATTTATTGTCTGAGGAGGGTGTTGACAATGCTGGCACGCAGTGCGGCTTCCCTATGAGTAATGGTGTTAAATCTGAGGGCTTCTTACTTGGCAAATGTGCGCGTGATCTTGCTTGTCAGGTGATTTTTGTTTTCTGTTTTTATTTTCAATAGTTCAATAATTTATTCACGAAACACAAAAGCAGGGGAGCAACCTGCTACATGCTCAGCAATGGTGCTTATAGCCTACAAAATCCAGCTTCATAGCCCCAATTACAGCACAACAAACTATGTATATCTGAAGATACCTTGCTTCTAATGTTGAACAATTGCCAAGCCTTTCCCTAACCAATCTCTTGATCTGGGAAAGAATTGAACTAGGATTTACATAGTAGGAAGAATTATGCATTCAGCAATTCCTAACATGCCAAATACAGTACAAGAACGCACAGAAGGAGAGTTTAAACAAAAGCTGAGGGAAAGCATTCCCTTTATAAGCTGAGGTGGCCCAAGAAAGTTCCGCATTCCAATCTCCACTAGATCTAGAAATCAATCAAAGCTGCAGGTTTTTTGTTTTCTTCTTTTCTTTTTCCACAAATTCTTACGTCATGGAAGAGGACGTGATTAAGAGTTTGTTTGCATTTTTGTTGAGTTGTTCACTTCTGAAAGCACAAAAAAAAAAGAGTAGAGAATGTAGAAATTGGTTGGCATCAACAGGGATAAGAAGAGTTTGAAATCTTTTTCATTTTGATTTCTACACACGTCTTTTCTTAGGAGGTCTACAGCCATTATGTGGCATAGGGGTTACATCACATACAAAACTTAATATTACACCACTTCTATGAATAGCTCGTAATGCTGTCGAGACCAGGCTTCTGCTCGTTGCATACCTTGATCTGCTATTGTCCGAATAGCGTTTCCTGCTGCGGTTTGACCATAAAATAATCATTCAATTAAACTTTATTTTTAGGTTTAGTGATTTTCTGGGGTGAGCATAGGAAGCACCAAAGATCAGGACTTCTGCTTAGATGGATTTATGTACACCTTGAGGACAAAATTTTATTTTGAACTAGAATATTACACACATAGCAGTGGTTTGACAGTACCACCCCCAGAATATTAAACACATAGCAGTTGATTGTCAGGGGGATATACTTAACAGAAATTGACTTCTCTGTCTGTGTCAGGAATACCTATATTTTCCGGCGCAAAAATGTGTATGGAGCTTCTTGAACCGCGCTCCAGTTCACTGGGAAAGCAGTTTGTTTTTATTTCTTTGATTTTCTGGGGATTAGGGTGGAAAGAGAAAAACAAGAGTTTTAAGTTGGGACAAAATGATTAAGATGTATGTTGCATTGTATGCAACGTTCTTTTTCCTTTATCTATGATCGCCTGCTGGTGATCAATGTGTACAAGGCTTGCGCCCCTTTATTTACTCTTTGATGAATTTTCTGTTTATTTGTCCATACTTATTTATCTTTGAGGTAACTCTTTCAGAGTGCAGAGAGATGGAGAAGCCTCGAGAAAGATGATGCTAGTCACAACTTTGAGTTGCATTCATTTCGTGCTGCTTTTCAGATGGTAAATCACGAAACAATTCCCACACCTTTGTTTTGTTAGATATCAAAGTTTTTGTTTGTGCAACTGTCAACTGCTTATGCCTATTGATGAGAATGCAGTTCAGTCAGATAGACTTCTCTTGCATTTGTTTTTCTTTCTCCTTTCTGGATGTATATCAGTGGTTATCCTCCGAGACTTATCTAATATACTGGTGGACTTGCTTGTACAGAAAATTATACTCTTAAGATTTTTGGGTCAATGCGAAGAGAATAGAAGGTATTTTAATGCAAAACCAGATAGTGCTCATAGAGAAAACTTCTACTAAAATCAACAGCCACATGATGAGTTGCCTTTCTTAATAGAAGAATAAAATGAATAAAATGTAAATAGCGTTAGTGTTTGAATTGAAACTAGCAGTCATCATGGTTTCTGTCATGATGGGCTGCAATTCCTTGTATCTTTTTAACCTTGCTAGTAGTTGGAATCCGATATCATGGATAGTATCCTGTTTCTTTGAGGAAGACCAAATATCATATGGTCATTCAAACTTTTAGCAGTACCAATTTACTATCAAGTATCAACTCCATCTTTCAAATTTTCACTAGACAAGGCATGAATGACTCCACAGGGCCGCCGGTGTGCTGCTCATCTTTGAATAAATTATGGCCCTGTTGTGGCTTTTTTGAAGAAAATAGTACTTGTTGACTCTCCTGCCAAAACTAAGAGCATTATCTTGATTTTAAAAAAATAATGGTATAAATTCTATATAATTCTATGTGTCAATATTAGCACCAATTTTACTTTCATTGTCAAGTCCATATATCCAATTTTCACTGGCAAGGCATCAGACCACAGGGTCGTTGGTGTGCTGCTCATCTTTGAATAAGTTATTGGCCTGTTTTGTTTGGGCTTCTTTGGAGAAAAAATTACTTGTTGACCTTTTACCAAAATTAAAAATATTATGTTTAAAAGTTAATGAAATAAATACGATTCTATATGCCGATAGTTGCACACTTTGAAAAGTTTCAGGCATTTCACTGGTAGTCGCTCCTAAAGTTGCACAAATGGGTGAAAATTTGTACTTTTGACCTTCTATAGGATGAGGAGAGTGTATGTCCTAGTTTGGATTGTTTAGACATGTGCTAACTTGCAAATAGAATTGATGACATAGGATTTTAATCCAGAGTCAATCAGGTCGCTTCAACATTTTTTGTGATCGTTCAGAATGAAAAGCCGGGTGTGATATCCTTACCAAAAAAAAAAGTCGGTTGTGATACCGGACGAATGGCTTTGAAAAATCATCTCCGTCTGTTACCTACCAAAAAGTAATATTCCTTCACAAGCATGTATTACTAGTGACACCTAGTCCATTTTAAATTGCTTGTCTTCTGGAGATATACAAATATAATTCTTTTCAGGTTCGCTCATGTTTTTGCTTGGCCTATCCAATACAACTGTTCTTCTTGTTATACCTACTGAAGGTTCTTTCCAAGTATTATCCGGATGTATTGAAAACAAGTCCCTCAATTGGGCGCCAAGGGAAGGCATTGCGCCGTCAACAGCGGAGGAGGAACCTAGAGTCTTCGGTGAATTCAAGTTTGCAATCACAGAGAGATTGTGAAGGTGGCCCTCTTGTAAGACAAGTTGAAGCAAAGACAGGTTCATATTGAATTACAATGCGTAGAACCAAAACATGCTTAGACTAATACCATGGAACCTGTACTGCAGTAGGTTTCTTGATGGATTTGGGTCAAATTATCTCGAGACTCACATTTAGTAATTTAATTACACTGCAGGTGGCAAATCAGGCTCGGTGTTGGCCAAACTTGCTAGGCAAGGTGGTGCTCGATGTGAGGACACTTTATTTAGAGACAAATGTCTGCATTTTGAGAAGTTTAACTTGTCTGGATTACATCGCCTGGGGCTCAAGCCTCTGCAGGACATAAATTTTCATGCGATATGGAAAGAAACTGGGCCATTCGCTGTATGCTTCTCATCTTGACTTTGTCTTTAAATGCATAGGTTTCTTCTTTTCTGGTTGTCTGGGAAAGTAAGGAAATGGAAGTACTCACTAAAAACCTAAAAATGGCATATCTGACTTCCTCATGCATATTTGCTTCAACTCTTGTTTCTATGGTTTATCTACTTCTGGGTATTGTTGGTTTATGCAATGTATAGGTTATCTTACAGAAGCATGATATAGAGTGGAGTGCAATGGCTGTTTTTGTACGACTGTGCATGCTGGTGTATGTAACAATGTTGGAAGAGCTTGCAGATGTGGTGTTCTTAATGTCTTATTATGTGGATTAACATTTAACAAAAAATATTTAAAATTTTTTTTTTATTGTAGACAACCTTCCCTTGTGACTTTTGAGCCTGAGATGGATTTGTGCATAGCAATTGCATTCAAGTTTACTGGTCAGAAACAATGCATCATTCAGCATAACTGCTAATTGCCAGTGTTACACTTTGATACTGACTTAATTTATCTGAAGGAATAGACAAGTGTCTAATAGAAGGGAAATAGTGTGGGTATTTACTTGATGCATATAAATATGCTGGCTGGTGCTAATCAACCTTTTCATTCTAAGCAGGAGGTTATAGGACCTTATTGGTCTCTGCGAGCTGCTCTAGGAGCTGTTCTGGAAACTCTCATTGTGCTCGATAGATTGTTGTTCCTTCAGGAGAAAGGAAATTCCTTGGAAGCTTTCATGTTGCCTGCTTTTGATCCTTCTTTATCCCCGCGGAATTTAGCCATAGTGGCTGTAAAGATTTGAGACGAGATTGGACTGTTGTTCTAACAGGTCTCTCTCTCTCTCTCTCTCTCTCTCTCTCTCTCTCTCTCTCTCTCTCACCTGCACTATCCGCACAAGCATGCAGATGGGCAGGCTCATTTTTGTCGGTCATTTCTTGCTTTACTCTTATTGTCTGTGAGGATGTACAATATCAGAGCAGCGCTGTAATAATAGGGTCCTTTTGTGGTTCCTTCTCTCACTTGCCATATATAATCGGTCGTACATTCAAAATCTTTTATGTTATATCTGCAATAAGCGATTGCTTTCTTATGTGCTCTATCTACTTGTCTTGCCTATTAGTCACACGCGTTTTTCCAAGGACCATCTTGAGATCTACTTCTGGATTGCAAAATTGGGGTTCCTACATGTTTCGATCGGAGAACTTTTGTTCCTTAGTTTTTGATTTTTTTTGCAGAACTTGTAGTCCTTAGTTCGGTGGTTCAGATTTCTCTTACCTATGTAGGGTAACTTTCTTTTCTACGAAATACATGCGTATGGATCTGCAGTTTTCAACAAGTGGAAGCCACTGCATAATTTATCCTATAGTCATTACAGTCTGACGCTTATGATTGCTGTATTTGCAAGGTATATACCAATTGGCTGAAAAGGAAGTTATTGAATAATGGCCCCTTATTGTGTCATGATGATAACTAAATGACTGGAGATCAAGCATCAGATGGGCACTGCTCCTTATAATTATTTTTCCCAATCTCACTGCCTATGATTACCTTGGACCTATTTTCTCCTGCGAGCTATGAATGAAGCGAATACTCTGGTTAACGTTTAACTAGATAGGGACAACGTCTTTGTCAGTTCGATTGCTGTATCAGCAAGGTATATGCCATTCGCCTGTGGTTCATATGCTTGACTTTTGACTATATTGAATTCCAGTTCGTGCGTTCTTGAAAGTTGATGCTAACTAGCAATTTCTGGGATGCATTTTGCAATTCTGAATTTCCCTCAATCATAGCGCTGCCTATGCCCCTGAAAGTCTCCTCGAGATGTCTAATTGAGCCCCTCGTGTGAAGGGGACGGATCTGTCCGCACTCGACCGAGTTACCTGCTTGCTTTGACCCATTCTTAGAATTCTTGTGACTTCAGAGGGAAAGGAAGGGATTAAGATATTTTCTTGACATAAGCAATGACCATATTGACAGAAAGTTCAAACTATTCCCTTCCTAAACTTTAGGTACTCTAATCATTCATAGATTCTTCTAAGGACCATTCTATCTTAGAGGGCTAGTTTTGACTACCTTTCTTTTTTCTGAATTTTAACCCATGGGTGATGCAAAAGGGACGTCTTGGTTAGGTATCCCCGTTGCTTGAACTGCTTGCGTTTTCAAGACGTAATTTGTGGAGAGACATGGTGATGATGATACCCTGATCCCACCCTTCTTCCCTGACGCTGTCGAGAATTTATTGCTGGATGATATCCAGGTAATTGCGGTACATAATAGCGCACGATAAGAGATTGATTACAAGACTCTTTTTATTTTGAGGAAAGTGATTTCTTTGACCCAGAGCTTTTGTGGATGCTAATCAAGCAATGTTCAACAGACTTTGAATTAAATGGCAACACGTCTCTTTAGTTGCTTTGTCCGTTTGCACACCTGCATGATTCCCTCCTATTCCTGGTGGGGACGATCGATTGGAGCTTTGTGACGTTGAGAAGGCTGCCGTCGTGCCTATCATTTTGTGAGTTAAAATCGTTAGGAGCCGGTCCAAGTACAGAGTAGAGAGAGGGGCGATGATGAAGATGATGATGATGCGGGAGAACATCCATCCATTTCAAGATTTCACCGTCGTCGCCCATGCCCAAAGCCCAACATGCGTGTCTTCGAGTGTTAATTCACCAACGTCCCGATCATGGTTTCCGCAAGGCGCCACACCATCTTTTGGAATCGGGGAATAAGTTTGGAAGGGAATTTATTAATTTATATCCATATTCAAAGCTCTTCTTTTTCCTTTCCTCTCATGTCAGTTGTCTTCTCGAGGAAGATCACTTCATCCGGGAGAGGAAGTGGTGCAAAGGATGAATTCGGAAGTGTAACTATCGGCAATGGGGTCCTTGTCTTCGATGCGGGTTATATTCTTCTTATCTTTGGTCAAAATTTAACATGGCAACGGCTTGGAATTTAGTTTGATTTTGATGCGGTGTAAATACGACATCTTTGTCTTTTATGGCATAGATTCAATGGCAACCGCTGTCCACGGGGCTCCTGCCATCTACCAAGTTACCGTTCCTAGAAGCTTGGTTGGATCGAACAAGAATAAGAATCCTACAAAACAACAGTAAAAAGGCTGTTTGCCGTTCCTAAGATTTGCGAGTAGAGATGGAAGTGAGACGAGTTATCAATGGCCGACTCTATCCTAAACCCATCGCGATTACTCTGATTATTTGCAAATCCTATGGTTGGTTTTGACGTTCGCAAACCCAACTTGCTAACGCAATTCATTACAAGCACTCAACTTAAAACTTTACGATTATATACATACAGTACCTTAAACCAATATGTACAAAAAAAACCTCAAATATCCAATCACGACCATTTATTTAAAACTCATGAATTCTAGATTTCCAATAACAAATCTAGAGAGTTGCAAAACATAAGATTTGAAATATTCAAGATTACACGGTTGTAAAAGTTCAACATTTAATAGTTCAAAATTGAGAAACTACCATTCAAAAGATTACTCGTGTAGATGAAAAATTATCTAAAATGTCATAAATTTATTACACTTTTGCTAATTTAATTATAAACCTTTTAATTTTACCAATCGAGTCATAAATATTTTCACATTTTGCTAATTGAGTCCATCTGACCAATTTTAACTGGAAATCGCTGACATGGACGCCGGTAGTACCACGTAGGATGGTTGGCATTAACATGAACAATTTTTTAAAAAAAATTCCTTTTCTTTTCCTTTTTTATCTATCAAGTTTGGTGAGGATGTTGGTCGACCTGACCAGTCATAGGTGAGGGCCAGTCGACCCTCGTCGGGCTTAGAAGAATAAAAAGAAAAAGAAAGAAAGAAAGAAAAAGAAATAATAATAACAAAATAGAAAAATAAAATATTATTAAAACTCATTTATATCAGCATCGGTTGTGCCACGTAGGACGACCGACATCCACGTTAGCGATTTTCGGATAAAATTGGCCCGGTAGACTGAATTGGCAATACGTGAAAATATTTATTACTCAATTGGCACAATTAAAAGGTTTAGGACTAAATTGATAAAAGTGCAATAAGTTTAAGACTTTTTGGATAATTTTCCCCAAGTGTTGAAGAACTGTTGGACTACAATAAGTTTTGTGCTTTGTTGTACAAAAGTAAATAAGTGACCTTGAACTTGTAATAGGGTAATGAAAAATTCATAAATTCCTTATCGAGTTTCAAGTTTCAATGTCATATTACCTATCAGGTGAGTCTTGATATGTTGGGAGCACATAGAAAAAGCATTGTTCGGGGAGATCGCCAAGAGGAAGCTAAGTCCAAGCCCGTCAATATATCTAGTTGGATCCACATTTACTCAAAAACTCGAGCGAACGAGTTATAACCACACCACATCAAAACACACCATATATTCGATGTGGGACTTTTTAAAATAATTCACACGTATAACTCAATACGACATCGTGTCTCCTCTTATAAAAATGTAAAGGCTTGCTAGAGTCGTATTGAAATTAGGATCCTAATAAAATCTAATCACCTGCCCATCCTTACCGACGTGATGATGGTATTAGTTGAGGAAGGGCTTGGCAGGTACAGTCAGACGATAGGCCGAGATTAGTTGCAGGCACCAGACGTCTTTCAGGTCATTGACCGTCCCACGGCACATGACGGCCACGAGGACGAAGAAGGAACTTCGCTGGACATTCTCATCTCTCACTTCCACATCAAAAGGAAAGAAGAGGAACCACAACTAGTGGACAAACCTTGGTCTTTTGCATCAGCCGCCAAACCAGTCGCACGGTTCTTGACGGCAGACCACTGACCAGGTGGTGCAGATTCAATCCTGCAATTATGATGTTGTTGCCAGTGCCTGACAGAGTCCAGCGTGTGACTGTGAGGTCACTCCTTTTTCCAAAGGCCTCATCATGTGTTGTTCGGCCAATGGCCAGTCTTGCTTTTCTTTCCTCACGATGTTAGGCATCAAACACAAACTCCATCACTTTCCGGCCATTTCTTTTAATGCCATATGAGCAGGCGCATGAACATGTTCTATATTCTTTGCTGCAGAATAATCTGTATGGCGCTTGGTAAGTCGAGAATAATAGGCCAGCCTTTCTCCTAAAGATTTCTCCTAAGAACAATACGATGAAACGCATCTTTACACGGGATCGTAACACGCCCAGTTTAACTCGAGTATCGAATTCCTCAAGCGAGACATACAAAATACTTTGGTACTATAATTGGTTTCGATCTGCCATTAGGAAAGCGATGTCAGTTCCTGATTGGTTTGAACACGGGAGGTCAACCCGGTCTTTAGAGATTCCACTCTAGTACTTCTAGCACAAACACCCTTGCGCCACTTTTTTTCAAATTAGTTATATCGTCCTTTCTGCATCACTCGCTCTTCATCCTAATACTACAAATCTCCACTCTTCAGCTCAAAAGAGTACAAGAGAATTTGGTCCGTGAAATATTCCTCGATAACTATTGAAGAAAAATATAAAAGACATACCTCACTTTCGACTCAATGACCATTTACATATCTCTAAGTTTGCAAGAACCATTTACATACCTCTGAGCAATATACCACCCACCGACAAAACCAAATCGACCCTCATTGCAATCTCATTTTAGCAATTTATTTGGGGTTTGGGTCGTTTGGTCTTTAGTTGCTTGTGAGTATTTTAGGTGGGTGTGAACGTTAGGATTTGGGGATGGGCATTATTGAAAAGAAAATGACATTTTTGCAAATAGGGACATGGGATAATTAATGTGAATGTACAAAGTGTTCTCCACAGGTAAAATTCAAATATGTATATGATATTTTCAAAGGCAGAGATATTTAAGTGGTTATTGGGTGAAATGTGGGGTATATTTTTGATATCTTCTCAATCATTTAATATGTTTGGTGTTGTGCAAGACTTATAGGGAAAATTATCCAAAAAGTCCTAAATCTCCACTTTTGTCGATTCAATCATAAATATTTTTAATATTACCGATCGAGTCCTAAACATTTTCATGTCTAGCCAATTGAGTCAATTCGGCCAATTTTAGCCGGAAATTGTTAATGTGGACGCTGACCGTCTTATGTGGCACGGCCGGTGTTGACGTGGATAATTTTAAATATTTTTTAAATGTTTTTTTTTATTTATAATTTCTTATTATTTATTATTTTCTTTTTCCCTTTTTTTTATAACTATGGTTGGTGAGGGCCCTAAATTGGGTGAGGGCCGCCCAATGGCTGAATCTTAAACCCTCGAACCCTTCCCTCCGACCATGGCGGTGGCTTCCACTTGCCTCGCCTCTCAATTTGCCTCTCAAATCCTTGAACCTGACTTCTTTTCATCAGAAGTCGTGTAGAGGCGTTGTTGCCATGGCCGGGGCCGAGACCCGCTTGCGGCCGGCGAGGGCTTTGCGGCCCTTGCCCAGACCATCGCGGCCAACGAGGGCTTGGCGACCCTCGCCCAGTGGTCAACAAGGGCCCGACGACCCTCGCTAGCCACAGTTGGTAAAAAAGAAACAAAGAAAAGAAAAGAAAAAAGGAAAATACAATAAAAAGTAATAAAATTTTTATAAAAAATATTAAAATATTATTAAAAATTGCCTACGTTAGTGTTAGCCATGCCATGTAGTATGACTGGCATACACGTCAGCAATTTCCTGTCAAAACTGGCTAAATTGACTCAATTAGCAAAATTTGAAAATGTTTACGTCTGATTTGATAAAAGTGTAATAGGTTTATGACTTTTTACACAAGTTTCCCAAACTCAAGGTCTTGCCTTGTCAAAAGTAAAACTTTTGATCTCGTTGTTATTAATATTGTCGATATGTGTTATGACGCTCCCTGGGAAATAGAATTAGATTCTATAATCTATGATTAGCCATGATCATATCGTAGAGCTCATTAGAGCTCGATTCGCATCATCATGGTCACTTCATTACTATGAACTCTGTAAGCTCAATAGAAGAGCCGAAAATAAGGAAACAAAAAAAGACATGGAGGCATCCCAGTTTGCCTAATGGTCCATTTTAGCTTTTTTGGATCCTCTTTCTCTCTCTCTCTCTAAACTTATAATATTTGGAGAAGATGCTGATCTAGCTCTATAAATCACGGAATCTAGCTTGCATACTTTTCAATTATTTATTTCCAAGGACGTACAGCGACGCTCCTGTCATATACATCCTTGCCAAACTCAGTGTATACCGAAAAGAGGTGCTTTTCACCATAGAGTCATCTCCTTTTTTAACGACACACGTTATCCCGAAGAAGACGGTTTCTTACACGAGCGAGCACGTTACTCCAAAGTCCATCTGCTCATTCTGATCTGCATTTGGAAAAGTTACAGTCTAACGGGCAACTGCGTATGGACATTAGCATTAGCATGATTGGATTAAGTTCATCCTCAAGCTTTTTTCTGCTCAGGATTGGCCCCTTCTCTTGCAGCAATAGTTACCTTTGAAGAAATTAAAGTCAATGACCGCACTTTAACACTTCTAAATGGGTCTGACCTCGTGCTAGAAGTTAGACAGACCGTGAATCAGTAGTGTTTGGTTAAAAGTTAACCTCCCCACAGAAAAGGAGTCGAAGCTCTTGCAGGGGCCTCCTCCGCCTGTTCGTTTGATTTATAATGACGACGAGCTACACAGATACGGTTTTTCTTTTAATGTGCCAGTGTCTGTATACCCGCTCCTAAGTTTTCCATGTATCTTTGTCTTCCCTAGGGAAAAAGAATGCCATTTGGAAGTTTTACATTATGAAAATTCCAAAATCCTGATGAGATCCGAGATGAAACCTTTTAAGGACTTGCTTAGATCCGCCCCTTAGAGGATCACACTGGCTTCATTTGATCTTTTCACAATTTCCCTCACCTGGAGGAAGCAAAGACGGCAAATGAAATGGAACTACGTACTCCAACAATCTCTGCTTTCCGATATTGTATGTCCGATTGAGTGCGGAACAACTTATTTCGAAAGTCTAAGAAATTAAACGAACTAAGATTGGTTGAGGCCTAAGTGAAAGTGACGTTCTTATTTGTCGAAGAGACGTCATCACATCACGTCTTGTAGAACTTGAAAAACCTTTGTATGTATCCGGATTATGAGTCTATTTCATCTCGGTCGTTCAATATTGGGAACCCCACATGATTTGGTAATTGAAATGAAGCGAAAATCACATGCACCGGGTGTATGCAAAACTTGATCGACTCGAAATATTTTGAAAATTTGCGTCGATTTGATTTTGGTTCCAGCTCATCCCTGAGGTCAATAGAAGAATCCAACCCATCTTTGGGAGGGGGGTGCTCTGGTACACATCAGCAGGCTGCCAGTGCCAGCTATTGGCCATGCCACGTCATCGGCCACCCAACGCAAGATCCAATCGCCCTCTTCCTTTCCTTTTATCGCGGGATGATCCCCAGTTTGACCTCCCACACTATTTATACCCTTTTGTTTATGCCCACCGATCATCTCTCCTAATTACCTTCTCCAACCTCTCCCTCTCTCTCTCCCTCCCTCTCCCTCTCTCTCTGTCTCCAAGGCAGAGAAAATGAACAACATAAGCATGGTGGAGGCAAAGTTGCCACCAGGGTTCAGGTTCCACCCAAAAGATGATGAGCTCGTCTGTGATTATCTGATGAAGAAGATGACCCGCTCCGACTCTCTCCTCATGATCGAGGTCGACCTCAACAAGTGTGAACCTTGGGATATTCCTGGTTAGTACAGCCATCCCCCCCTCTCTCTCTCTCTCTCACCTTCTCCTGCACCATGCGTGCCCATCTTGACTTCTACTTTCGGGTCGCTTTTATGTCCCATACTTGTTTGTTCCAGTGCAGAGAGGTTCATGCACTTGCTCGTGCATACATCAAAATCAACAGATAACTTTTTCTTATTTGTTTTATCAGGAAGAACCAATTATAGATCGGTTTTGCAGTGTTAATACTGTTGTTCATCAATTGGGGTCATTTAATTCTTTTTTGTTCCATTTGGAGAAGGAAACAAGGTTAGAGTGGGGTGTAGTGTATTTCTGGGGTGAGGCGATAGCAACTGCACTGGCCATAAATAGACACATTCATATTGATTCATATGCGTGCTTGTCCTCAGCTTGGTGGCTCAGAAGATTTGAAATACACGGTTTCATCTTACCTATTCGAAAGCAAAACAAATTACAGTGTGTGATCTTTCAGGAATTTATTGTACTTGTTTGATGAAGACAAGCACGATAGTAGCTGCTTTGACCTTATCAAGTCTCTCACTTTTTCCAGCTGTATATAACATTGCATTTCTTGCCCCTAGATGCTTCCATAGAATCTTAACAACATAATCATTCTATAAAGTGAAGTCGTGAGTTCAATTACCACTCCACATCACTGCAAGTTGTTACATGAATACCTTCTGTACGTGCACATCCAACGGTATATATGCCGATGTCGATACTTCAAGAATCAAGTAAAAACTTTATCGTCTGATTTTTAGATTGCAATTGATCGCAAAACTTATGTCCCTTTCTCATATTACTCCACATGTGTTGGTCCATCATTGTCTTGCATAATTTTCTCCCATACTGTAGAGTTGCTTGATTCTTAATAACTGCTGTTGCTTATATCCTTCTCTACAATCAATACCGATGTGCTACATGTTAAAGCTCAACATCAAATTGCCTGATATGGATATATTGAAAACGCGGGTCTAGCTGGTTTTTTTGTCTTGGTTTTAGCACTAAACATAGTATGCAGCATAGATTTTAGCTTATGAATATTAGCCGCGTCAGATATGTGGCTTCATGTTAAATTATCGCCTACTGAAGAGATAATTAAACGTTTGTTGCATAGTCTGTTTAAGGTTTTAACATACAAGGCTCGTATATCCAAAAGGTATATCTATTTTTATCTACCATTACTTCATAATTTACGTTACGTTGTCGTCTGATTTCATGTGAGAATGATATACAACACATGGGACGAGAAACTACAATTGTGGAATGGAAAGGACACACGCACATACCGAAGTTAGGAATATCACACGATATGAGATCGACCAATCCCCAGCACATTCAAAGTATTTCGCAGTCGTTGCTTTTTGGTGATATTGATGCCATCGTTGGCGTCATATTTAACCAAAAAGATGTGATGGCGACCCTGATTACAACGCCCAAAGACCCCCCCAAAGTCGTATCTCCCCATTGGCTCGACCTCAAATCCGCCACACGTGTTCACCCACTTGAAAAATTTTAGGTATCGACAAATATATTTCATTTCCTCTCCACCTAATCAAATAAGGGCTATGTCACCATCGATTAGCTAGAAACTTTCTTTGTCCTTTTCCGGGAAAATTTAATGCCCTCGACTCCCTCCGGTTCACGGTGCCGAAATTTCTTCCAAGGAAACAGTGAGGTTTGGAAAAACTTTAGAGAGCTACCATAGAAGTTCTGACTTTCAAGTTCAGTTTATTGTTGTCAAAGCTTAGCTTTGGCATATTAACCTCGGTCACCTCCCATAATGACGCATTAATGCACGGACATTGACCCCTCACCGGCAATATTATTTGGATCAAATGGGGTCGACCACGGAGGGAGAGAGTTGCCACTTTTATAAATGACATGCCTGCTTCTGTAGCCACGTGTTTCAAAGCTCATTTGATAGCGACAACGCCAGATCTTTCTATACTGATTCAATCCATTCATTCAATGGTAGCTTGAACAATTACGGTAGAAATACCAAATTGCGAATGTCGATTCATAGAGTGATGCGCGTAGAGTGATATTATGGCGTTCGCTTTGCCATGTGGTTGCTTGTACTTGTGCCCTTTGAAGTTTTCTTAGTATACACGAAATGTTTTCCATCATCGTTTAACTCAATTTCTGGGAAGAAACCGCAACTCTATAAGATTGAAGAGGTCAAAGAAAAAGTTGAGCGGAAGGAAAACAAAAGACTAGCAATCACTTTGACTAAATAGAAAAGATCTTTCCTCTATGCTAATGTTTTTTCCCCTTTCTTTTTGCCTTAATTTTTTTTTTTTGTAGAAACGGCATGTGTGGGAGGGAAAGAGTGGTACTTCTACAGCCGACGTGACCGAAAATACGCGACCGGGCTCCGAACAAACCGTGCGACGGCGAGCGGGTATTGGAAGGCCACGGGGAAAGACCGAGCAGTGCTTAGGAAGGGAACGCTCGTGGGCATGAGAAAGACTCTGGTGTTTTACCAAGGAAGAGCCCCCAAAGGCAGAAAGACCGACTGGGTGATGCATGAGTTCAGAGTTGAAGGTCCTCACGGCCCTCCAAATAACACTAAGATTTCTCCTCTCAAGGTAACACCTCCTTTGTTTTTATTTTTAGCAGTTCTTACCTGCTATTTTTCCAGGTTATATCGTCCATTTAGATTTTCTTTGAGTTTCGTTTTTGTTTTCTAACTTTGAAAAATCAACCATTCATTTCTCAGCCTGATGGGTTTTGCGGGAGTTATGCGCAAGTGGAGATTTTCTAAGCGCAGTTTCTTTGAAGTAAACCTTGACTTTCTTTCTTTTCTCCCCTTCTTTGTTTCACACACCGAACCCTAATTTGTCTTAGATATACACTATAGCTAGGAGTCGTACAAGAACCTTGGTTACTAGCTGACTTTAAGATGTTCCTCGTTGATTATTGGTGATCTTTAATTATTTTATTAGGCCTGATTAATGGTACCTGTTAATCTAATTATTCACTTATACGTGGAACTTGACCCTCCATCGGAATTCCAAGGCCATCGCTATCTCCGAATAAGCATCCAGCTTTCACGTTCAACCCCTTGATCTATACTAATTCGTACAATAATTAACCAACCAACTTGTAAACGATAAGCCACTTGCGCCTGAGGTGTGACCTTCATTAGGAGATGAAAAACAATGCCCCATATCCCGTCAACTGCTTCTAATTTGGTTGTGTTAGCGGGCGAAATAGTAGTTTAACCAATCATTAGCGCAAGGTCAGGTTTTAATATGAAGTCGTAATGAAAGCATGGAATATCTCTCTCAAGATTTGATTGTGTTTTTTTATTCTCTTTTTTAAAAGAAATGTCTAAGTCTCGTCACTGGTTTAACAGGAAGATTGGGTGTTGTGTCGGGTGTTCTTCAAGAACGTAGAAGTGGCCACCAAACCGAGCGTGGGGATGGTCAGTTGCTACGACAACAGAGGCACTTCATCTCTCCCGTCGTTGATGGACTCCTTCATCACCTTCGACCAAACACAAACTCAACCCAACCTTATAAGCAACATCGAGCAAGTGCCCTGCTTCTCCATTTTCTCTCCAAGCCAAGCCAATCCAATCCATGTGGAACCGAGCATGCCCACTAAGAACATCCTTAACGCATCCGCATTCGGGGCAATGCCCGACTTCAGCTCTTGTAATAATCTGGAACCCTACACCTGTGACAGGAAGGTGCTAAAAGCCGTCTTGAATCAGCTCACCAAGATGGACTCCCCAAGCTTGGGAGATCAAGGGAGTTCCGAGAGCTTATTGTCCGAAGTGGCCATGCCCAACAATATGTGGAATCATTTCTGAATTTTGGAGAGGCTTGAAAAGAGAGAGCAAAAGAAAAAGAAAAACTTAATTTGCCTTTAGTCTTAATATTAGTCTCGCACCCTCCAAAAAGGATGATTAATGTAAAGTATTAGTTATCCATGTGATGATTGATTATCTCCGTTTGGAAGTGCATATCTAGGCCGTGGCGTCGTTTCATTGTCGACTTTGGATGTGCTCTATACTAACTCTCGATTGTAATATCATCTTTGTCAAGTTAGGTGAATTGTTGAATTGTGATTTTCAAAGTTCAATCATTAATTGGGGTATATTGTTATGTACATACGGTGAGAGTATATTGGATATCATGCTTTCTCTTTGTCGGTATCTCTAATTACCCTTGAATACCATGAACATTTGCAAACCAACGCTGCCACCAAACTCGTAGAACTTCCAAGTATCCACAGTTGAAAGCGCATGTGAACTCTTCGAATGTGTGAACTATAATATATGATCGAATGATTCAATATGGACCCCATCTAGTCTAGCTATCAGTCTCACGACCTAAAATTGAAAAGAGAAAAAGAAAAAAGAAGAAGAAGAAGAAGAGAGAGAGAGTCAAGTTTCTGAAAAGTGACGATGTGGAGAAGCCGCTCTCAACTTTATTTTTTTACCTTCTCCATTGGCCTAATCTTGGTTTCCTCTTTCTTCTGTTTGACTTTTCTCTTTGAAAATTCAATGTCAAGACACACAAACCTCGACGAATGATTACACACGGGGTAAAGTTACGTCCCCACAGGTTTTGACCTCTTCTTGGGTTAGGCATATGATGCTGTTGGCTTCACAAGAATTTCACAGTAGAGTGGTTAACATTAGGAGTTCTTTCTTTTTTTTTATCGTTGTCATGCAAATGTGTGCATGGAACCACGATGACCAAACAAAAGCAAATGATTGCAAGTCTCACTTGCATGTCATTTCATCGGGAATAATTACTGTTAGAGAAATTACATCTTAAATCACACCTTTATCTAATAGTTGAAACGTCTATAACAGTTGATAGTGATCCCATAGAATCTCACTTGGTATCAGAGTTAGACGATCCTGAAGTTGCACCCAGTCCACATCTGAGTGCACACCCGGAGCATATCTCTCATCTCGTGTCTTTTTCATTTTCAATAACTACTAATATCCTAGAGATATTTCTAAGACTTATGACTCTTTGAAATCTTGATTTTAGTCAACAAACATCAAGGGCACTCACATTCGTCATTACAGTGTGTCTTGTGTTACAACTATGCTACAAAATAAATGTGAATATCAATCCTTGGATTGACTTAATGGTAAAGGAGTTGTCATGCTTTTGACTCAGAAATTGATGATTGTGGATTCGATTTTTGCTCTAACGAACTCAGATTTAAGGGGGAGACATATCGGTGGATTGACGTGCTAGTTCTTCTCAACGTAACCGGTTAATTATGGTCGTGCCCTGTATTATCAAAAGAAAATAAAAGAAAATGTGAAATACACTTAGAAATATGTGATTTAAAATGGGTGTTTCCTGATACAGGTGGGGGCAACTTATTAGAAAGATAGTTGCGTGGTGGTTTAAACCGAGGGATACTTCTTATACGATTTAAAATGGGTGTTTCTTTTATAAGACGTGCTGTACCTTAACTTCCTAATATAAATTATAATTTATCAGGCACATTGTTGAAGTTGAAGTAGCCCTTTTAAAAGTTGAAGCTCTGCGAAATAGTTACAAACACCACCTTAGAGTTGAGTTATGGCAATTGCACTTTGTCGAACTGAAAAGATGTTAAGAAAATAAGCAAAATGAGGCTCGTATATTATGGGATTCAATCCTCCTAAGCTAGGGATTTTACAAATGATATTACGGGATGGATTTGAGGAGTTACAATTAAGTAAGGTAATTGATATGATTTAATTCTTTTGTAATCTTTTTGTCATCTTGATTGCAAAGTGCTAGCATCCTCAAAATAGTGGTTGAGTCACTAGCTTGAACAGTCTCTTCAACCCATTGGTATTGAGATATCTAGATAGTCCAACCACCCTATATTCTCACGCACGCATAGATATGTTAAACCATTTAAATATTAAATCGCGCCTTTTATCAGCAGTTGGCAGTGTAACCATAAAATTTCACATAATATTATATCAGGAGATTGTGAGTTCAAATCTTTCTAGGCTCCTTATTTGTCTCTCCTATTTTAACATATTTTCACGCTTTAGTCTAAGGTCGAGAAGATTATCCAAAAAGTCTCAAACCTATTGTATGGAAACCAATTCAGTCCTAAACATTTCAAATGTGTCAATTTACTCCTAAACCTTTTGGTGATTTGCCAATTTAGTCTTAAATCTTTGATGATTTGCTAGTTTAGTCCTAAACCTCTTGACAATTTGCCAATGTAGTCATTCCGGTCAAATATCCATATAATAGGTTTGGAACTAAATTGGCAAATTTTCAAAAGGTTTAGGACTAAATTGACACAAAGAACGGTTTAGAACTAAATTGGCAAATTGTCATACGATTTAGGACTAAATTGACATAATTGAAAGGTTTATGACTGAATTGGCTGTCATACAATAGGTTTAGGACTTTCTGGACAATTATTCCATCCGAGTGCAAATTCCAGCTTACGAGCGAGGGAGAGTGCTAAATCATTTAAATGTTAGCCGTGCTTCATCCGCTTTTAGAGCGGTTGGAGTGGTTCTACAAAATTTCGGAATGACCATCATGGGGAGAGGGAGATGGAAAAGATTAGCAGCCACAAAATCATTATTTTGCGGGGGCAGACTTCATCCAAAAATTGATTGGGAATCTCTTCAAAAACTAGAGGAAACGCCAAGCACAAGAGAACAAGCAGCGGATGCCGTTTCGAAGGCAAAAACAATGGGACTGTCCCTGTCGCAGGATTAACAAATTGGATTAGGACAAATGCAATGGGAAATAAAGACCAAATCCTCGTGAGCTCACCCCAGAGATTCGCTGACTAAATTCCAAAGGGCATCGTTTGGTTTTGCTTTTGCTTCCCTTCCGAGACAAATCAAACGTACCCGGGAAGCAGTAGTTAGACAGTGGTCAAGTGCATCATTGATTCAATCCAGCAAGCAAGTCCCCGTTAAGGAAAGCACACAACATCAAGAGCTTTCTCTGTTGCTTCCTTCACTATAATCTCCCCGTTCGGAGAAGTAAGAGATCTTAATTAGACTCTTGTTTTGGAAGACAATCAAACGATTCTAAACTCCATCCATTAATTACTTCACGAGGGATCCAGCGGCCTATCGAAAACAGCTAGTCGTTGTCATTTTCCCGTCAGTTTCGCGTCCTCGAACTACAAAAATCAGCGGAACAAAAGAAAAATGAATTCTTAGAAGCCTTAAATTGAGGTATGCTTTCTGACCCTTCAAAGGAATGTTGCCTGATCAAGAGGTAGAAAGTCGGGCGGCTTCAGGAAAACAACTGTTGGAAAATAATCATTGTTCCTTACGAAATCCTACGATTTTAGGCAAAAACAACAGGGTTTGTAGACATGAACATGAGGGAAGTATCCTTTTCATCAGCACACGAATGCCAGTGACTGAATAGTTTCTTTATACAGGAATACAATGAGATGGTGAGAGAATCTGTGACCATTCATTAGTCCCCAAGACGGACAAAGCTTTTGCACAGTAGTAAACTATGGATGACGATGACAAATGGGAAAATATAAAGAAAAAATTAGGTGCGATGTGTAGAAAGTCTTTAATAGAATCTCAGTCTGGGATTATAATAATACCGAGCGAGGGAGGGGTCGTGTACCCGAGAAAGCAACTGATAACCAAACCCTCTTCCCTACTCCAAAGTCAGCAAGTTCTTCCACCACTACCCCATTTTTTGTAGGTTCACGATGAGCCTGTTTTCTTCTTTTTTCTCGAGACAGTGACCTAGCTACAGATCAACAGTAGCTAAGACAGGTGCAAATGTCTATGTGTGGTTTGAAATATGAATGACCCTTATGGTAAACTTGGATCCCATAAACTGTACTTGTAAAAAGTTGGTTCTAGGGAAAGTGAATCGATGTTTTCTATTTATTTGTTTTCTATTTATTTATATTTTTTGGTGGTGGTGGGGGGCAATAAAGTCGGTCGACAATAATGAACAGGATTTACGATGCTAGTTATACAATGAGTCCTTATTTACTACGATTGGTATCGGGAACCAGCCTATAGTTTATTAGAGATCCGCAATGTTTTATCATACAAATTTAATATTTTCAAGATGCGCTTCTTGCCTCTCAGAAACATGTGATGTAAAGATGTTCTAATTTCCTGGTAATTAAGCACGGAGTTCGTTCATCATTTCATCGGTAAAATGTGCTTGTTTCGAACGAGAATAGATTGGTAACCGGCATGTGAAAACATCGGATTCTGTGAGCTGTCTCAGCTGGTGTTTTGTCTGGGTTTTTTTCCCTGAAACCTCAAGAGACCTTCAACGTTTTCAGCTCTTTTAGTATGCACATGAGTCCAATCCAAACTCAGCAGCCCAAAAGAAAGCCCGAGTTATGTTCAAACCCACCATCTAAAAACCAGAAAAGGAACAGGGGGAGTCCACCTTGGAGGGCCCGTTCTGGCTACTCATGAACTGAAAGCCCGATATGAGGTTGAACATTCTTTGCTCCCACCCACTTTCTTCACTTTTTAAGGGCATGTTTCTTGATGATTAAGTTTTGAAGTAAAAAAAAAAATGTATCATTTTTCCCTGCCGTCGAATTTCAAAAAGTTATGAAAAAAAAAATTGTATGTGAATCTTTGTGCAATACTTGCATATTGTGTAATTCAAATGTTTAGGGTTGAAAAAAAGTCAAAGTGCGTCCATCGTAAGATTTAGGTCCAGTCAAAAATGAAAAGTAAAAATCTATCTAGACAAGCTCTTTAACATTTATTCTCTCATATTCGTATTTTTTGCCCCAAAACACACGCTTATGGGAGGCACATTTGTCTTTTTTTTTTTTGTCATTTTTTGTCAAATTTAAAACTGAATTGATTATAGTTAACATTTGATACATACGATAACATTTCTTTCTCCTCTTCCCCAGCACTTACCTCTCGCACGATTGCACTTCATCGATGGACAATGCTTTGATCCATCGAAGGAATAGTCCTTGGATCACACTATCTTGTATTTTTTTTCGAAACTCTCATACAAAATACCGTAACACCCAAAAAATTAAAACTTTTAGATTTAAAGGGCAAGATTACTTTTTTTATTTTATTTGGTGATCATCAAAAGATTGGCAACCATTTATTGAAAATCCTTAGCGACGCCCCTTCATCCAATTACCTTTCCAGCGCTTTTTCCCGATTTTTATGCATGTACAAATAGCAAAACAAAAACAAACACCATTTTATTTGATTACCTTTCCATAGCTCGTACATCTACGTTGTTTTACCAATAAACAATACACAAGTCGATAGATAAAAAGATCGAATTCATTTCACGAAATCTATAGTCATTTTCACTCGACAAATTACATAAATAAGGTTTCAGAGCACAACAGTGAATCAAATCCATTCAATTTCCCCAAGTTGAATTTATACGCCTTCAGACAAATTTTAAGAAAACCTCTCTCCATATCTTCATTTTCCCCAAATTTTTTTTTTCGTCTCCTCCCATTTTTTATTTTTCCAAATGGCAAAATAGGCACAAAAGAAAAAACAGAAAAAAAGAAGCAAAAAGTGTTAAATATCCGAATCCGACGCCTTCGAGTCCTCAAGTTCCCCCCCGACCCTGACACACACACACTAATGAAACAAAGAACAAATTAGCATATACCCTTGCAAGAAAGAAACCAGCTTCTGCTTCTGCTTCTCGGTGTCTGCCTGCTCCAATGGAGCTTCTGAATTCCCGCATCATTGCTCCGACCACGGAGGCGGCGTCCTCTCTGAAGCCCCCCCCGTTCGCCGCTCTCAAAACCAGGCCGTTCGTCCAACCCCCGCGGTTCGGTGCTCCCCGCGCCCGCTCCCTCGCCAGATCAGTGGAGCCGAAGCTCAAGGTTCAGTGCGAGCTCGAGGGCAGGGTGAACGGCTCCGCCTTCCCTTTCGACCCCGACTCGCGCTTCCTCGACCGGGTGAGACGAGACACTGATCGGAAAAAGACCGCTTCGGTCGTATTTTACGTTGGTGCTCGCTCGTAATGTCCAGGAATCGCGCAGTACCGTGAGAAAGATGATGCTAACTTTCGGTTCTTAAGGAGGAGTGGACGTTTTGAATTTTCTGTCTTCTTGTCGAGAGGGTACCTCTATTTTTGAGTTTCTCGTTCAGAACAGGGTGGGCATGGAATTGCCACTATGCTGTGTTCCGCTTGTTTGTTGCTATCTTGCTTTGCTAGTGTCATTGCTTTGATAAAGCTAAAAGGGGGCTTTTTCTATGGTCCGTGACCATCGCTCAATCCGTTTGGAAAGTTACCAGAAGGTTACTAGCACCAGTATACTATATCACATTGGGACATTTGCTGTCATGGCATGTAGTCCCAAGTTCATCAGCACAGGGCCGTAACGGATTGGGTGATGGTCATGGAAGGGACCTGTTAAAGTAGGCCGCTGCATTATACTATAGCTGTTATCAATTTCCACCTTTGTGAATCTGCCGCTGGAAAACAAGGCCGCGTACTATGGACGTTGTCAATTGTGATTTGGATAGAGTGCTACAATATTTCAAGAGTCTAAAACAGGCGCGCAAAAAAAGCTAGTCCTGTATCATCTTTCATTTATCTACTGACGCATGATCGCGAAGAATTTAGGCATTTGTTTGGCCTTGTCGATCTTTAAAAACTGCTTCTGATATGGGCCTTTTTCGTTTTCTGATTTCTAGCAAAAAGCTTTGGAAGCCGCGATGAATGACATAAACAGCTCTTTTGGAAAAGGAAGTGTTACGAGGTTGGGCAGTGCCGGTGGTGCGCTGGTGTACGTGATCTCTTCTTCGCTATGTTTCTTCCTTCTATCTATTTTGGCTTTTACGCGTGCGTAACTCGTAGAATGTTGGCAGGTGCATTACCCGATGCCATGTTAGAGTAGCAAATATGTGGTTGTGTGATATCAAATCCTGTGCTGTTCATCTCTTTGGCCAGCATGGTGTAGTTTTGCTGCATTATTTGGTTGTGATGGTTTAGTGAAGTACACTTACACTTGCTTTCTCTCTTGCAAGACAGCGAGACATTTCCTAGTGGATGTTTGACTCTAGATTTAGCTTTAGGTGGAGGCCTTCCCAAAGGAAGAATTGTAGAGGTATCTCTCCTTTGCTTTTGCGTCTATCTTTTCTCCAAATTTTTATCTTACCATGAAGTCCTTGCCATATGTTGCTCTTAGTTTATCCAGCCGTGTGTAAGACACAAAATATTGTTGTAGTTGCTTCTTGCTAAGTGATCTTTAAAGTCGATTATGCGGGGCTAAACAATCTGTTCTAGAGAAGCTGATAATCGGCATGAAGTTGATTACTTATGTTGAGTTGGTTGAAGGAGAAAAGACAAGCTAAAATTGTGTTATTTATTGAATCGCTACTTACAAATTTATAAGCTGTAGAAGCTTATCTCTAGGAACAGAAAAACAGTAAGATCCCAAAATACAAGTAAAATAAATAAGATATTTATCCCTAATGATAAGAAGAATTTTAAAAACAAATCCTAACTGAAATAGGTAAAAAACTAAATCCTAAAAATCTGCTAAGGATCCGCAACACTCCCCCTCAAGCTGAGTTGTACAGATCGTACATACCCAGCTTGTCAAGTAGACTTTCAAACATTTTTCTGGATAGGCCCTTAGTCAAAATGTCAGCTGTTTGATTCCCGGTAGGGACGTATGTTAGACTGATAATTCCATCTTCTATCTTTTCTTTGATGAAGTGTCTATCTACCTCTACATGTTTAGTGCGATCATGATGAACTGGATTATGAGCAATACTAATAGCAGCCTTGTTATCACAATACATCCTCATAGGCAGCTCCCCTTGAACTTGTAACTCTTTCATAAGACGACTCAGCCAAATAAGTTCACAAACTCCGTGTGCCAAAGCTCGAAATTCTGCCTCTGCACTGCTTCTAGCCACAACACTCTGCTTCTTACTCCTCCAGGTTACAAGATTGCCCCAAATAAAAGTACAATAACCAGAAGTTGATCTCCTATCTTCCACTGATCCTGCCCAATCAGCATCTGTATATCCTTCAATTAATCTATTCTCATTTTTTCTGAAAAACAGCCCCTTTCCAGGTGTACCCTTCAAGTATTTCAAAATTCTAAAGACAGCTTCCATATCTTCTTCAGTAGGATCATGCATATACTGACTTACCACACTTACAGCAAATGCTATATCAGGTCTGGTATGTGAAAGATAAATGAGTTTACCTACCAAACGTTGATACCTTCCTTTATCTACAGATGTCCCATCGACTTTCTGCCCGGTTTTGCTTAATGGTTCAATTGGAGTATCAACAGGTTTAGAGCCAAGCATCCCTGTTTCTTTCAATAAATCCAATACATACTTTCTTTGGGTAACGGAAATACCTTCTCTATTTCTTGCAAATTCCATTCCAAGAAAATATCTTAAGGATCCCAAGTCCTTAATTTCGAATTCAGCAGCTAACTTCCCCTTCAACCTTGACATTTCCTCTTCGTCATTACCTGTTAAGATGATGTCGTCAACATAAACAATAAGGATAGTACTCTTACCTTCCTTATGTCTATAAAAAAGAGTGTGATCCGTCTGTGCTTGACAATATCCTTGTTGTAAGACGGCTTTAGTGAATCTCCCAAACCAGGCTCTAGGAGATTGTTTCAACCCATAAAGAGCTTTGTTCAATCTGCAAACCTTTCCATACTTCTTCGCATCATCAAATCCTGGCGGAAGATTCGTATAAACTTCTTCTTCCAAATCACCGTTTAGGAATGCATTCTTGACATCGAGTTGTTGTAGTTTCCAATCAAGGTTTGCTGCAAGAGAGAGAATTACTCGTATAGTATTCAGCTTCGCTACAGGTGCAAACGTCTCCCCGTAATCAATCCCGTATGTTTGGGTGAAACCCTTGGCGACTAATCTTGCTTTGTACCTTTCCACCGAGCCATCAGATTTGTATTTAACTGTAAAAACCCATTTGCACCCTACTGGAGTCTTCCCCTTGGGTTTTTCAACAATATCCCAGGTGTTATTCTTCTCAAGGGCACTCATCTCCTCAAATACAGCTTTCTTCCATTGTGGTTCTTTTAACGCATTATGAATATCCTTAGGAAGATTTTCACCTGAAACCCTTGTAACAAAGGCTCTAAAAGAAGGAGATAGATGTCCATAGGAAACATAATTAGAAATAGGATGTTGTGTACATGATCTTACACCCTTTCTAACAGCAATGGGAATGTCGAGCTCACTAACCTTATTAGACTGATCCGGGTCCAAGAATTGACTGCTTTCGGGTTGCACAATGGTCTCCTTATTTTGTTTCAAATTTCTACGTGAATAAACACGTAATTCAGTGTGTAATTGTGGGCTATTGGGTACGGTTTCAGGACTGTTTGGTACGGTCTCAGAGGTAGAAGGAGACACAGTTTCTATTTCAATATTGGTTTCAGTAGATGATGGTATAGTGGGTAGAGTGATAGGTTGAGATAATGATTCAGGCATTGTAGGCAATGTAGGGACGGTAGGGACAGATTCAGTGAGCGTAAAGGATTCAGTGATTGTGTCCCAAGAATTGTCTTCCTCTATATTTACTGGTTTCTCCCCCTGAAGAGAATTCTTGAAAAAAGGTTGCTGTTCAAAAAAGGTAATATCCATAGAGATAATGTATTTTTTATGTTGGGGAATAAAACACTTGTAACCTTTTTTTGTGGAGGAGTAACCGAGAAATATGCATGGAATGGCTCGAGGTTCAAGCTTTGAACGAGAAGGATCAGTGATATGAATAAAACACTTGCAACCGAAAACTTTCAGTGGTAAGGAGGAGACAATTTGGTGATCTGGGAAAGTTTTGCAAAGAATGTTGATTGGTGTCTCATACTTGTGAACTCGTGAGGGTAACCGGTTAATTAGGTAACAAGCTGTAAGGATAGAATCCCCCCAAAGATATGTAGGTACATTAGTTGTAAACATGAGGGAACGGGCTACCTCTAACAAGTGTCTGTTTTTGCGTTCAGCAACACCATTCTGTTTTGGGGTACGGACACAAGAACTTTGGTGAATGATGCCGTTGGATTCCAAGTATTTCCCAAGAGTGGAGTTGAAGTATTCTGTACCATTATCAGTACGAAAGATTTTGATATTAGTACCGAACTGAGTTTTAACCATGGTATGGAATATTTGAAAGATATGAGAAACTTCACTCTTGTCTTTTAATAGATATACCCAAGTAAGACGGGTATGATCATCTATAAAAGTAATGAACCACCTTTTTCCCGTATTAGTTGTAACACGTGAAGGTCCCCATAAGTCACTGTGTATCAAAGAAAATGGTGAGGATGGGATATGTTCATGAGATGAGTAGGAAGAGCGGTTATGTTTAGCTAATTGGCATATATCACATTGAAAAACATCACTTGAAAGGAATAATGATGGAAATAATTGTTTCATATATCCAAAGCTCGGATGTCCAAGTCTGAAATGTAATAACATGAGATGTTTTTCACGAGTCGTTGGAAAAGATTCACAACTAACATTGAAAACATTTTTATTAATGCAGAAATCTGAAACAAAATAATAAAGTCCATCGTGTTCCTTAGCACTGCCAATCCTCTTCCCCGAACTCAAGTCCTGAAATTCACAAATAGATGGTGAGAACTGAGCCATACAATTCAAATCCCTTGAGAGCTTACTAATGGAAAGGAGATTGCAAGTCAACTTAGGGACATGGAGAACATTTACTAAGCAAATTGTCGGGCTCAAATGGACAGTACCCGACCCTGCAATAGAGGCAAGGGAACCATCTGCAATTTTCACTTTAATGTTACCCGGACTTGGTTGATATGTAGAAAAAATATTTTCTGATCCAGTCATATGATCAGTAGCTCCGGAATCTATTATCCATGGATCACAACCAGTAGATCCCCCAGAGAGAGCAGTTAAAAAAGTACCTTTCTGAGCAAGCAGAGAAGTGCTTGCAGCAAGAGGATTTTGTGGAGTTGTCGGGGGAGTGAGCAATTTATATAATTGCTCTATCTGCTGCTTATTGAGGGGAAGCTGGATCGGATGATCTTCATGCTTCGGTGACACATCCGTAGAAGCCGAGTATCCTCTAGTGTTATGAGGTCTATTATTTTTCAAATCTCCAGGCTTGCCATGGAGTTTCCAGCATTTGTCCCTGGTATGATTAGTTCTTTGGCAATAATCACACCAGAGATTTCCTTGGCGTTTGTTTGACCTCAGTTCTCCTCTTTGATCAGCCTTGTTGTGATCATTACGACGAGAAACAAGGGCTGATGATTCTGGGGCTGTTATATCAGATTTGTTGCTGCCTAACATCACGCGCTTCCTTGATTCTTCACGCCTGACCTCAGAAAAAATCTCCTCTATACATGGTAATGGTTTGATTCCAAGAAGACGACCTCGAACCTCATCAAGATCTCTATTTAGACCTGCCAAGAAATCGTATGCCCTCTCCTTTGCCATTCGGTCCTGATATTTCTTGGTACATGTAGCACAGGCCATAGAACAGTCATCATGAAGATCTAATTCCTGCCAGATCTTTACCAGTGAGGTGTAGTATTCTGTCACATCGGCTTCTCCCTGCAGTAGATTCCTTGCTGCATTCCGAAGTTCAAATACTTGAGATGAATTATCAAGGTCGGAATATGCCAAATTTAGATAGTTCCAGAGTTCGGCCGCTGAGGAGTAGTAGAGACAGCTACTTTGGATTTTTTCTGTCATGGAATTGATTAGCCATGACATAACAATGTTGTTGTTGGCATCCCATGTCTCGAAAGCAGGATCCTTTGAGTCTGGTTTTGATAGAGTACCTAAGAGATATCCGAGCTTACCCCTTCCTTTAACGACCATTAGGACTGACCGAGACCAAGAGAGGAAGTTTTTTCCATTTAATTTGAGTGAGGTAATTTGAGGAGAGGAGAGGGATTGATCAAGGAAAGAAGGAGTAGGAGCAATTGTAGAGGAGGACGTGATGATCGTAGAACGATCCGAGTCTGCTCCTCTGCTTGCCCCTGTCATGGCAGTCTTTACCATGGTTTTTTCTCAACTTTACAGATCAGAAAAACCACGCTCTGATACCATGTTGAGTTGGTTGAAGGAGAAAAGACAAGCTAAAATTGTGTTATTTATTGAATCGCTACTTACAAATTTATAAGCTGTAGAAGCTTATCTCTAGGAACAGAAAAACAGTAAGATCCCAAAATACAAGTAAAATAATTAAGATATTTATCCCTAATGATAAGAAGAATTTTAAAAACAAATCCTAACTGAAATAGGTAAAAAACTAAATCCTAAAAATCTGCTAAGGATCCGCAACAACTTATTAATGCATCTGTTGAAGTATATTTATGGATATTAGTCAGTAGTTAATAGATAGTCATAAATAAGAAAATTAGGGTGTTGTTAGGTTCAGTTATCTAAATTTTGAACTGCCTCTTAATCAGGCCATTGCGGGCACTTATTATGGGAGAATGATTGTAAAAATTAAGCATTTTGGACTTTTTGCGCAAGGCTTCTGCTTTCTACATTCTAATTGTGAGTTTTCCGCCTAGGATGAGTTCTCCGTGATAACTATGCTAATTAGCTGGGCATCACTTTGGCTTTTGTTCAAAAGGTTTTAGCTGTTGAACTTTTGAAATATCTGCTGATGAGCAATTTTCTGAGATCATCATACTTATTAGCTTTGCAGCACTTCTTCGATTAGCTACATGACCAAAATGCCATATCTGATTTAGTAAGAAATATCTGGACAATGATTTTCCTCTTGAATTGTCTTGATGCATCTGAGTGAACCACTCTTATTAGAATTTGAGATTGAGAATAGGATTATGCTTTTTCCCGTTGCATATGGATCATTATTATTGGTGCAACTCCTCCTTTTCCTCCTTTCCTGTGTGGCAAATCTTGATTAAAATGTATCAAAACTGCATTCTTTTTATTTGTACAGATTTTTGGACCAGAAAGTAGTGGAAAGACCACCTTAGCACTCCATGCAATTGCTGAAGTTCAGGTTTGATAACATGCTCCTTTTTTCCTCCCTGTTTCATGTTATCTCTTATGTTTGGTCCCCAGAGCAAAATGATTATCAATGGCAATATCTGTTTTTTAAACCAACATTCAGCTTTTATGTGCTAATGTTGCAGAAACAAGGTGGCAATGCAATGCTTGTTGATGCAGAGCATGCTTTTGATCCAGCATATTCTAAAGCCTTGGGAGTGGATGTAGAAAATTTGATCGTGTGCCAACCTGATCATGGAGAAATGGCATTAGAGAGTAATATGTCCTCCTTAGCATTGTAACTTTGGCTGCAGATTGTCTTCTCAATCTGACAAAAACCAGTATCATGGAAATGATGCTTGGTATATTTTCTCTGTAGGCTCACTATGCGTGTACTAATTTTTCTCACCAATCCTTGCAGTTGCAGATCGTATGTGCCGCTCTGGAGCAGTAGATCTTATTTGCGTTGATTCTGTCTCTGCTCTCACTCCACGAGCGGAGATTGAGGTGGCTGTCATGCTTTATTTCCTTTGGTTGTTTTTAACGTAAAAAATTGCCGTAGCACTGCGTCACTGTTTTCTTATAATAGGGCGAGATAGGAATGCAGCAGATGGGTTTGCAAGCCCGGCTGATGAGTCAAGCTTTGCGTAAGATGTCTGGAAATGCCTCTAAAGCTGGATGTACCCTTATATTTTTAAATCAAATAAGATATAAGGTATGAATAGTTGATAATGTTGTCGTCTTTGCATATGGAGAACATCATAACTCTTGTGATTGAAGACCGTTAAACTTTCTTCAATCACAAGAATTTGACATTCCTTAGATCATCATTCAACATTCTTTTCAGTTTTCTCAATAGTGTTTGCCAATGTAGTGATGATCTGTACGCTGGCTGGTTTAACCAGTTACACTTAGGTCAGGTTGACTTTCTCTAATGAACCATTCTGGTCAAGTTTTAACAACCGTTGGTCTATGAGCTGCCAACCTAATCAGTTTGCGCAATGTCCATATTTAACAACACTGGTTATGATTGATTTTTCCATAGAGCTAAGTAAAGCCTTCTTTTGTGTTAGATTGGTGTGTACTATGGCAATCCTGAAGTTACTAGTGGAGGAATAGCACTGAAGTTTTTCGCCTCAGTTCGCCTGGAAATACGTTCGACTGGGAAGATTAAGTCTGTAAGTATGATTTGGCTCTGCATTGATGGAGGCTTATCTGTTTACTTAACCCCTTTCCTTCGATAAGCTATCTCATTGATTCATATATGTGCAAAAGTAAAACGTATGGGACCAACTTTGGGCTATTGTAGGCTGATGAAGAAATTGGAGTTCGCGTTCGAGTGAGAGTTCAGAAGAGTAAGGTATTCCAGCCTCAGATATCTACATTGTCAACTGCATTTTTATCTCCTTAACTATTTTGTCCATTTGAATGGAGATCTATTGTCCTTAATAATTGTAAATCTGTTGCAGGTGTCAAGGCCATACAAGCAGGCTGAATTTGAAATAATATTCGGCGAGGGAGTGAGTAAACTGGTTAGTGTTTTATTAAAAAAACTTGTCTTTGCCAATGCGTCGTTTTTGAACTTTGAATCTAATATTGTACTTTGACATGCAGGGATGCATTTTGGATTGTGCTGAAATGATGGATGTCGTGGCTAAGAAGGGCGCTTGGTATAGTTATGGGGACCATAGGTTTGTATCTGAAGTTCTTATTTTGATTGAAAAGCCTTTTTTCCTACAATTGTAATTTTCTCGTTTTGGACATGCACTGCCATTATGGGTCTCTCTTGGATCTAACATGAAGCAGACATAATACTTTCAATTTTGAGCAACACCTAGCATATTTCTCAACTTCTTTCTTCCTTGGCGAAAATGCTGTTTCTGCCAATGACTATGTTATTGATGACCAACTGCGTCTGCTTGCTAGAACACCAGAAACCCATTTCTTTCGCGTGTTCCATCATTCTTTCATTGCTGGGTATTGAGAATATCAACTTTTAGAATTTGTTAGTTGAGTAGAAACACTTAATTCTCTGTTTGTTTTGAGATTTTTAATATTTGGAAAGCTTTTTAAAAGTAAAGCATCAATCTACTTTTCTTGAGATACACAATTGCTGTTACTAATTGCTTTTCTGCTGCTATTTATTTCTGCAAAAAGATTGGGGCAGGGACGAGACAAAGCATTACAATACCTGAGAGAAAACCCTGCTTTATATGAGGAGATAGAGAAGGTATGATGCTGCTGATCTTCCTTTCCTTGTTAATATCCACTTGTGATGTTTAATGGAGCTGGACAATTGTTGATAGATGCCCTTTCCGTTTTGGTTAAACATGTGGCTAAGTTGCTATTGTTTTAATGATTTATGGAAACGGTCTTCATTTCCGCATGCCAGATGGTTCGGTTGAGGATGGCAGACGGCATCGGCCTTGTGGGATCTCCTCATGGTAAGAACTTGCCCATGCCTCTTCAAGAAGAAGACATCTGAGGAAATCCAATGAGATGGAGATCGTAAGGTCAGTTCATGGATGTCTTAGAATGGACTGAGGGAACTATGACGTGTGTCCAAGCACATTTCAATATGGCTCTTCCGTGGACCACGGCGGTTTCGGTAGCCCTGCATGTTCTGATGGTTGACTGGTAAATTCTCCTAAGTCGAAAGGGCTTTGAAGCAGCTATAAATGCGGGAATTCTTGGGACTTTAGTGGCAGAAGCTCCGAGTTGCTCTGATTCCGGGCTTTATCCATTTTAAATCAAGAGCGATTCATAGATGTTAGGATGGGAGGGCTTGACTCTTTTTTCGCGAGAACATACAATATTCAGTTTCCTTCTCGATTCATTGCTATTATTTTGCCTCGTAAGTTGTGATGATAACAAGCCTCTAACCAGTCAGACACATGCACTCCCATGCGCACCCTTTTGCTATTCGTCTGAGGGCGTCGATACCTTGTTTTACCTTGTCTTTTCTTTCTTTTCTGGGATCTTTCGTGTACGTACTTTGTTTTGTCGTAGTTCTATTGTACTACTTTCTATGCATTGTAAAGAGATGAAAAGAGCAAACTACCCGAAAGAAAAGTGGAAAAAGAGAAGCTAATATGTGAAATCTGAAAGAGCTACTACAGATGCAAAACAAAAAACTTATGGCCACGTTTATTTCCTCCCATTGGGATTTTACTTGTCTGTTATGCTGGTGACTTGCACTACTATCAAAATCAAAAGTGGGTAAAGTAACGAACAAGAAAAGATAAGAGCTTGCTCAGACTTTTTCACTTGATAGCGGTTTTCCCCTCAACCATCAGGGAAATTGCGCAATGGTACGACACTCCTTGACAAGAGGAGTTTAGCCCGATCCTTTGATTTCTTGTTCTGAAAATGTACTCGCTCATTCCCAATGTTTCACACCTTCTTATCTAGAACAAACATGAGTAAAAAGATCATCGGACGTTCCTGTGAAAATCTGGTTAGACCATAAATGATGCATTCTCATGACCCTTCACAAGACAAAAGGTTTTACATAAGGATGAAGTACAATAACCTTCAGATATTTTACAGCAGCTACATATAACAGCGGGAATTGATTTATGCTGTGTTGGTTTTATTGTGCCAAAGCGCTGGTGTTGAAAACAAGAAGAGCCCCTCCAGCAAGATGACCGGCCCGAGTGAGCCAAATGGGCAATCCTATCGTACCTGGAACGTAATGTAGGCACTTAAAAATGATGAATACCAAATTTAAATTCTGAGCCTGAACGCTTAGGCACTCGCAATGTAATTGGTAGGATAAGAATTACTAACCACCAACATAGACATCACCACTGGGAGACCATTCTTCAGGTGAGTGTATGGGACTGTACAAATGGTAACGAATCAAACAAGGGTTTAGAGGTGAGGCAAAAAATCAACAAATCATTATACGAGGCAATCTGTCCATGCATGTCATATAACATCAAACAACAAAAATACTTTGCAGTGACAGAGGCAGCAGGCAACCTGCGCAAGATGCTAAAAACTACAGTTAGGAGTGCAGTGAGGCAAATATCATTTTTTCTGATTTAGGAGCTTGAACAAATATATTCAGTATCCATCAAGCCTTCTCTCTTGGAGTTCAGTTCTTTTTCAATGTACTTGGTGAATGCTCAGATGAACATAAACGATCTTGCTCTAATAAAATATTTTCCTGCTCACTCAACTAGCCTTGAAATTTCTGCCTCAACCACCCACCGGACAGGAATTACACAAATTACAGATGTGCTTCTCGTCTCTCGGTAAAAACTCCACGAAAGGTTTTGTATTTCGCTTTTAAAATCCTTAAAAAGAGGAGGTCATGGTGACAAAGTTAACCTCGTTTCCATTCTCTGCTCTATGACCCAACACCCTATTTTATTACGAGGCACCTTCGGTGAAGCTTGCCTTGGCCTCACCATCGAGGAGATATCAGTATCTGGAAAGGCCTATTCCTACTTTGAAATTCTTATTGTATGCTGAATACAAATTTGAGTAGCAGACCCAGCTGCCTGAACCGACATGAAGGACAATGCCCATTACAGGAAATGGACAGTGAAGAGAGACACAAAAAACCAAAAGAAAAAAAAAATGGAGGGAAGTAACAGAAGAAAGATGCTACCTGTATCCGTCGACATTGGCACCATATTTGTCCACAAACTGGTGCACGCCCTTTCCCCGACTCCAGCATTTCGATAGATACTGACCCTGTAAATAAGAAATGCAGCGTGAAGCACCGAATATCGTTACAAAGGACATCAAGCTGACAGGGTTTTGAGTAAATTTGTTCCGGGGCAACTGCTCTGCTACTGATAGTCTTAGTCCTAAAACAGATGCAACATCTAGTCTTCCTTTGAGCCATTTGGTTAGTTTTCTAAGTTGACGCTTTTACTAAGTATTTCGTCCAGCGGGGACGGGACATCGTCAACTAATGAAGTAGTGTAAGGTTTGCAAAAATATCATGTCATTGAAATTAAAAGTAAAGATAACTGAAGGATAGTGAATTTGTTTGATTTGTGCCCGGGATTTCCTGAAGAATATGATGTGACTATTTAAAACTTACAATCGACGGTAATCAACGGAAGTTAGGAGATTATAAAAAAGAGTTACAAAAGGAGGTTACGAACTATTACATTGACTCCATTATCTTGACGGTTGCTTTATTGCACTATGTTGACATTTGATTCTTTGATGGTTATATTCAAGATCGTCGATTCCACTTTTATCAATTTCTTCAAGTTGCCGATTTTTCAAGTTATCATATATCGAAAATAATAAAAAAAACTGGACATTTTTTTTTGCGAACAACCTGCAAGTGTGATCCACATGATATAGATAATTGAAATGGTACTGATAATCGAGTCATATTAGACTCCTTCCCAACTTCTAAAGCACCAAGTAAAGGCAAAGCCCATGTCGAGCCATATCCAAGTTCTCTTCTCCCTCAGTTCTTGCACTTGACAAATCAATTCTGCAAATCATAATCTTGGGTCAACTCTATAGATAATATTTCTTGGGGTCTTGTGCCCGCAGATATAAATGACACTATCAACAAAAACTTGCCATGTCATCAAGAAGTGATGTTATAATTATATTTATCTTCTTTTATACTTTTAATAGATCATTAATTAATTAGATAGAATTGGTGAGAAAAAAGTTACAAAGAGACGCAAAATATGTCAATGGCAACTTTCAAAAGAGTACCTGACTCCTACAATCGAAATAAATAATACAATTTCACATGTGCACACTCAAGCGTGGGACTTTATCCCGCGATCATAGGTGATATATGTTGATAATTGATGATTAACCACACACAGTATCAAAACTGTTGACACTAGGACCGGCACCACGGGGAGGTCGCGACAAAAACAAAGCTAGAGACTTCTTTTTTTCTCAATTGTACGGAAAGCACACTTTTCACTTCGTACTTGGACATTAGCAAGTATTGATTTAGAGTATATCTATATAGTACGGTCGCTTAATAGAATGAATGTCGTTGCATAAATCTTCCTTACATGAACATCGGGTCTGGGAATGCCGAACTCTTTCCACCACAACCACCATACTTGGCACGGCAAGCTCGTGTCAAAGCGTACCCCTCCATATGTATGTAGAGTCCAATCTCCCAAGACTCCTATACAAATCCTTATTTCCGACATAGGTATGAAGATTCATGTCGAACCTCAGCTCATGCTTTGATTTTGGGCTTTATATCTGGTGAGGACATTGAGAAGCCGATCACCCCCAATGTTACTGTTATGGTGCAAACGAGATTTTATTCAGGTTTAATCATTATCGGCTGACGTCCACAATTCGAGCAGCATTCTAAAAAAACCCAACACGCAACAGAAAGGATGAGCCACGACGTCAACTTGGGGATCTTCTTTGTGTGGTTGACCCACCAACCCTTCTTATTCTCCTCCTCCTTCCTCCTTAATCGCCATCAAAGAATTGCTCAGTCCAATGAGGAGATCGTCACCGGAACGGGTTGAAAGTTGGTGGGTTGCCACCACCTGCACCTGCAACCCGAATGAAACCCACCTTCACATCCACCCCCTTCCCTCCTCCTCCGGTCAACCCCGCGACGACGACTTCTCCAGCCCTTCCCCGGTTCAGAAGACCTCTCGCTCTTTTGTAATTCCCCAATTCATCATAATCTGTCTACGACTATGAACGCTTCCCTTCTCTTTTGCATCCGAATAAACAAAAACTCTAACCATCCCATCGGTTCGCGTAAGCAAATAATGCAAGAAAATTCTCATCCGTCATCGCCATGACGGTGTCAGTGCCGTCTCTTTCATCAACTAGGCCTACTAGCAATCATGATGGTGAACACATTATAATGGAAGTGATAATACGCTAAAGTCGGCAATACGGTGTTACCCACATACCCCAGCCCCAACCCCAACCGTAGACAGCACACATCACGTGGATCGAGAGAGAATATCTGGAACCCAGCAACAGGAATCCCTTCGAGAAGAGGGGAGCGCAAATAAGACAAAGCCCGTTCACGCCGAGATTATTATTATTGAGAGGTTTTTGCTAAAAATAGGTCCATGGATCATTTGTCGAGCAATTGAATAGATATTGGGTCGACGGAATATCCAACTAATTCAGAATGCAATCGCCGAATGTAGGATCGTTTTGTGTCAATGGCTCGCGTGCCTAATTCATCTGTGTTTAATTCTTAACGAACTTAGAGATCATTTGATTTTTTTGTTTCCAAGGAGCCTAGTCGGAACTTATTCAATTCTCAAGATTTTGATTACACACCTCCTCGAAAGGCTAATGGGTTACAATTGGAAACTATTTCCTTAATTTTAGTTAACAACGAAGCATGTGGATACCCTCCTAATAGCAAAATTCCTGTAATTAGGACAGCCTTGAACGCAACACCATGCGGTAAAAAAAAAATTAAACGGGGTCAAAAACATCGACTCGGCAACAAGACAGGAGCGCCGGGGGGGAAGGGAAGGGGAGGGAGGTAGAGAGGGGGAGCGCGTGGGGCCCCGAGTCCCTCGATCGCCCTAATCCACAAACAAAAGAGCCACATTGGCGCAAGCAAAGCGCAGGAGGAGCCAAAGCCGAAAGGCCGAAAGCCAAAGCAACACCAACAGCAACAAACGCTAAAATAATAATAATAATAATGGGATTCTCATTCTCTGCAACTCCTCCTCCACCTCCTCCTCCTCCTCTTGCCTCCACTCCTCCACTTTCCCAAGCTTTTTCAACCTCCCTCTTTTGTCCCTCACGAGCATCCCCTGAACAGCAGCAGCAGCAGCAGCGGCAACAGCAGTAGGAGTACCGCCGAGCTCGCTCGCTCCCTCCCTCCCTCCTCCCCGCGAGGGTTTTTCTCTCAGACACACCCGCATTTGGCTCTTCTCTCTTAGGGTTCACGGGTTCTCCGAGATTCGTCGCCGCTTGTTTTGCTCTCGAGTTCAAGGACGGGGCTCGGTTCGGTTGCGGGCTTTTTGCAGTCAAAAGGATGGAGGAGGGGAATATTTGGATGATCCCCGGGCTGCTTTCCTGACCCCGCCCCCCGGCTTCTCTTTTGGTCCTTTTCCCCCCGCTTTTCTCTCTCTCCCCCCGGGGTTGACGTACACGGGAAGCAATTCGAGCTGAACGTGATCGAATTCAATGGGTTTCATGTGAAGCAGTTTCGTCAGCTCCGAACTCGGCCGAGTTGGGGAGCTTCGTTTGCGTCGGGACGGCAGGCCCCCCCCTGGATCTTAAATAGCTGGCCTCGCTCCGACATGAAGCTCGCCTCGAGCTCTTGGAGATCTATTTTCCCCTTATAAGATGCTGTAATCGTCTTTGGGTTTTTGCTTCGTTTGCCCACATCCAGTTCCGCTGATTGTATGCTTTCTGGTGCTGGATCTATGGAGGACATAGGGCTGTTCAAGCAGGGTTGGGAATGGGTCCTGTCGCAGAAGCGCTCCCTCTCGCGTGCCAAGAACGCGATGTGGCGCGTCCGAGATAGAATCTGCGTGTTCGTGGAGAGGCATTGGCCGACGGTGTGGGGCTGGTGTTCCCAGTTCTGCAAGGTGTTGCTTCTGTCGTTGATGTACTGGAGGGACTGCTTCGTCCGGGGTTCTCAGTCGGTTATTGGGTTCGGTTCCGCCTCTCTGCTCCTCATCATGTGGAGTTGCTTCCTCAGCCTTACTTCCATGTCTTGCTTGATTTATGTCGTTCTGAGTATGGTATGTTCGCCTCTCTTTGTTGCATCCGTCGTTGTGGAATTTATTGCGCGTCCGATGCGGATGTTGTCTTTTTGGAATTTTGTTGTTTTGTTAGGTGTTTCCCTTTTTTGTTTCCCTTAAATGTGTTTATTGCAATTCGGTTCCTACATTTTCTGACCGCTTTCTTGGTGATGGTTGTTGACTCGTCGATGATGCGCTTTTTTTTTTTTTTCCGAATCTGATCTGAATTGTTCTTTCTACACAACTACATGATGCAGAATTGGCAATTTCCTTGTCTGATCTCGAGGCTTGGTTATCAAAATCTGTTAAAAGGAATCGAGTGAACAATATATAGACTTGTATATGCGTGTTTTGCGTATGTACAAATAGTAACAACTATACCTAGAAGATCTTGATGGAATGTATGAGTTGTTACTTTGTCATCTGATAGGGAAACCGTGCGTGAATAGAGTTAGGGTGAGTTTGTTTCCCGGAAAACTCAAGATTTGGGAAACATTTTCCGGAAAAATGATTGATTATATCGGTTGGAAAAATTAGTCAACGGAAAGTGTTTTCACTATTGATTACAATTTATGCCTAATTATTTTTATGGATGATGAAAATATTTTTCGTTTATTTGTTTTTGTAAACGATACAATCGATCATTTTTCGGAAAATGTTTTCCATATCTTGAGTTTTTCGTGAAACAAACGTACCCTTAATGTAAATTCACCAGATCTTATCAAGTGGCGTGAGATTCATTATCCTTTTCTGGGTATCTCAGAGAAATGCCGCTGACTTTCCTGTTGAATTCTTTTTAACTTTTCAGGGAGCTGCTGGAGCTGCGGTTAAGTACTTGGGATTTACTCCTGGGCTGTTTATTGTAGGACTCTTTGCTATTTTAATTTTGTGGATGTTTGCTAACTTCTGGATAACGGGAACATTGTTTGTAATAGGAGGTATAAGTTGGCTTCTTTCCCTTTGTACTTAAAAATCAGTCTATTGGATTTTTTTTTACTTCCTCGATGCCATTCTTGCTGATCTTCATGTATTTAGAGATGCATTATACATGCAGAGTGGATGCTTGCTAAAACTCCATGCCATTTAGTTCATCCTTGCAGCTGCTCTTTTCGTGCATCTTTCATGTGGATAGTCATTAGCAGCTTTATATATTAATTTCTTGCTGTACTTGGCCCAAATAGCGGTTTCTATTTGATGCTGCTGCTGCATTGTTTAGGAGAGAAAATAAGATGTGTGCAGTTAATGTGGTATGGAATGTACTTTCAGGAAATTATGCTAGTTTAGTACGTGCTAGCCAATAGATTAGCCACTTATCTTGTTCAAGAGAGGAACTTAATCACTTAACGGGACAAATTCGTTAATGGAAGATGCTTTATTTTTATGTTGATTAGCATCTTAGTTACTACCTGTTGTAGCAAGAACCTTGGCTGAAAATAGGTCGCTCGTGACTTTTCTCTGCTAACTTAAGTAGCTATTTCATTATGAAAGAATCTCTCATTGGTCTTTTCAGCTGGAACTTCTTTTACTCGCTTTGATTGTCTCCTTCCTTCTTTTCTGTTCTGATCGTTACTGTTGTCACTGTAGATGTACTGTGTATGTAAATTGAAATCTTGTAGCTGGACTAAACATACTCCAATTTTGGGTAGACTGTAGACATGATCTGAATTTTACTTATTTCCTCTCTTTTTTTCTCAAATAAAAAAAATTAAATCATCATTCTATAGGAAATCTGAATTCCCTTGAAGTTTGTGTTATGGTCTTGGAGTGTTTTGGAGATAACAGTTGCATATTTTGTTGGAGCCTAATATCATGTTCTATTAATGGTGAATTGTTCGTGCACATTGTGCAACTGCTGCAATTGTTACAGTTAATGTATTTAGAGTAAGAGAATGATGTTTACCTGACTGCAAAGAGAAGTGCAGTTACCTAGAAGTAGATCATGTTATGCTATGGATTGTACTACCGTAATATGATCGAGTTGTGGAACCTTAGCAAATATATATTCAAACTATCCACTATAATGACGAAATCAGTTTGAAAGTTGTTTCAACGTTTAAAAGTGAAGTCCAACTTTGACTATAATGCTAACGTTTTGATTCTTGAACACGCAAATGCAGGTTACTTGTTCTCCCGCAGTCATGCCCGTCTGGTAATATTGATGGCTACCATTTATGCCATCTATTGTGTCAAAGTTCGAGTTGGATGGCATGGTGTTTTCCTCTCCATCAACCTTGCGTTCTTCTCAAATGACGTGCTAGCATATTTGGTTCAGTGTTGTGACAATATTTCTGAGACAAGGCACTCCGAAGAGCAGAAAGAGTCGGAAACACTGACTGAAGATGAATTCTCTGGAGAATGTGAATTCTCTACTTTGAATGAAGAGCCTGAAAAGTTGCATTCATGTAAATCATCCAGCAAACAGCCTGCTTCCTCATCGTTTATTTGTAAGCAGAGAGAATTATCCGGAAATAAGGAGTTAAAAGAAGAAACTAGTTCATTAGATGAGATGAAAAGGATATTAAATAGTGTGGACCATTATGAAGCACTTGGGTTTCCTCGGCAAAAGAAAATTGATGCTGTGGTGTTGAAAAAGGAATATCGAAAAAAGGTAGGTATGAATTGGTAATGTTTTTATTCCTTTTATGTTTTGCTGCTGCTTGGCATTATCAAATCCTTAACTTCTCATTCGTGAGGATATAATAGTTCTGAAGCTTCTGATATGTTGTTACTTAGTATGTCACAGAAAATTATTTTAGGAATCTAAATTAAGATGTAAATTTAGGCTTTAGAACTGTTATTGGAGAAGAAATAAATAGTCTCTTGATCGTTATCCTCTACTCTTCCATCAATATGGTAAACACCGTTAGTTGTTTATAAACTAATAAGTCAAATGTTTCAGTAACATGATGTGGCATTAATATGCAGCTTCTGGAGATGTGTGTTGTTGATTAATATCTAGTAATGGTTCTACCATACTTCTTTTTGCTTAACGTGGTGTTTATTTATATGTCATGTTTGCTTGCAGGCCATGCTTGTGCATCCTGATAAAAACATGGGAAGTTCACTAGCTAGCGAATCATTTAAGAAACTTCAATGTGCATATGAGGTGAGCATTTCCCTTTATGATGCATTTCTTAATGCACTGGTCAGCTAGTTTCCATTTTATTCCAGATGTTGTGGAAAAACTAGAAAGATGAAGAACATCGGGTTTCAAATTTTCTTAAAGTGGATGTTTCTTGACAGGTCCTCTCAGATTCCACAAAGAAGAGAGACTATGATGAGCAACTGAAGAAGGAAGAAAACAGAAGCAGGAGTGTCTGTCAAAAGTCCCACTCGCATCAGGTGAAACTTCTGCCATAGTGCTAGTTTCCATTTTATCCCTGTGCGCTTGTTTTGCATATAATGCGGATAAATTCAGCAGAAACTTTCAAAAAGATTTAAGTTCTACTAATTGATTGGAGCTTTGCCTAGCCTATCAATTACAATTTAAATCTGGATGCCCTCCCTTGAATTCACACTGTCTTTAGCTGCTTATTTTACATCAATATCTATGTTTCCCCCCTCTCTCTGGCATGTGATAGAGTGTCCTCTGGAGTTTGTTTGGGGAACAAATGAGCAGCGAAATTTGTGGCAATTCTAGGAGGACTATCTTGTATTGCCCATGCATGTGCACCCTTGCGTCTTGTATGCTTGTTGTTGTTAGTTTCACTGTTGTGGTCTAAATATTTGTCTCTCTGATATGATTTTGCCCTTCGCTTCTGCATTTTCTGTGTCATTCATTTTGTAAATTTCCTTACTTCGCACCATACCATCATCATTTAATAAGCAGGAAAATCATGATTATTGTGCTGAGGAGTCAAGACGTATACAATGCACAAAGTGTGGAAACTCTCATGTATGGGTGTGTACCAATAGGAGTAAGACCAATGCTAGGTGGTGTCAGGTAGGTCCTCTTCTCATTTGCTCTACCTCCATTGCTTCTTTTCTCTAAATTTCTCTCAAAGAAAAATCTGTCAACTTAGAAAATGCAACGAGGAGAAAACATATAATGCACGTCATTTCTTAATTTGTGTGAATTACTTTTTCCTGTATCAGGATTGTTGCCAACATCATCCAGCCAAAGATGGGGATGGATGGGTTGAATACAAGGGCTCATTGGTCTTTAATAGGCCTCAAAAGGTAACACACTTGCAATCAGCCTGAAACACTTGATGTGCTATTCCTTATCCATTGGTCATTAGGGAATATATGGTGGGGCCTCACTTATGTACTGTTCTTCTGGCATTTGTCATGTGAAGTGTTTTACATTATAGCCCAATCTCCAAGATAAAATTCCCGATGAGCCTTTCTTCTGTGCTATCTCTGCTTTCTAGCATGTATTTGCATATCATAATTTGTCCTTCCTTTTCTCATAAATACTATTGAAAAAAGAATGTATCCAATATTCTTTTTCCTGAATGCTCGAACAAATCAACAGAACAAAATTCATTTCATCTGTAACCTGGAAATAGTTATCTTTAAGCGCATTTTTGGTTTTCTTAGCTAGTGAAAGTTTACATATCGGTTGGAACAACTCACAAGGGTGACCTCTATCCCCATTATTTCCCCTTTTCCTAAAACATGCATGCCACTTGAGTCAGACTGCATATGGACGTGTGTGATCTCCGTGTATGCTATATTCATTGTCATTACAACAAAAAAGTTTACTTCTTCACCTATTGATTCATGAAGCATTCTTTCTCACTGATACCAGGGGCACTGGAAGTTCATTCGATCATTGCAAAACGAAATCGGAGTCATTGCTCCTTTTTTGTACGGATGTGCTAGTCATTTTACTTATGCAGTTTCCTTCTGTCCTGCAGGTGGAAATACCACGCGCTTTTGTCTGTGCCGAAAGCAAGATCTTTGATGTGTCAGAATGGGCCATCTGCCAGGTCAGTACTTCCTCGCAGTTTAGTTCATTTGCCCATCGTCAAACTAGTGTCATAGAAAATTCTTAAACATTATTATCCTTTTAGGAGTTTGAACCAATGAAGGACAAGGCTTTATCACCAATAGGAAAAAGAACTAGGTGAAAAAGAAACATCAGTAGACATTTCTCAAATGCTTGGATACTTACTGTATTACCATTCCTGTGATATGTATCCATCACATACACTGATGAATGCTTTTTTACTCGATTTCTGTGCATTACGAACTCTAAGGTGCGACTGCTGTCATGGGTCAAGGATATACCTATTCCATTTATGTTTACTACCATTTTTAACTCTAGTAACATGCTCGATTCACACTTTTATAGTTTATTCAATAGGAAAGTGATTTTGGCCGTTACTTTAGAATCTTCATGTCATTAAACTTGCCAAGGGAGCGTTGAGAAATGAAGCTGGATGTGAAATTTTAATTTGCTATACCTCTTCTTGAGTGGTTCTGAAGTGAGTTATATTGACTTGTACCTGATCATCCTAGCAAACATCTCTTTACATTACAAATTACATTAGATGGTGCGGTTTTGTTCTGAGTATGGTATTTACAGGGAAAAGAATGAATTAGTAAGGATTTTACCGACTTTGCAAAATCGCCTGCGGAAGATCTTGACAAGTCTTGTGCTTCGTGGGGAGCTTGTTTATTTGTTGGAGTTTTGGTTCTTTTCATTTTTTTATCAGTCATTCATGTAGCGAAGTAGGGAGACAAAGATCAAAATAGTTATCTTTGTACTCCTGGACATTATTTCTAATCCTTACAATAAGCTCCTTGCCAGGTCGTAACAATTAGGATTCTCCATTTTGCAGCATTTACCTCCATAAAAACTGTTTCTATAATTTGCCAAGTAGCAAGAAACACCGCAGTTGTTCTCAGTTGAAATTTTTTCTTCCTCTTTTTTGCTTTTGATGGGTTTGGAACATCCTTGTAATTGGACTTGAATGTACCCGAATGCCTAACAATGTCGTATCAGTCTTTTGGAAGGGCATTTCACAGTTGTCCTCATCATGGTTGTATCCACGCAGGGTATGGCTTGTCGGCCCAACACTCATCGTCCAAGCTTCCATGTGAATATGGTTGGCTTGGAAAGGAAATCACAGCGATGTAACTCAAGTAGGTATCCATGGGATCTGGATGCAGAGATGATGGATGAAGAGGACGAATTCGAGTTATGGCTTCAGCAAGCCCTGGCCTCTGGCCTCTTCTGTGAGACTTCCAAACGCAGAAAGAGCTGGAGTCCATTCAAGTTGCACCAGTTGAAGGGTAAGAAGCAATGGAGAAGAGCTTCATCATGAATGGCGGACCAAGCATAGAATTGGCCAAGTTCTTTCTATGCTCCTCGGAGCTGAGATATCACAGGACCAGGATTAATTGGCAGAGAATATGGTGATGTGTCTGATGTACCCAAAGCATGTTATGTTTGACCAGCCAGCCTGTCCAAACTCATCGAGGATGAGGTGAATGGAATTGAGGTCCTGGAGTTGAGCGACTGCTTTCTTCTGTTATCGTGTAAATAGATTTAGGTCATCTCTACGGCATTTCCTTTGATTCACAGTGTCAGTTTTGTCGAGTCCCTTTTGGGGACGGGGAATATTTTGAGGTCAAGTCAGAGGGCAAAACTGATTTGTGTCTGTTGTACATTATTCAAGCAATCTTTGCTTATTTAAGTTGTAGCACAGGTTCTCCTAAAAAAATTTGCTCTCCCAATAGGTCTATTGTGGCTACATCCTCTCTTTGAATATCCAGATACTCATACTGGAAGGGGAGATGTACCCAAGTGTTTGTAGAAGGCATCGTGTAGCTTTGTCACACCTACTTCAGGTTCAGTTATGGTCTTGGATACAACAGCTTTAAACTGTTGGGAAACATTTAGAAATTGAAACATCCATTGATTGAATGTGACCGATTTGAGATTTTATTGGTTCCAACCAGATTCAGTTGGTGAGCTTTTTATCACAAACTTGGTGATTTGCCTGGTGCAGCTGTCCCCTGCTATAGGCAGGCTAGACTAGTCTATATCGGATGCTGGCAACTGCAATTTCTTCTAGCTTTATGATGGGAGCAAGTCAGTCTTTGTTTACTTCTGCGTTCATGGCGCTGTTTTTGGTTGAAGTAACAACTGGTAAGGGCTCGAATGATAATTATTTTGTTCCAGAAATCAATTCTGGCCAGAAATATATTTTTCTATTTGTATTCCATGGACGAGTTTATGAGTCAAAATACGCGTTTGATAATGATGTAAATTTTTTATTTCAGAAATAGAAATTTGTTTGATAACGACACAAAATCTCTCCCTCCCTCCCGAGCAGCAGTGGACAGCGGGCGGTGGCTGGAGGTAGCTGGTGATGGGAGACAGGCGGCGAAGGACGGCGGCGGGAGGCGGAGGACAGTGACAGGAGGCGGCCGGTGGGAGGTGGCCGGTGTTGGACATGACGGGAGGCAGACAGAGGACGGTCAAAGGTAGGCGGCAGGCGGCGGCAGCGGCGATCGAAGGTGGGAGGCGGCGACTGATGGCGGGAGGCGACCAGCATTGGGTGGCGGAGGAAGGCAGATGGCGAGAGACGGAGGCGGTTGGCGGTAGAGGACGGTGGCCGACGGCGTTGGGAGGCAACCGGCGACGATGGTGGGGCGGTAGGTGGGCGACCGGCTAGTAGTGATGGCAACCGATGAAAAGAGTTTTTACTTTTCATTTTTGTTCTAGAAATAGAAAAGTAGAAATGTTTACTTCTTATTTCTTTTCCAAATATAATTATTGAATAGAAATTTATTCTAGAAATAGAAAAATAAAATTGCTTTACCAAACGGATTTCTGTTCCAAACCTGTTCCCATGAATAAAAAAATAGAAAAACAGAATGGTTATCGTGCACGCCCTAAGTTTTTGGAGAAAAGTTTTGATTCAGGGACAGGGATACCTCCAACGTTTCACAATTTTAATCCTTGGTTTCATATCGTCAAACTAGAAATCATGAATTCTTAGGGCTAGAGAAGAGTTCATGAGGCCCGTCATTGCCTACCGCCCTCCCGATTTTTCGCCTTCTGTAAGGTGGAGATCGATTCTTGTGAAGCTTACCATGTCCGAGTCTCTGATCAAAAGGAGGAGGCGTAGGAATCTTATGATAATATGTAGGATGGTGGAAAATGAGAGGAATGAGGCCAATTCATAGATATGAATTTGTTCTCTCTCGCCCGCCCGGCCGTTGCGTCAAGGGTCACTGAAATTTCTCTTTTCTCACTGAGACAATTGGGGCCAGGTGGCCCAACCCAAAAAAAAAATTATGGGCCGAGACCATGGGCCAGATCGGCCCAAGATCAAACGGGCCAAGGCCCAGGAACGGCCACCCATTCCTATTTCCAATACTGGAAAAAATCAACGTCTAATCAGTGGCATTGTCGTAAATTAAGGAAAAAAGCAAGCGTTCTTTATTAAAGTCGAATTCGTTTCCTTTCCAAAAGTCCATCAGGCATCACCTACGTAAGGGAGAGAGGAAAAAAACAAAACAGAAGACGCTTTTTAGACAGCGGTGGTGACGACGACGATGCTCTGCTCGGTACAGAGGCCCCGTGTCTAGTTGAAAAAAAGCAACGCAGAGTGAAAGTCTTGCTCCGATGGTGGTGGAGGAGGGCGAAAGGACGCGACTTGGAAGCGAAAGTGACGAGGAAGGAGAGGAAGAAATAGAGGGATGGAGGAGGCAGAAATGGCTGAGCCACTACGCACCACATCATCGGATACTGTTGGTGGGTGAAGGCGACTTCTCTTTCTCGTCGAGTTTGGCCTCGGCTTTTGGCTCTGCCTCCAATGTGACCGCCACTTCCCTCGACCATTATGGTGCGTACTAGTGCTTACCATGATGCTGACAGTTCTGCCCTTGTATCGGACCCGGTTTATGTATGCGTGAGTGTAATCTTACTGTTGGTTCTCTAGGGCATGTGTTGTTGTGGGAGCGATCGGCTGATCAAGCACGTTTGCTTACGCACGGGTCAGGTTATTTGAGTATGGATGGTCTGTTTGGATGTTAGGTGGTTGTGAAATGCGCAAGTCAGTTTTTTTGTGGAAGGAATGGAAGGTGGGTCTTGTCGCAGGACAAATTCTTGCTCTCGTGACGTTACCGGTTTCTCTTGCTTCGCCTTCTTGTCTGGAATAGAAGTCGGGACTGAGACTAACATATGCTGTGATATCGACTCTACTTGGTCTTGTTGGTCGGAGTTAACTTTCCCTAACCAATCTTATGGCCACGAGGAAGTCTTATATTACGTGAAACGCTGACATTAGTATCACTCACCAATTTATTTTGAATGGAAGTAGTGCGAATGATATGCCATGTCAAGTGCACTGATGATTCAGGTTGCCAGGTGATATAAGCATTACAAACTAGTTTTCTTTACCTTTCTCATGCTGCTAGGCCTGGTTCAAGTATCGCTATGTCTTTTTTTTTTTCCTCTCGTTTTAACTAAGCGAGTCTCGCTACGTCATCCTAGCCTTATGTGTCAGGATCATGTTATTCAGAAAAAAAAAAAAAAGACTAATTGGACTGGCCATGTGGTTTTAACTTAGAAGCTTGTGTCATGCGCGACAGATGCCTTGATCAGGAAGTATAAGAAAGCAAAATCAAATGTGGGGAAGTTAAAGAAGCTGGGAGCTTCCTTGTTGCATGGAGTGGATGCCACCGGAATGAAAGACCATCCAGATTTGAGAGTGCGGAAGTTCGATCGAATCATCTTCAACTTCCCTCATGCGGGGTTCCATGGAAAGGAAAACAACGTGCAGTTGATCAAGTAAAGTGCATCACGTTTCTCCATGCTTATCTATAATCTATTAGACTATTACCATTCTATATCTTTTCATCCACAGTGTGGTAATGCATCATCATATTCTTACTTTGTTGCAGCACCACCTTTTCTTTTTCCTTTTTTTTTCAAAGAACAGCAGGTATAATATTTTTTCTGAAATTAATATCAGCAGTGGGCTCTCTATTGCAATATTATTCCAAATTTTGAAATGGTTAGTGTCCCTCTAGAGCACCGTGGATGGAAATCCAGAAGAAGAAAAGGATTTCACGTGAGTTGGATAATTTGCAGAGTCCTCATGGTAGAGTTTTGCCCTTCCATGCCTTAGAATTTGATGGTGGAGTTTTGGCTTTTATAGTAGATGGAGATCAACTTACATATCTGAGGCTCATATTTGCCCAATCCTGAAAATATGCTCCTCGGGAATAAAGTGTGGACCGGTATTGATGTGTTTCATTGTGATTGTTCATATACAGTATGCATAGGGAACTTGTGTATGGCTTCTTTTGGAACGCAAGCCAAATGCTTCGTGCTGATGGTGAAGTACATGTAAGCCACAAGACTGAAGCTCCATATTGTTATTGGAAGCTGGAGCAACTTGCATCTTGGAATTCTCTGAAATTGACTGATCAGACAGCTTTTGAAAGCAAGAATTATCCAGGATATCACCACAAGCGCGGAGATGGTTCGAGATGTGATGAACTCTTTCCTCTGGGGCCTTGCAGTACCTTCAAGTTCAGGTTCTACCCTGGAGCTTGGGATGTGTTGAGAGAGTCAATGACGCACAACAATGCAATTCGTGGAGAATGTCGGCAAATTTATGTGAGTCCGGTTCAGATGCCTGTGGACTTGCCACCAATTTATGAGAGATCAGTTCAGGTGCATGTAGGATTTGAGCGAATTTATGAGAACCTGATCCGGACACAGGAGCAGGAGCAGTTGCTGCCACTCTTATTTGGTCCCTTTCCTTCAATGACCCATGTTCCGTTACCCAAGAATACACATATAGAGTTGGGAATGAATTCCAGGAACGAATATGGAGGGATTGGTGCCTGTCACCAAAACATTATGCAGGAGCCACTCTCATTTGGTCCCTTTCCTTCAGTGACCCATGTTCCGTTACCCACGAATACGCATATAGAGTTGGGAATGAATTCCAGGAACGAATATGGAGGGATTGGTACCTGTCACCAAAACATTATGCAGGAGCCACTCTCATTTGGTCCCTTTCCTTCAGTGACCCATGTTCCGTTACCCACGAATATGCATATAGAGTTGGGAATGAATTCCAGGAATGAATATGGAGGGATTGGTGCCTGTCACCAAAACATTATGCAGGAGCCACTCTCATTTGGTCCCTTTCCTTCAATGACCCATGTTCTGTTACCCAGGAATACACATATACAGTTGGGAATGAATTCCAGGAATGAATATGGAGGGATTGGTGCCTGTCACCAAAACATTATGCAGGAGCCACTCTCATTTGGTCCCTTTCCTTCAATGACCCATGTTCCATTACCCAGGAATACACATATAGAGCTGGGAATGAATTCCAGGAACGAATATGGAGGGATTGGTGCCTGTCACCAAAACATTATGCAGGAGCCACTCTCATTTGGTCCCTTTCCTTCAATTACCCATGTTCCGTTACCCAGGAATACACATAATATAGAGTTGGAAATGAATTCCAGGAATGAATATGGAGGGATTGGTGCTCATCACCGAAACATTATGCAGGAGATACCACATAGAACATGTTATGATGATGCGTGGTTTCGCTTGGGCCCTCTGCCTGATCTTGCCCCAGAACAACATTATGCAGATGTAGAAAGAAGAACGTCTGTCGGTGACCTGCATCGTTTCCAAGGGCCCCAACATCGGGAGAACTTGAGGAGGCTCATATATTCTTTTGGAAGGCCGTGACTGGATCGCATTCCCATTCTGAATGCAGGCTACGCAGAGAATATCAACGCTGGTAAGGGGTAGAATATTTTGGAATCTGTTTTTGTACAGAGGTTGTGCGGACGGTGCTGGTAAATGGTAGAATCCTTTGAAATCTGTTTTTGTTTGGACTTGAAAGTTCTGAATTTCTCCAAATTCGGACGTTTAAGCTGAGGTCAAGACCTGGACAGATTTCTCTGTGTTTAAATATTTATCGGAGCAATTTCAAGCCCTGTTCTCCAACTAGAGCAGAGAATATCCATGGATGTTAGACTCCCCCCTTTTTAAGGTTGGGGACAAGCGGGTGACTTTGGACTCCTGTATCTTGATGTTTGTGTTCCAATTATTATTTGGGTTAATATCGCGAAAAATCCAAAACGGGTACGTCTGTGACAATTTTACTCCAAATTAATTTTTTGATCACCAAAAATCTCAAAATAGTATATCTGTGAGAAATTTACCATCAGTTTATTTCCGTTAAATTTTATTGTCAAATTGCTTTGTTAAATGACATGCAATAATTGACGAATGTACTAATTTTATATTTTATCCTTCGTTTGTCACAAGCGTACTAGTTTATGATTTTTTGTGGTATTAATTCAATTTAATGGAAATTAACGGAGAGTAAATTTATCATAAATGTACCAGTTCGGGATTTTTGGTGGTCAAAAAATTAGATTGGGGTAAATTTGTCACAGGTATACTAGTTTGAGGTTTTTCATAGTCAAAAAATTAGTTTGGGATAGAATTATCACAAGTGTATCAATTTATTGGCCCTTCTTTTGATTTATCCTACTTGCAAATTCAACATTTTAATCCTGGGCGTCTGATGCCACTTCAAAGTTGAGCTAACTAATTTTATGGTAGCAAGCCGTGTACTCATATGCTCTCCAAAACAAGTGAAATGGGTTGTAGGACGAGGCAAAATAATTATCTAAAAAATATAGTGCCATTTAAATAATCAAGTCACCAAGCAACCCAGTGATCTTTCATTAATATAACAAACACCTTACACAATTCGTAGCGCTACCCTGTCATCCACGAATCACTGGGACATGTCAGAAGTCCATTTTCTTAAGTACAAGGAGAGCATGCCGTCATATATCTCTTCATCGCTGAATTTAAATAGCTGCAATTGTGTTGCTCTAAAGATACACCTCCTGTTAGTTGTTACCCAACATTTAGAAAACACAATGCCATTTGCCATCCTCCTTGCTTTCATCTTTTACCAGATAGGGTTGTTACTTTCGATATTCACGCTGGAACAAACCTCTATAGTAATTGAAGGACAGGAGTAGGACCACGCTTTTCTTTAAGGTTGTGTATCTAGTTTATATAAGTGGCATAAAAGACAAGATGGATGAAGCAGCAGCACACGTTGTCGCAGGGACTGCTTTGGGAGCTGATGCATCATTAATGTTGGAGGCATCTCAAGAAATTGAAACCACCCTGAGAACAGCAACACGCACGATGGATGAAGAACATGGATCAGCTTTGGTTCAAAAAGTTGGGAGTAAGCATAGGCATTTTGTTGTACTTCAGCAATGCTACATAGATAAAAAGTATCAGCTTGTCACCTGAAAACCTTAAAAGGGAGATTCTAATAAATGATCATGTAAACAAGTTAAAATGATTTCGAATGGCTGAGTTAGTGCTGCTGATGACCCTAGATGGAGTGATCTGACACCGAACGGCATAATTGGCATGTTCATAACAAGTCGTCGGATAGAATTCTACTTAATGAGACAATAGGGGTCAGACAGTCGAGCCCCCCCGATGCTACGATTCCCATGAGCTAGTAGCTTCTCATACATGCACATGCGCAACCGCCAGAACAGAAATTATTACACCGTTTATAGCTGTAGGTATAAATGTGATGATTGCCAAAATAATACACAGTGGAATTAATTGTGTATGTTAAACCACAAAGCTAACTAGGGGATTAATTATCATATGGGCAAGATTGACATGCTACACTTGCAAAAGCAAATTCACAACAGCGATCAAGTGTCGCAAAATGGGGGGCTAGGAAAACAAGAAGACAATGACCAGAGAGTAAGCAAGTTCAAAGCGCATACTCATCTATTTGCTTTCTTTCCTGAATGATGGATGGAAATACAGTAGGACAATCGCTGATCATCGATTTCGGGACCCAGTAACAAATCTCTGAATACCAGCAAAATCAGATACTGTATCGACATTGCAAAAGCTTCCTGGTAATTGATTTTGCATGTAATCTACAAGAAACTTGCACTGTTTTTCTCCGTTTGTCTGCATAAGATTATAAATAAGCCAGATTGGATAATGAGGACAATGACAACAATATGGATCTAATAACTGAAAATAACAGCTCTTTCTCCTTCGATGAACCATGGACACATGTGATGGATCCCAGCTTTTCAGCCTTGACAGACCAAGTTTAAAAGTACTATCCTAGACTTGAATGCTTATGTATCGGCTATTCAAGTATGATCAAGCCTATGGGAACATTCACATAGGCTGACCACCATATGTGCATGATAATCACGGCGACTTATAATCTGCCCCAAAAGAAGAGCTAAATTTAACTCATCAAGCAAGTCCCCAGAGATGAATAAGTCGGTGTACCTCCAGGTGTACCAAGTTTAGCACGTTAAGATGATGGTGGAGATTCAATGAAAAGGAGTACCTCAAAAGCAAAGAAACCACCAGGTTTCAACATTGAAGCAGCCCCATTACACAGATGGAGAAGATCATCCATACCCTCAGCACCACCATCCAGGGCAAGCCTCGGTTCATGCCTCCCAACTTCGGCTTGTAAGCCACTTATGTCTACACTTGGAATATAAGGCGGATTGCTCACAAGACCTGCGACTTTTCCTTCAACGTCCTTCAAAGGTTCCAACCAAGAACCTTCCCTCACCTCAATTTTGTCCTGCTTTCACATAAACTTAAACCAAATGAAAACATACCCCATTCCATGCTATCTCTATTTATATATGTCGACCATACAGACCTGCAAGCTATATCTTTCCACATTAAAGGAAGCAACTGGAACAGCGAAAGGGCTCAAATCCGTTGCGATAACTCTTCCATAATTACCCAAGATCTTGGCAATTCCAATAGCAATAGCGCCACTACCAGTTCCCAAATCAGCCCACAAACCCTCTCTCAATCCTTGGTCTTTCGAAATCACATCAACCACCAAATCCACAACGATCTCGGTCTCGGGCCTCGGGATCAAGACCCCTTCTCGAACGCACAGAATCAAGTCCCTCCAATGCTCGCACCCGACTACATACTGAAAAGGCCTTCTCTCCTCGATCCTCTGCTTCCATAAGCTGTAGAGCTCCTGGACATCGGCTTTCAAGCTAATGATGACATCTGGGTCGTCGCTCGCGACGGCTTTGCGCATCAATGAAGGGTCGAACCCGTCGAGGACGTCTTCCATCAGCCAGCTGAGCTCCCTACAGAGGAGAGCGGAGTCCGGGCCGTTGTCGGAGTCCTCGAAGGAGGACCCGACAGAGGCGGCGAGAGATTTGGCCCAAGAGTGCCATTCTAGGAGGTCCGAGACGGTGGTCGTGTACTTGGGTGGCCTCAGAAACAGTGGGAGCAGCGAAGGGGAAGAAGAAGAAGCTAGCGGCGGCGGCGGCGGCGTCGGCGGCGGAGGAGATAGAGAAGAGTGAATGTGACGGTGGCGAATTGGAGTGATGTGGAGAGCACGAGTAAGAGGAGGAGGAGGAGGAGGGAGTTGAGAGAAGAAGGTGGAGAAGTTGGAGGCGAGGATCCATGGCCATGCGCGGGTGAGGCTCGGCCTCAGCGTCGGCTTCATTTGCTCCGGGTGCCTCCGGACAGGCCGTGCCGGGGTCCGAGAAATTGGCTTCGTACCCTGTTTTTTTGTTTTTTTGGCCTAATCCCACAAAAACCCATTAACTTTACGCTTTGTCTCAATTATATCATGAACTTTTTTTTTATCTAAAAAAAAATCTTAAACTTTTATTCGAGTCCCAAATCTGCTCTCCCGTTATAATTTCGTCCAATTAACGTCAGAAAAAAAAAAAATAGAACCGGCAGCTGCGGCGGTGGCCAATTCTTCGCCGGTGGCCGTCGCCACAGCCGCTGGGAAGGAATGATGGCCCTCGCCTGGGCCTTCCTGAAGGCCGGCGACCCTCGCCGGCCCCGGGCGAGTCACGCGGCGAGGGCGTGCAGCCCCCGATCTGGGGCGAGGGTCGCGCCCTCCCCCAGATCGGGGGCTGGACGCCCTCGCCGGCGACTTGCTCGGGCCGGCGAGGGTCGCCAGCCTTCGGGAAGGCCCAGGCGAGGGCCGTCGCTCCTTTCCGGCGGCCACCGGTGATGGCTTGGCACCACCGCAGCTGCCGGTTCTGTTTTTGTTTTTGTTTTTGTTTTTTTCTGACGTTAATTGGACGGAATTGTAACGGGAGGGCAGATTTGGGACTCGGATAAAAGTTTGAGGTTTTTCTTAAGACAAAAAAAAGTTCATAATATAATTGAGACAAAGTATAAAGTTGAGGGTTTTTTTTTTAATTAGGCCGTGTTTTTATAGGGAAGACAGGCCCAAATGATCATACCCTTTAAGACCGCAACCTAAATTACAGGCCAAGCCTTCTGTGGCTCCACCACCTACACCAAAGAAACCTGTAATCTTGAAGGATGTTGGGGCAGCTCCGAAATCGTCGACTGTCGACGATGTTGATGCTCCAGTAACAACTAAAGAAAGGAAGCCAATCTTGATAGATAAGTTTGCTTCCAAGAAACCAGTTGTCGACCCTCTCATAGCTCAAGCAGTTTTAGCCGCTACAAAGCCCTCAAAGGGGCCTGCCCCCGGCAAGTTGAAAGATGAGTATCGGAAGAAGAATGCATCAGCAGGTGGACGGAGGAGAATGGTCCATGACGAGATTCCAGATGAGGAGACATCAGAACTAAATGTCTCCATTCCAGGTGCAGCTAGTGCGAGGAAGGGTAGGAAGTGGAGTAAAGCAAGTAGGAAGGCAGCTAGACTCCAGGCAGCCAAAGAAGCTGCTCCATTGAAAGTGGAAATTCTTGAGGTTGGGGAACAGGGTATGTTGATAGAGGACTTGGCCTACAGCTTGGCCACAAGCGAAGGTGAAATCCTTGGACTTTTGTATTCAAAAGGAATTAAGCCAGATGGGGTGCAAACTTTGGACAAGGAAATGGTGAAGATGATCTGTAACGAATATGAGGTGGAGGTCATAGAGGCTGATCCTATCAAAGTTGAAGAAATGGCAAGTATACAGTGCACAAAGTGTGGAAACTCTCATGTATGGGAGTGTACCAATAGGAGTAAGACCAATGCTAGATGGTCTCAGGTAGGTCCTCTTCTCATTTGCTCTACCTCCATTGCTTCTTTTCTCTAAATTTCTCTCAAAGCAAAATCTGTCAACTTAGAAAATGCAAAGAGTAGAAAACATATAATGCGCGTCATTTCTTAATTTGTGTGAATTACTTTTTCCTGTATCAGGATTGTTGCCAACATCATCCAGCCAAAGATGGGGATGGATGGGTTGAATACTAGGGCTCATTGGTCTTTAATAGGCCTCAAAAGGTAGCACACTTGCAATCAGCCTGAAACGCTTGATGTGCTATTCCTTATCCATTGGTCATTAGCGAATATATGGTGGGGCCTCAATTATGTACTGTTCTTCTGGCATTTGTCATGTGAATTGTTTTACATTATAGCCCAATCTCCAAGATAAAATTCCCGATGAGCCTTTCTTCTGTGTTATCTCTGCTTTCTAGCATGTATTCGCATATCATAATTTTTTTTTTGATAACCGAGGTGTCCGCGCGGCCGGCGAGATAAGGCTCAAACCAGCGATGATGCCCGACTAGTCCTCGAGGGGGGCTAGCGCAGCATCCCACCACCACGACCCCCTACTTAAATCACCGATGGGCGAGTTTGAACCCAGGACCTTGTCCTTCCTTTTCTCATAAATACTATTGAAAAAAGAATGTATCCAATATTCTTTTTCCTGAATGCTCGAACAAATCAACAGAACAAAATTCATTTCATCTGTAACCTGGAAAGAGTTTTCTTTAAGCGCATTTTTGGTTTTCTTAGCTAGTGAAAGTTTACATATCGGTTGGAACAACTCACAAGGGTGACCTCTATCCCCATTATTTCCCCTTTTCCTAAAACATGCATGCCACTTGAGTCAGACTGCATTTGGACGTGTATGATCTCCGTGTATGCTATATTCATTGTCATTACAACAAAAAAGTTTACTTCTTCACCTATTGATTCATGAAGCATTCTTTCTCACTGATACCAGGGGCACTGGAAGTTCATTCGATCATTGCCAAATGAAATCGGAGTCATTGCTCCTTTTTTGTACGGATGTGCTAGTCATTTTACTTAGGCAGTTTCCTTCTGTCCTGCTGGTGGAAATACCACGCGCTTTTGTCTGTGCCGAAAGCAAGATCTTTGATGTGTCAGAATGGACCATCTGCCAGGTCAGTGCTTCCTCGCCATTTAGTTCATTCGCCCGTCGGCAAACTAGTGTGATAGAAAATTCTTAAACATTATTATCCTTTAGGAGTTTGAACCAATGAAGGACAAGGCTTTATCACCAATAGGAAAAAGAACTAGGTGAAAAAGAAACATCAGTAGACATTTCTCAAATGCTTGGATACTTACTGTATTACCATTCCTGTGATATGTATCCATCACATACACTGATGAATGCTTTTTTACTCAATTTCTGTGCATTTACGAACTCTAAGGTGCGACTGCTGTCATGGATCAAGGATATGCCTATTCCATTTATGTTTACTGCCATTTTTAACTCTAGTAAGATGCTCGATTCTCACTTTTATAGTTTATTCAATAGGAAAGTGATTTTGGCCGTTGCTTTAGAATCTTCATGTCATTAAACTTGCCAAGGGAGCATTGAGAAATGAAGCTGGATGTGAAATTTTAATTTGCTATGCCTCTTCTTGAGTGGTTCTGAAGTGAGTTATATTGACTTGTACCTGATCATCCTAGCAAACATCTCTTTACATTACAAATTGCATTAGATGGTGCGGTTTTGTTCTGAGTATGGCATTTACAGGGAAAAGAATGATTTAGTAAGGATTTTACCGACTTTGCAAAATCGCCTGCGGAAGAACTTGACAAGTCTTGTGCTTCGTGGGGAGCTTGTTTATTTGTTGGAGTTTTGATTCTTTTCATTTTTTTATCAGTCATTCATGTAGCGAAGTAGGGGGACAAAGATCAAAACAGTTATCTTTGTACTCCTGGACATTATTTCTAATCCTTACAATAAGCTCCTTGCCAGATCATAACAACTAGGATTCTCCATTTTCAGCATTTACCTCCATAAAAACTGTTTCTATAATTTGCCAAGTAGCAAGAAACACCGCAGTTATTCTCAGTTGAAATTTTTTCTTCCTCTTTGTTGCTTTTGATGGGTTTCGAACTTCCTTGTAATTGGACTTGAATGTACCCGAATGCCTAACAATGTCGTATCAGTCTTTTGGAAGGGCATTTTACAGTTGTCCTCATCATGGTTGTATCCACGCAGGGTATGGCTTGTCGGCCCAACACTCATCGTCCAAGCTTCCATGTGAATATGGTTGGCTTGGAAAGGAAATCACAGCGATGTAACTCAAGTAGGTATCAATGGGATCTGGATGCAGAGATGGTGGATGAAGAGGAAGAATTCGAGTTATGGCTTCAGCAAGCCCTGGCCTCTGGCCTCTTCTGTGAGACTTCCAAACGCAGAAAGAGCTGGAGTCCGTTCAAGTTGCACCAGTTGAAGGGTAAGAAGCAATGGAGAAGAGCTTCATCATGAATGGCGGACCAAGCATAGAATTGGCCAAGTTCTTTCTATGCTCCTCGGAGCTGAGATATCACAGGACCAGGATTACATTGGCAGAGAATATGGTGAGGTGTCTGATGTACCCAAAGCATGTTATGTTTGACCAGCCGCCTGTCCAAACTCATCGAGGATGAGGTGAATGGAATTGAGGTCCTGGAGTTGAGCAACTGCTTTCTTCTGTTATCGTGTAAATAGATTTAGGTCATATCTACGGCATTCCCTTTGCTTCGCAATGTCAGTTTTGTCGAGTCCCTTTTGAGCACGGGGAATATTTTGAGGTCAAGTCAGAGGGCAAAACTGATTTGTGTCTGTTGTACATTATTCAAGCAATCTTTGCTTATTTAAGTTGTAGCACAGGTTCTCCTAAAAAAAATTGCTCTCCCAATAGGTCTATTGTGGCTACATCCTCTCTTTGAATATCCAGATACTCATACTGGAAGGGGAGATGTACCCAAGTGTTTGTAGAAGGCATCGTGTAGCTTTGTCACACCTACTTCAGGTTCAGTTATGGTCTTGGATGTAACAGCTTTAAACTGTTGGGAAACATTTAGAAATTGAAACATCCATTGATTGAATGTGACCGATTTGAGATTTTATTGGTTCCAACCAGATTTAGTTGGTGAGCTTTTCATCACAAGCTTGGTGATCTGCTTGGTGCGGCTGTCCCGTGCCATGGGTAAGCTAGACCTGTCTATATCGAATGCTGGTATTGCAATTTTTTCGAACTTTTTGATGTGAACAAGTCAGTCTATGTTCACTTCTGCATCCATGGCGCTGTTTTTTGTTGAAGTAGCAACCGGTAAGTTTCTGGAGAAAAGTTTTGATTCAGGGATACCCCAAATGTTTTACATTTTTTATTCCTGATTTCATATCGTCAGACTAGAAATCATGAATTCTTAGGGCTGGAGAAGAGTTTATAAGGTCTGTCATTGCCTGTCGCCCTTCCGGCTTTTCCCCTTCTGTAAGGTAGAGATGGATTCTTGTGAAGCTTACCATGTCTGAGTCTGATCAAAAGGAGGAGGCGTGGGAATCTTACGGTAACATGTAGGATGGTGGAAAATGTGATGAATGAGGTCAATTTGTAGAAATGAATTTGTTCTCTCTCCCGCCCGGCCGGCCGTTGGGTAAAGGGTCACTGAAATCTCTCTCTTCTAATTTTGACCATTGGGCCTATGGGCCCAACCCAAAAAAATCATCTGGGCCAAATATCAAACAGGCCAAGGCCCAGGCACGGCTACCCCACTCCTAGTTCCAATACTTGAAAAAGATCCAACGTCTAATCAGTGGCATTGTCGTAAATTAAGGAATAAGCAAGCGTTCTTTATCAAAGTTGAATTCCTTTCCTTTCCAAATGCGCATCAGGCATCGCCCTCGTAAGGGAGAGAGCAAAAAGCAAAAGAAAGACGCTTTTTAGACAGTGGTGTCGATGACGACAATGCTCTGCTTACAGAAGGCCCGTGTCTAGTTACCGCAGAGGGAAGGTTTGCTACGATGGTGGTGGAGGGGAGCGAAAGGACACGACTTGGAAGTGAAAATGACGACGAGGGAGAAGAAGAAATAGAGGGATGGAGGAAGAAATGGCTGAGACACTATGCCTCACATCATCAGATACTGTTGGTGGGCGAAGGCGACTTCTCTTTCTCGTCGAGTTTGGCCTCGGCTTTTGGCTCTGCCTCCAATGTGACCGCCACTTCCCTCGACCATTATGGTGCGTAGTGCTTACCATGATGCTGACAATTCTGCCCTTGTATCGGACCCGGTTTATGTATGCGTGAGTGTAATCTTACTGTTGGTTCTCTAGGGCATGTGTTTTTGTGGGAGCGATCGACTGATCAAGCACGTTTTCTTATGCACGGGTCAAGTTATTTGAGTATAGATGGTCTGTTTCGGTGTTAGGTGGTTGTGAAATGCGCAAGTCAGTTTTTTTGTGGAAGGAATGGAAGGTGGGTCTTGTAGCAGGACAAATTCTTGCTCTTGTGACGTTACTGGTTTCTCTTGCTTCGCCTTCTTGTCTGGAATAGAAGTCGGGACTGAGACTAAAAAATGCTGTGATATCGACTCTACTTGGTGTTGTTGGTAGGAGTAACCTTTTCCTAACCAATCATATGGCCACGAGGAAGTCTTATATTACGTGAAACGCTGACATAGTATCACTCACCGATTTATATTGAATGGAAGTAGTGTGAATGATGCCATGTCAAGTGCACTGATGATTCAGGTTGCCAGGTGATATAAGCATTACAAACTAGTTTTCTTTACCTTTCTCATGCTGCTAGCCCTGGTTCAAGTATCGCTATGTCTTTTTTTTTTTCTCTCGTTCCTAGCCTTATGTGACAGGAACATGTGATTCAGAAAAAAAAGAAAAAAAGACTAATTGGACTGGCCATGTGGTTTTAATTTATATAAGCTTGTGTCATACCCGACAGATGCCTTGATCAGGAAGTATAAGAAAGCAAAATCAAATTTGGGGAAATTAAATAAGCGGGGAGCTTCCTTGTTGTATAGAGTGGATGCCACCAGAATGAAATACAATGCAGATTTGAGAGTGCGGAAGTTCGATCGAATCATCTTCAACTTCCCTCATGCGGGGTTCCATGGAAAGGAAGACAACGTGCAGTTGATCAAGTAAAGTGCCTCATGTTTCTCCATGCTTATCTATAATCTATTAGACTATTACCATTCAATATCTTTTCATCCACAGTGTGGGTAATGCATCATCATATTCTTACTTTGTTGCAGCACCACCTTTTCTTTTCTTTTTCTTTTTTTCCAAAGAACAGCAGGTATAATATTTTTTCTGAAACTAGTATCAGCAGTGGGCTCTCTATTGCAATATTATTCCAAATTTTGAAATGGTTAGTATCCCTCTAGAGCACCGTGGATGGAAATCTAGAAGAAGAAAAGGATTTCACGTGAGTTGGTTAATTTGCAGAGTCCTCATGGTAGAGTTTTCCCCTTCCATGCCTTAGAATTTGATGGTGGAGTTTTGGCTTTTATAGTAGATGGAGATCAACTTACATATGTGAGGCTCATATGTGCCCAATCCTGAAAATATGCTCCTTGGGAATAAAGTGTGGACCGGTATTGATGTGTTTCATGGTGATTGTTCATATACAGCATGCATAGGAAACTTATGTATGGCTTCTTTTGGAACGCAAGCCAAATGCTTCGTGCTGATGGTGAAGTGCATGTAAGCCACAAGACCGAAGCTCCATATTGCCATTGGAATCTGGAGGAACTTGCATCTCGGAATTCTCTGAAATTGATTGATCAGACAGCTTTTGAAAGCAAGAATTATCCAGGATATCACCACAAGCGCGGAGATGGTTCGAGATGTGATGAACTCTTTCCTCTGGGGCCTTGCAGTACCTTCAAGTTCAGGTTCTACCCTGGAGCTAAGGAGAAAGCTAGGGAAGTGTTGGGAGAGTCAATGACGCACAACAATGCAATTCATGCAGAATGTCGGCAAATTTATGTGAGTCCAGTTCAGATGCCTGTAGAGATTCCACTAATTTATGGGAGATCAGTTCAGGTGCATGTAGGACTTGAGCGAATTTATGAGAACGTGATGCGGATACTGGAGCAGTTGCTGCCACGCTCAATGACCCATGTTCCGTTACCCAGGAATAGACATATAGAGTTGGGAATGAATTTCAGGAACGAAGATGGAGGGATTGGTGCTAATTACCGAAACATTGTGCAGGAGATACCACATAGCACATGTTATGATGCAGGGTTTCGCTTGGTCCCTCTGCCTGGTCTTGCCCCCGAACAACATTATGCAGATGTAGAAAGAAGAAGGTCTGTTGGTGACCTGTATCTTTTCCAAGATCCCCAACATCTGGAGTACTTGAGGAGGCTCGTAGATTCTTTTGGAAGGCCGTGACTGATCGCACTCCCCTTATGCACGCAGGCTACGCAGAGATCATCAATGCTGGTCGGGGATAGAATATTTTGGAATCTGTTTTTGTACAGAGGTTATGCGGACGGCGCTGGTAAATGGTAGAATCCTTTGAAATCTGTTTTTGTATGGGCTGGAAAGTTCTGAATTTCTTATGACGCCACCAAATTCGGACGTTTAAGCTGAGTTCAAGACCTGGACAGATTTCTGTGTGTTTAAATATTTGTCGGAGCAATTTCAAGCCCCGTTCTCCAACTAGAGCAAAGAATGTTCATGGGTGTTAAACCTACCCCCTTTTTAAGGTCGGGAACAAATGGTTGACTTTGGACTCCTGTATCTTGACGTTTGTGTTCCAATTTTTATTTTGCCATGATTGGCGCTTCGTTTGATTTATCCTACTTGCGAACGGGCTAGTTGTGAATGTCAAAAGGTTAAGGATTCAACATTTTAATTTAGGGTATTTGATGCCACTTAAAAATTAAGCTAACTAATTTTACGGTAGCAAGCCTTGTTCTCATATGCTCTCCAAAACAAGTGAAATGGGTTGTAGGACGAGGCAAAATCATTATCTCAAAGATAATGTGTCGTTTAAATAATCAAGTCACCAAGCAACCCAGTGATCTTTCATTACTATAACAAAGTACCTTACACAATTCGTAGCACTACTCTGGGATCCACGAATCCCTAGGACATGGCAGAAGTCCATTTTCTTAAGTCCTAGGAGAGCATGCCGTCGTATATCTCTTCATCATCAAATTTAAATAGCTGCAATTGTGTTGCTCTAAAGATACACCTCCTGTTAATTGTTACCCAACATTTAGAAAACACGATGCCATTTGCCATCGTCCTTGCTTTCGTCTTTTACCAGATGGGGTTGTTACTTTCGATATTCACGCTGGAACAAACCTCTATAGTAATTGAAGGACAGGAGTAGGACCACGCTTTTCTTTAAGGCTGTGTATCTAGTTTACATAAGTGGCATAAAAGACAAGATGGATGAAGCAGCAGCACACGTTGTCCCAGGGACTGCTTTGGGAGCTGATGCATCATTAACTGTTGGGAGGCATCTCAAGAAATTGAAACCACCCTGAGAACGGCAACACACGCACGATGGATGAAGAACATGGATCAGCTTTGGTTCAAAGAGTTGGGAGTAAGCATAGGCATTCTGTTGTACTTCAGCAGTGCTACATATATCAACAATATCATCTTGTCACCTGAAAACCTTAAAAGGGAGATTCTAATAAATGATCATGTAAACAAGTTAAGATGATTTCGAATGACTAAGTTAGTGCTGTTGATGACCCTAGATGGAGTGATCTGACACTGAACGGCATAACTGGCATGTTCATAACAAGCTGTCGGAGAGAATTCTACTTAATGAGACAATCAGGGTCAGACAGTCGAGCCCCCCCGATGCTGCGCTTCCCATGAGCTAGTAGCTTCTCATACATGCACATGCGCAACCTTCAGAACAGAAATTATTACGCTGTTTATAGCTGTAGGTATAAATGTGATGATTGCCAAAATAATACACAGTAGAATTAATTGTGTATGTTAAACCACAAAGCTAACTAAGGGATTAATGATCATATGGGCAAGATTGACATGCTACACTTGCAAAAGCAAATTCACAACAGCGATCAAGTGTCGCAAAATGGGGCCTAGGAAAACAAGAAAACAATGACCAGAGAGTAAGCAAGTTCAAAGCGCATACTCATCTATTTGCTTTCTTTCCTGAATGATGGATGGAAATACGGTAGGACAACCGCTGATCATCGATTTCGGAACCCAGTAACAAATCTCTGAATACCAGCAAAATCAGATACTGTATCGACATTGCAAAAGCTTCCTGGTAATTGATTTTGCATGTAATCTACAAGAAACTTGCACTGTTTTTCTCCGTTTGTCTGCATAAGATGATAATTAAGTCAGATTGGATAATGAGGACAATGACAACAATATGGAGCTAATAACTGAAAATAACAGCTCTTTTTCCTTCGATGAACCATGGACATTTGGGATGTTTCCCAGCTTTTCAGCCTTGACAGACCAAGTTTAAAGTATTATCCTAGACTAGAATGCTTATGTATCGGCTATTCAAGTATGATCAAGCCTATGGCTACATTCACATAGACTAACCACCATAAGTGCATGATAATCACGGCGACTTCTAATCTGCCCCAAAAGAAGAGCTAAATTTAACTCATCAAACAAGTCCCCAGAGATGAATAAGTCGGTGTGCCTCCAAGTGTACCAAGTTTAGCACGTTAAGATGATAGTGGAGATTCAATGAAAAGGAGTACCTCAAAAGCAAAGAAACCACCAGGTTTCAACATTGAAGCAGCCCCATTACACAGATGGAGAAGATCATCCATACCCTCAGCACCACCATCCAGGGCAAGCCTCGGTTCATGCCTCCCAACTTCGGCTTGTAAGCCACTTATGTCTACACTTGGAATATAAGGCGGATTGCTCACAAGACCTGCGACTTTTCCTTCAACGTCCTTCAAAGGTTCCAACCAAGAACCTTCCCTCACCTCAATTTTGTCCTGCTTTCACATAAACTTAAACCAAATGAAAACATACCCCATTCCATGCTCTCTCTATTTATATATGTCGACCATACAGACCTGCAAGCTATATCTTTCCACATTAAAGGAAGCAACTGGAACAGCGAAAGGGCTCAAATCCGTTGCGATAACTCTTCCATAATTTCCCAAGATCTTGGCAATTCCAATAGCAATAGCGCCACTACCAGTTCCCAAATCAGCCCACAAACCCTCTCTCAATCCTTGGTCTTTCGAAATCACATCAACCACCAAATCCACAACGATCTCGGTCTCGGGCCTCGGGATCAAGACCCCTTCTCGAACGCACAGAATCAAGTCCCTCCAATGCTCGCACCCGACTACATACTGAAAAGGCCTTCTCTCCTCGATCCTCTGCTTCCATAAACTGTAGAGCTCCTGGACATCGGCTTTCAAGCTAATGATGACATCTGGGTCGTCGCTCGCGACGGCTTTGCGCATCAATGAAGGGTCGAACCCGTCGAGGACGTCTTCCATCAGCCAGCTGAGCTCCCTACAGAGGAGAGCGGAGTCCGGGCCGTTGTCGGAGTCCTCGAAGGAGGACCCGACAGAGGCGGCGAGAGATTTGGCCCAAGAGTGCCATTCTAGGAGGTCCGAGACGGTGGTCGTGTACTTGGGTGGCCTCAGAAACAGTGGGAGCAGCGAAGGGGAAGAAGAAGAAGCTAGCGGCGGCGGCGGAGGAGATAGAGAAGAGTGAATGTGACGGTGGCGAATTGGAGTGATGTGGAGAGCCCGAGTAAGAGGAGGAGGAGGGAGTGGAGAGAAGAAGGTGGAGAAGTTGGAGGCGAGGATCCATGGCCATGCGCGGGTGAGGCTCGGCCTCAGCGTCGGCTTCATTTGCTCCGGGTGCCTCCGGACAGGTCGTGCCGGGGTCCGAGAAATTGGCTTTTGTACCCTGTTTTTTTATAGGGAAGACAGGCCCAAATGATCATATCCATTATTCATTACAGAGAGTGTTGTAGCATGTTTTTAGATAACCTTCGAGATGCTGCGGTCGTGGGGTGAAGTCCTAAAGTAATTTTTTCTGACCCCCAAAAGAAAGTCCGAAGTAATTTGACCATAAACTCTCTCGTTTAGAATCATAAGGGGAAAAAGTATAAAAAAAAAGTCTAAAACTTATTACATTTGTACCAATTCGGTTCAAAACATTTTAATTGGGTCAATTTAATCATAAACATTTTGCATTTGTACAAATTAAGTATATCTGGTCAATTTTGGCCGAAAATCGCTGACGTGAACAAATTTTACAATTTTTTAAAATGTTTTTAATGATTTTATTATAATTTTTTTTTCATTGTGGCCGGTTAGGGTCATTGCCCCTCATCCGTTCCAACGAGGGCAACCCAAGCGAGGGCGGCCCGGGCAAAGGCTTGGTAGCCCTTGCTCGTTGCCTGCAATGGCCTGGGGAGGGCTCGCAAGACCTCGCCCAACGGTCTCAAGAGGCAAAAATAAATAAAAAATAAAAAAATAGAAAAATATTTAAAAATTGTAAGTTTGTCCACGTCATCGCCAGTCGTGTTATATAAGACGGACGACGTCCATGTCAGCAGTTTTCAATCAAAATTGGTCTTATGGGCTCAATTGACACAAATGCAAAAGATTTATGACTAAATTGGTCCAATTGGTACCAATGAAATATGTTTAAGACTTTTTTGGTACATTTCCCAGAATCATAAACACATAGAATAGAGTTTATGAGATTGACATATACATAGATCTAAATTTTATTGAAATATATCGGTTGGGTGAGAGAAAACCAAATAATCAATAGAATCATCGAGGTAAGACAGTTGAATGAACCACAAAGGAAGATACCTTCATCGGTCCACATTCACAAATCAATTTTAGACAATTGTAAATATTAGTCTTTGAGTAACGTCCGTTGCATGCGGTTGGTGATATTAATGTTTCAATATAAAATTTGCAATGGTAACATTGCTCTTTACTTTGAAATCATCACTTTCAAAGTGAGCGCAACGCAAATCATAACAAACTTAATTGCTCAATTCCTTGTAAGAAAAGGATTTATGTAGGTTCGAGAAGAAAGGGATTTATGTAGGCTCGATGTCGTCACGGCTGATCGACGGGCGGGTTTCGATTACGGAAAAAAAAACTATTGCTTCCTATTAAGTCTTGGCTTCATTTATTCAGTTCATGCTGCATCCATCTTGTCCCTCGACGAGAAAGTAAGCAACATGGCCTTCAAATAGCTTAGAGACGTACTTCTTCTTTTATCTGCCAAGAGAATAGAGAAAAAAGAATTCTTAAAAAAAAGGAGCATATGTTAAATATTTCTAACACCTTAGAAATATCGAGCAAGAGAAATTCTCGAAAGCCTTATCTAATCAAAGAACGAAAGAACATTGACAGGCAGAGAAGAAGCCACATGCAAATAAGGCGTATTTTTTTCTCCATCTCGAAAATCATATGAAAAATTCTCAGCCTTTTTCGTCACCACCACTTCCATATATTTTCTCCGCGCTCCCTCAGCCACAGAGGACCCTCTCCCTCTCCCTCTCCCTCTGTCTCATCCTCTCTCGACCGAGACACCGTTCGTCAGATGATTTCTCGGACACCCATTGTCATTTCTTGATTCCTCTCGGCATCGGGCTTCAGGTAAATCATCTCTTCCTGGTTATCTGACCAATTTGTTCGCCTCCCCTGTACGCCGAACTGAATTTCGTCTTGATTGTTTTGTCGTAATCTTCTGCGCCAGCCGGGCCCGGAATTCGATACCCTTTGGAGTAAATTGCCCTTTCGCCATGTGGTTCACGATGAGCCTTAGGGAAGGGAGGAGGAATGTGAATTTGAGGATTTGTTAGTTTTTTTTGTCGGTCGTTGGAGGTGTTTGGTCCTTCTGTGTAAGGGGTACTGAACTACTGATGGTGATGATTCTAGTAGGAGGCATACAAGGAGGAACAATGGTTCCTCTAGCTTCTGTAGCTTCCGTTGTGAGTGCTGGGACTAGTGCCAACAGGGGTCCCTCTGAGGTGTCTTATTCTCTGGTTGGCAAGATTGCCTTTCCAAGGGGCAAGTATTGGAGTGGCGTCAGAAGATGGCATTGTAAATACTCGGTCACAACCACCGATTTCATTGCCGAGCACACCAATGCTGTCTCCCTTGATTCTAATGGTTACAGAGGGGATAAGGATGGCGATGACGGGATTTTACTGAAGCCCGCACCAAGGCCTGTTGTGAAACCATCCAACTCTAAGACCAATTCGGTGGGGTTGGAACCTTCGAGACCTAGCAGAGATTCTGCTGTTGAGACGCTAGATGATTTAGAAAATAAGAATAATGTTCTTGAGTCCCTTGATGAGGTGTTGGAGAAGGCGGAAAAACTCGAAAAGTCTAATCTGGGTCAACAAGCAAGCAAAAAGGAGGGTGCAAATGTAAATAAATCAACACCATCCAGTACAAGTGCTAATCTCAAAAATAGTAGACCTGTGAATTCTGCTGGAAGTAAAAAGGCTAAGACTTTGAAGAGCGTGTGGCGGAAAGGGGACAATGTTGCCACGGTGCAAAAGGTAAAGTTTCCAAAGGATTCTTCTGATAGTGACAAAATTATTGATGATCCAGAATCTCAAAAGGTTGAAGAGAATGATGAGCCTCGAGCTTCTCTTAGACCTGCTCAGCCACCTTTAAGATCGCAACCTAAGTTACAGGCCAAGCCTTCTGTGGCTCCACCACCTACACCAAAGAAACCTGTAATCTTGAAGGATGTTGGGGCAGCTCCGAAATCGTCGACTGTTGACGATGTTGATGCTCCAGGAACAACTAAAGAAAGGAAGCCAATCTTGATAGATAAGTTTGCTTCCAAGAAACCAGTTGTCGACCCTCTCATAGCTCAAGCAGTTTTAGCCCCTACAAAGCCCTCAAAGGGGCCTGCCCCCGGCAAGTTGAAAGATGAGTATCGGAAGAAGAATGCTTCAGCAGGTGGACGGAGGAGAATCGTCCACGACGAGATTCCAGATGAGGAGACATCAGAACTAAATGTCTCCATTCCAGGTGCGGCTAGTGCGAGGAAGGGTAGGAAGTGGAGTAAAGCAAGTAGGAAGGCAGCTAGACTTCAGGCAGCCAAAGAAGCTGCTCCAGTGAAAGTCGAAATTCTTGAGGTTGGGGAACAGGGTATGTTGATAGAGGACTTGGCCTACAGCTTGGCCACAAGCGAAGGTGAAATCCTTGGACTGTTGTATTCAAAAGGAATTAAGCCAGATGGGGTGCAAACTTTGGACAAGGAAATGGTGAAGATGATCTGTAACGAATATGAGGTGGAGGTCATAGAGGCTGATCCTATCAAAGTTGAAGAAATGGCAAGAAAGAAGGAAATACTAGATGAAGATGACTTGGGCAAACTTGAAGATAGGCCACCTGTGCTGACTATCATGGGTCATGTGGATCACGGCAAGGTAATATAAGTGAGACCATAGTTTTCTCAGATGAGTGAGAAAATGCATTGCTTCTATATTGATAATGACATACACTGATGTGAGTTGTGCATAATGTTTTGCAGACAACCCTGTTGGATCATATTCGTAAAAGCAAGGTATGAATGGAAGCTTCTATTACGATCGCTTTTTGACTTTTCTTGCACCAGATCTGCAGTTAAGTTTTTCTAGATGGCTTCATCATGCATCTTTATAAATGTGTTTCACGAAAGTACTGTTTGTTTAGTTTCACTTGTTACCAATTGAGAAATGACATTAATGAATACCAATTTTTAAATGTAAATCATAGACCGCTGAGAATTGTCAGGTCTAGTTGCTCGTGTGCATTATAGATTGGGTGACTGGACTTGACTGATAGACTTTTGCAGGTGGCTGCATCTGAAGCGGGTGGGATTACACAAGGAATTGGGGCATATAAGGTGCTAGTACCTGTGGATGGTAAATTGCAACCCTGTATTTTCCTGGATACTCCTGGGCATGAGGTAATTTTGCTGCCAATATTCACCAGTTTATGATGTTCTGAACTTTAGGCTTATGATTGTAGTGAGGGTATAGTTGGCAGGATCAATCTCTATTATGTTAATTTCCTGATCTAACTTCAATTACATTCTGTCTTACAGGCATTTGGAGCAATGAGGGCTCGTGGAGCGAGAGTGACGGATATTGCTATCATTGTAGTGGCTGCTGATGATGGGATCCGGCCTCAAACCAGTGAGGCTATTGCTCACGCCAAAGCAGCTGGAGTGCCAATAGTGATTGCCATAAACAAGGTTTGTCGACTGAAGCAAAACTTATCTGAAGTGTTATAAGAAATAGATGCTTGAAGTAAGAGTATTTAGGATAGCGATAATTTGCTCATCGTGGTGTCTGATCAAGCTCCTCCATCTTTTTCTTGATCAGATTGATAAAGATGGAGCCAGTCCAGAACGGGTAATGCAAGAACTTTCTTCAATTGGCTTGATGCCAGAAGATTGGGGTGGCGACATCCCTATGGTTCAGGTCCACCCTTTTCTCTGGATGGGATCTGTCTTTTCATCTTGTTATGCTAGTTCATGGTTTCTCATAGTGTTATGTGCCATTTCACAGATTAGTGCCCTCAAAGGGGAGAACGTAGATGATTTACTGGAGACCGTCATGCTTGTTGCAGAGGTATATCTAGATTGATGCATTGTACAGTTATTTGTAATGGAGGCAAATTCTCCTTATGGTTTCTTTCCTCGGGGTGGGTTAGCAAACGTTTTTACCCCAATATATTCTCTTATTTAATGCCTGTAATGTTAAAGTAGATCCATCTTTTACTTCTCAGGGTTAACTTTCTGATGGCTTACCTGCTTCTGCTTTGACTCGTGATTTTTTTCTTTTGTCGGGCTAGATACTATAACTCATGATTAAGTGAGCTTTTGGACATTATTTAGCTCCCTTACAACTTCAGAGTAATTCCTTTGATACTTTTATGACATTTAGACTTCTCTTAATACTCTGGCCAATTTTTTTGTGAAACATGTTCTCCTGTGTCCAACAGAGAGTTATTATATGTGTTGCTGTGATTTTATCCTAACCCTAAACACATTTTTCATGCAGTTGCAAGAGCTGAAGGCCAATCCTCATAGAAATGCGAAGGGCACTGTAATTGAAGCTGGTCTTCATAAATCTAAAGGACCAACAGCTACATTTATTGTGCAAAATGGCACCCTTAGAAGAGGGGATGTTGTGGTCTGTGGAGGAGCTTTTGGAAAGGTTAGAGCATAAAACAAACTCTCAGCAGTTCTGTTAAACTTAATATATGCACAGTGCAACTTGAGAAAACAGTTTCTCAATATTGCATTGTTTAGATTGCTCTGTCGTTTACTAATGTTTGAAATGTTGTTCTGTGGTCAGGTTCGGGCACTATTTGACGACAATGGCAAGCAAGTCCATGAAGCTGGACCCTCCATCCCTGTACAGGTTGGTACTTCTTGGACTATGTCGTTATTCCCTTAGGCATAATGATACTTGGGATATGATTTTACAACAACTCCTGGTGACATCAGTTGATGGGGGTTCTACCTAATTTTAGCCTTAATTTTAATTTATCATCCACTGAGAAATCATTGACATGGTCTTGCTGCGCTTGATGAACATCTTTAAAATTTCCTTAGGCAAATACTTTAGCAGATGTTGCCTTGGCAATGCTATATGCGAATATACTTTCTCGTTCGTGAGTCTGGAAGTTTGTGTGATGGCATACTCAGTACTTGGCCAATGTGCATTTTCTTTTTAACCTGTATGAGGTCTTAATCCAAATATTCCTGTATTGAGAATTTCTCCAATAGTTTAATATCTGTAACGCATATTTTTTGGTCGAAGCATATCTGTAACACATGAAAAGCCCTTAAGTCTCGGATATGTCAACAGGTTAAGCAGTGCGAAAAATATTTACCTTCCCTACATGCAGTTGGAGTTAAAATTAGTTTATGGCATGTTTATGTTATGATCTGTCACACATGATGCTACGTCACAATGCTTATGATGTAGCGGGAATCATCCCCTGACATTTTTCTCATATATTATCCATGTTTTGAGAAGTCAATATCATTTAGAATGAAAAAGGAAATTAGAATCCTTTCTTCTTAAGCAACCACATGCTCTGACTACTAGCACACATTTGTTGCATGATCTAGTGAGAAGCGGAGATGATCTTATTCCCTTCGATAACCTAGACTAAAATTGTGCCCATGTAGGTTATAATGATATTGTTCATTTTTCATATCTTGTGATCCTTAAATTCTACACTGCACCACATATAACTTGCTGGTTGTGATATAATCATGGCAGGTAATTGGACTGAATAACGTTCCAATTGCTGGTGATGAGTTTGAGGTTGTTGGGTCCCTTGATATGGCACGGGAAAAGGCAGAAACGCGTGTAGATTCTTTGCGAAATGAACGTATTTCGGCTAAGGCTGGTGATGGGAAGGTCACACTTTCTTCTTTAGCTTCTGCAGTTTCATCAGGAAAGCTTTCTGGTCTGGACTTGCACCAGCTGAATATTATCATGAAGGTTGATGTTCAGGTATGCACGTAACGTGCTTCAGATTCATGCATTGGAGGGTGGTTTGCGGGGTTATTTTGTTTTTCATGTTATATTTTAGGGCAAAAGCCACCAAAAATCCTAAACTATGCTCACTGTGACACATTTACCCTAAACTTTTTTTCGTGACACCAAAAATCCCAAACTTGTACTTGTACGAGACATTTACCCTTTGTCGAAGTTCTGTCAATGAGAATTGTTAAAAATCTGTTTACATGCATGCTAGAAAGCAAACAGTGTTGACATGGCACTCACGTGGCCTAAGTGAAATAAAAAGAAAAAAAAACGTTGTTTTGGCTGAAAAATCATTTAACGAAATCTTGACGGAGGTTAAATATGTCACATAGATATAAGTTTGGGCACACGAAAAAGTTTAGGGTAAATGTGTCACGGTGGGCATAGTTTGGGTTTTTGATGTCACAAAAAGTTCATGGTAAATGTATTGTTGTGGATATAGTTTGGGGTTTTCTGTGGCTTTTTCCCTATATCTTCTTCTTAGTTTTTGTGGAACTGAAAGATCTTTATCATGCCCAGGGATCCATCGAGGCCATAAGACAAGCCTTGCAAGTGCTTCCACAAGTTAATGTCACTTTAAAGTTTCTCTTGCAAGCGCCCGGGGATATTAGTGCTAGTGACGTTGATCTTGCAGTTGCTAGTAAAGCCATAATTGTCGGATTCAATGTTAAAGCACCCGGTTCGGTAAAGAGCTATGCAGACAACAAAGGTGTTGAGATTCGTCTCTATAGAGTAATCTATGAACTCATTGACGACATACGTAATGCAATGGAAGGACTTCTTGAGCCAGTGGAGGTTAATTTCTAAAACACACTTTTGAAACTTCCTCTATCTGAGGCTGTGGCATTATCTTGTATCACTTGATTTTGACTTGATTGACTCTGCATATCTGCTCCTACCTGAGAGACCACTTAGCAGTGCTCAGAGTGATATGGTGTTTGAGATGCTTCTTAGAATAGAGTCTCTGTCTTGATAACCGGGCATCAGCCACACTGGAACACTACTATTGTTAATTGGAGCTCAAGTCTAGCTAACACTGCCAAAGCTACATGATTTTCTTTCTCCAAAAATCCTTGTAGAGATACCTAATAATGACTTCTACACCTGTACAATTCCAGTTGATAGTTGCTGATGCTGAGTCCAATTGGGTTCCTCAGTCGGGAACTATCGCTTTTACTCTTAATATTGATGGAATATCTGTTTTGGATTATTTACTCTGTGTTCTTTCTTTAATAATCGTAGGAACAAGAAACAATTGGTTCTGCTGAAGTGCGAGCAATATTTAGCAGTGGCAGTGGTCGGGTTGCTGGATGCATGGTTACAGAGGGGAAGCTGGTGAAGGCCTGTGGTATACGAGTTGTTCGAAAAGGGAAAACTGCATATGTTGGTATTCTGGATTCTTTGAGACGGGTCAGGGAAATTGTGAAAGAGGTATAGCTAAAAGATGTCTTTGATTGGACCTTTTTGCTAAGTCATATCTTGCTTTATGTCATGATAGTGTGACTCTTGGCACATTTTTATGCATGACTTTCTATGTTGTCTACGTGCTCTTTCACGAACTCTGCTGGAATCAGACTTACCTTTTAGTTGAAACAAGCTTCGTGTATAGAATGTTTATCATTTTCTTGATGGAAGGCATGCATCGTTGCTTTAATGTGAGGAATAGAGGGTAAGATACAATTTGAAAAATTATATCTACTACTGAATCATGACGAAAAACAACAGTTGAGCTCATCAAGTATATATTCAACTATTATTCAATTATGCTGATATTTCAAGTTATAGGTTTTGATGTACTGGAAAAAGAATCTTGTTCATAAAGATTTATATTTAGACACTTGTATGCATCCTGCAGTATGAGGGGAGAGGAAGGCTGAGCAAAGTAATGTTAGCTTATTGTCCGAGCATGACAATTGTTTGGTTCTCGTTGTGTTGCCTTATCCTTCGATGGATTAGTTATCTTTGTGTTTTCACTCTTGGCATCCTTTTGCTGTTAATATATTTCGTGACCATCATCAAATTATGTTGTTACCCTCGATTTGACTGTTTCCTCTGAGAGTAAAAGTGTCCAACCCTTACTCCCCAGAAGAGTTGCTACGCTCAACAGCAATTCATTCACTGAAGTTAGAACTCTTATTTAGTGGCCATCTGGTTTTGTCTCGTCTCTTATTTGTCATGCATAGGACTGAATGTTGTGTAATTATGATCACTTTGTTGTATAGGTTGGTGCGGGACTAGAATGTGGTATTGGGATGGAAGACTATGATGATTGGGAGGAGGGAGATGTTCTGGAGGCCTTTAACACAGTTGAGAAGAGACGGACCCTTGAAGAAGCATCTGCTTCAATGACAGCTGCTTTGGAAGAAGTTGGAATCAAATTATAGGAAGGAACATGCACACTGTTGTACAAGTTGTTGCTATGCATCATGTTACAGGATATCGCCAGGAAATTGCCCTTGCCATTATGTAGGGTCAAGGCTTTCTGGCCCAAATTCCATCTGTAGAGAACAGACATTTGGTCGACCGTATTTACGTAATTCAAGGTGGAAGCATGGAAGGCCTTGGGCAGACTCAGCTTCTCAGATACGATTTTTAGCTTTTGGCAATCCGGAGGAGGAGGTTTCAGCAACAGGGTCCAGCCAATTGGAATGGGTTTCTTCCCTTTAACCAAATCAACATTTTTGTCGGGCCGCTAGCCTGGTTTAACTTGTAAAAATGTTACATTATCATGAGATCTGTATCATTGTTTCTATGTCGACAAGCACTGTCCAAACGATGCGACGTAATTTCTCTTCTGATAGATTAAATCTGGAGGAAAGTCATTTATTAAGTCATTTTCCAAATACCAAATGTTCTTTTTGTTCTTCGAGTGGTCTGTTATAACAATTTCTGAAAATGCAGTCCATTCTAAATTCTCTGCTTTTCCTCTGCACTGTAATTGCTCACTCTCGGAAAGTTGGCACAATGTTTTATGGAGTAACCGTCTGCGCTGGATTCATCAGCTGACTGTTGTTTGATCTGGTGCCTTTATACTCTTTGTATGTGATATGTACAGGGCTCTATTGTAGTGTCAACTGCATCCCGTGAGTCCACAATCCACATCAAGAACCGAGCATCCGGCTAGTCACTCTCCACTCTTCTAATTATGATTGGGATCGCAGTTAAGTAGTCACTTTAACCATATTATTGACCTGTCACTGTGTTTGAAAAAGGGTATAAAAAGTCATTCCCAGGAACGTTGTTTAAGTGAGGACTAGGAGCATGTGCACGAGTACAGATCTTGAAATCAGTCTACAACTGCTACTGCATGCACAATTTAATTATATTTCTATATGCATATGCATGTGGCCTTTTGCAAGATTTTTTTAATAGGTCTTAAAAAAATATCAATTTTTTTTCTTAATCCACTTGTAAATGGGACTCTTAAGGAGAAGAAAAAAGAGTAACTTAGCTATGAGGAAAATAATATAGTCCACCAAAATGAAGTGTCCAATCCAACTTTAAAATGTGAAGTATAATGCCAAAAAAATCCCTCAACGAACCTCTAATTGATTGTATCGATGTGAAAGTAAGTTAGTATGAGCATCAAATTTATGTAGGTAAAAAGATGTAAAAATGGATCGTATTTCATTTTAAAGGAAATTGAAAATGATAACAAGAGAGAAAACACATGAAAGAATTTCCTCTAATTAACCCAAACCAAACAGACTTGGAAGGAGACAAGTACCAACAAGTTGGAACTTCAAAACCCTCTTTTTCAGAATAGAGTATAGATTTCTCTACTCATACAGTCTGACGACTTTATAAAGGCCAGGCTTTTGATGAACAGTCCTTCAAATCCGGTCACTACGACCTATCTCAGATCTCATTTTTAGACTAACTAATAAGATTTATTGAAATGTGTTGTCGCATTGTTTTTACGGAAGTTGCCACATTATTTACTGTTGTTGTTTGGTTGTACAATAGCTCACCTCTAAAGTCAGTTTCATGTAATAATTAGATTATTGAGAAACTAAATAAACTTTTACTAGGTTGTATTTAGCTGTTCACATATGTTTTATGGTTTATATCTAATTTCATAGTTTCTTATTTTTTAATTAAGCGAGTGGCACAAGCGCAGAGGCAGGCCTGGCCTGGATATCTATAAGCTCATGGTTAAGCCTGACCTTCGATCTACACAAACGTTCCTAATATTGAACAGTTTGCATCAACAACAGATTGATGATGTAAAAGATTATCAAATTTTCATTAGATTATTTTCAAAGCGATGGGGGAGAGAGAACCTGGAACAAAGCCATTGAGAGTCGATGAAGAAGAGCTAAATCTCCAGCGAAGATGTTGAGCGTTGGTGAACAAGAGTGAACGTTGGAGAAGGTGGAGAAGACGAACAAAGAGCAAACAAAGAGCGCACTGAGCCTCGGGGAAGAAAATGAAAAAGAGTATCCATTAAGAGATTTTTTTTGCTTCGAAAAATTGTCTAAATTGTCATAGTGTACTTAGATAAAGGTAGAACACTTATCGCATGCTTCACATGCCAGTACTGTTGGTTGAGTTTTGTCATGGATAGTACTAAATTTGATCTATCACATGCAATCAAGATAATATTTATGGTTAATCCATGTGTACATTGTGATGCTTTGAAGTAAATTAACCTGGTTTCATTTGGGATGGCAGACATTGGAGTATATATCGAAGGATGCAGTTCAAGTAGTATGGTGGAAGGATGGTTGAAATCTGAGCAGCTATGCCTTTACTTTTGTCAATTAGGCCATGAGTTGGAATGCATTGTTAAGAGATTCAATGGTTTCATCGATGACTAATTAAGGCGATAACGGAAGGGGCTGAAGAGGTGGTGTTGACTTGGTTAGTGATGTTGGCATGGGATATTAGGTTGATGCGGTGTACAGTGAAAGCCAGAGATATCGCTGAAGAATCAAGTTCATTGATGATCGATATTTCTACATTAGATATCGAATGTTAGGTAAGCATATGACTGTGAAGTAGCTTCTTGCAGCGGAGAATCCTACGGACATGTGGACTTAGTTAGTTCTTTGGACAAGTTTGAGCTTCATTTGGGCTTGATAGATGTCTATGATAGTTGATCTATGATAGTTGAGAGCCTCTTGGGGCATTGATAGAGTCAAGATGAAATAGGAGCACTATGACTTGGTTCAATTATCGAGCCAAAATGGAGATTGTTGAGAATAAGTTTTGAGTTTGAACTTGTGAGCGAAACCCGATTTGAAGCCTAGTCATGTGATTTAAATTAGTAAAGTCTTCATTGGACTTTCAGTGACCAAACATGGGTTTCCTATTGGAGTTGGATTTTTTGTTTGAGTCGGCTAAAATGGGTTTCCTATTTTGGATACAAATATATTTGAGATGGATTTTTTGGTTTAGCACACAAGAGCAAACAAGAGTGTTAATATTTTTTCTATAAGTATTTTGAATGAGTTCTCTTAAGAAATTGCGAGATAACACTTATAAGTTTGCTTTGGGTGTAATACAGGGCTGAGAAACACTTAAGCGATTGAGCGATTACAAACACTGTATTTTCTGAATTCATTGTGAATTTTTTTTTTGCGGTTGGTTCTTCCCGTGAAATAGGTACCGGCATTTGGATCTAACCACATAAATCTCTCGTATCCTTATCATTTCTCTATAAATTTGTTTTTCTCGTGTTAGACTTGAATTACAAGATCCGTTAACTTCCGCATTATTTCACAATACTATCCCTCTCATTTTGCCGGTTGAGATTGGTCTTCCTGTATTTATGTTTCTATTTTTTGATGACCTTTTTATCCATTTGAAGAAGACGGTCTTGGTGTTAAAGAATGCATGGATCCTCGTTAAATTAAGATTAAAATTAATGATTATAAAAGCAGAAGTTTCATTGATATAGAAAATCGTGTGTAATTGTGTGTTTGCGTGAGCTAAGCTAAGAAAGCGTCTTAAATAGCCGGCGCATCCAGGGTCATCAAGAAGTGAGGAGACGTTTAATATTTCAAACACTAATATTTATGTTAATGAGAAACGAGTATTTTAGGAAAATGTGATTGGCCAGTTATTATTCGTACAAAATACTTCCTGTAGTTCCAAGAAGATGAGACTAAAGTCTTGAAAATATGCTGAGAAACGACGAGTCGTAAATGGCGTCCGTGACCGTAAATAAAATATATTCCCGGAAAAAGAGTGCGCCCATGCTTGAGTTTTGCCGTAACGTTCTTGTTTTGCTTACAAATATGGCTCAGCTCTCCTTGTGTCGAGTGCTCGCTCAACAGTCACTATTCTTCACTCCTTAACTCATCGTTATTGCTCTGCTTCGATTCTCAAGGATCACACACCCGCCTTGGAAGCAATGGCCGATGAAGTGACCCTCCTGGACTTCTGGCCGAGCATGTTCGGGATGAGGTGCCGAGTAGCGCTGACCGAGAAAGGGGTTGAGTGCGAGTACAAGGACGAGGACTTATGGAACAAGAGCGAGCTCCTCCTTCAGATGAACCCAGTCCACAAGAAAATACCCGTCCTTGTCCACAACGGCAAGCCGGTGTGCGAGTCCCTCATCATTGTGGAGTACATAGACGAGACCTGGAGTCACAAGGCCCCTCTCTTGTCATCCGACCCTTATGATCGAGCCCGAGCCAGATTCTGGGCTGATTTCGCCGACACGAAGGTTTTATTTTCTCTGATTTTATCTTCATGTACATTTGTTAGTGATTCTTCGATCGGTGGTATTAATGTGATTTTTTGATGGAGCAATCATTTTTCGCTATTTAGATCTCATGCTGTATGCGAAAAAAGATCACCTGAGCTCACATATGGCTTGGTGCTTAAATTGTCATCATCAATTCACCATCATCTAGTCTTTGTATGGCTTTTAATTTAATATGTACTGAAATTATCAAGTACGAAGTGTAAGCAAAATGACACTATCTACATGGACTATAAACAGATTGTCCAGCCGAATTCTTGTAATATATTAAGTGATGTTGCACAAATAATATTGCAGCACGAAGTGCAATTACTAATAGTCAGTTTATGATGATTCTAATGATTCTCTTTTGTCTGGCACTGATCAACAATTTTGCAGTTCTTCGATCTAGGGATGAAGGTGTTGATGACGAAAGGGGAAGAACAAGAGGCTGCAAACAAGGGGTTCATCGAAAGCCTGCAACGATTAGAAAGTGAGCTTGGAGACGAGCCTTTCTTCAGGGGCAGTAAGTTTGGGTTCTTGGACATAGTGTTCATTAGCGTCTACTGCTTGTTCTACTCCTACGAAACGTGTGGCAACTTCAGCATCGAAGCGGAGTGTCCGAAGCTCGTTGTGTGGGCCAAGAGGTGCATGGAGAAGGAGAGCGTATCCAAATCTCTCCCTGACCCTCGAGAGGTGTATGGCATCATCTTGGAGCGCAGGAAAGCAGTGGGCATAGAGTAGAGGACTGTGCTACTGCTTTTGCTATTTCCTGTTTGCAACTGTTGGAATTTGCTATCCTTGTTAGTGATGCTGTTGTACACTTAAGGGGCTTCTTTGTTTTCTGAAGTTGTGTTCTGAGAAGACACTTCGTTGTGTCTACTCTTCATCTTGTACTACTAGACGATCATGTCGCATAAAAGTCAGGCATACTAGCTCATATCATGCTGAGGTAGTAATTATCCTGTGATGTGAAGTTCTGGTCAGGTCATGAGTACATTTCAGGTTTGTGGATGTTCTTCAAAATCCTTCCCACGTTTTTTTTTTCTTTTGTGTTTGGAGAATAATGGACTGCGCTTTGCATGCTCATCAGAGCTGAAGAGGCTGGGGAAGAACGAGGCCTACTCTTTGTAACTGTCCTTAGTCCTGAACTACTTCAGGTTTCCCCCTTTGGGGAGTGACTTTTTCAGATACTCTTAGACCAGTTATAACCATCAATCTCATATCTTAATCAGTCCGAACACTTGGTTGTTGGGCAATTGATGATTGTCATTGGCATTGAAAGTGCTTAAAATATTTCAGGAGTCAGGACACTACTCACTCCTCCCTGTCACTAGCTGCAGTTGAGGGGGAATACAACATATCAATAAGAAAAGAAAGATGGACCTAAGGTCCGTACGACACGACATGAGTTAGTAAAGATTCCTAAACAGATGCTTTATTGATACATCTTAACTGCTCGAGCCGACCACTGGCCAGAAAGACCCTGTTATTTACATCAAAATCAGAAAGACAAACAAAATCGGGTTACTAAAATCTGTCCCTGGTTGTTGGCATTGACGTCATATTGTGTGAGCCGACACGGCTCCCACAGAGGTGCAGATGACCAATAACATGGCCTGCACGACCTACTTGCTTACTCTTTAACAACGGTTTCGCAATCTGTATTAGTTAGCATTATGAGGAGGAAGATACATTGGAAGCAGAAGAGTAGGAGTTTCCAGATTATCAATCTCTTCCTCCGCAATCGCTCAAGCAATTGAATCAGCGGCTGACACCTTATGGCTGAGACAAGTTTGCTCGGTGCAAATTTGACTGCAAATCTCATGGCTTGCGGCTTGTCCATATTCTTTGAAGGGTTGAATATGAACTGGTGTCCCAAAAAATGATCAGACTCGTGAACCAAATATAGAGGGGAGGGTGTGGTGATCGCTATCAAGAGCATTAAAAAGTGGAGTAGCCGTATACGCCCCCCTTACTTTTTGCATTAATTCACATTGAATTGATAGAGCTTGTCTTGTATTTGATATTGTGTCTTCCTTTATTATGTCCATAATATAAGTCTACAAGTAATGCACAACAAGAAGACCTTTCAACTTCCCTGTCGCTATCCTTCTTTGCCGACCAAAACAAGAAGGCTGAGTAGTGTTGAGCGAGCGAGTAGGTTCCCCTTGTTTTTTTTTGGGTGATATTTCGTGATCTTTCCTCTGCTCTAGAGACTCGTATCTTTCTGCAAAAAGTGTGCTATCACATCGAAATGCATTGCCAACACACGTAAATTGCGAAGCCCAAACAAGAACTGTGTGGATACGCGGTCACATTCTAAGGACATGCAGTAGGGTGTGGTTTTCATCGAACTGGAAGTAATTGTCCATCCAAACGATAAAAAATCATCAAATAAATCGAGTGCACACAATATGGATCTATTGAATTTTAAGGGCTCTCGTGTATGAAGTAGATGAATATGAATCTCACTAAGTTTGGCAGTATGGATGAATTTCATTGCATGAAAAGATATCCACAGTGAATTTGATTAGATCTTGGCTGCAATTGAAGCAAGAAAACCAAAAGCCTCAACTTAAAGTAAAAACTCTAAAGGCCAAGTTAAAATCATTATATATTGCTCGATGTTTCTCGCATGTATCGTTCCCTGATGCAGGCAATAGTTGCTTCATGTGGAGATGGTTTCACAGAAACATCCAAGACAAAAGAACAAAACCGAATCCTACTATATCGCATCGCTCATCAGGTCCCAAATGACAATTATCTGTCATTTAACTACCATCACTGTGCTCCAAATTTCATCCTCTTCCATATTGAAGGGATCGCCCTTGTGCCGCGAGATGACCGAGGCAGCATATGCGGTCTGCGATCGTTCATAACCTCATCCCAAACCTCTGCCGTTTGCTTCTGAAAAGGTTGGCTTGACTGAATCGCAATGGCCGGCGACGACGAGGTAATCCTAATCCTGCTTGGGTTTTGGGCAACAGCTCTCCTCTAAAGTCAGTTCCATGTGATAATTAGGTTCTTGAGAGACTAAAAAAACTTTTGCTAGGTCACCACCTCCAGCTATTTACATATTTTTCACGGTTTTTATTAGGACAAGGACACTAAAAGTGCCAAAAGTTATGTACGGCACTCACTTTAGTGTCAAAAGTTTTTTTCGAATCACTTAAGTGTTACTTTAAAAAAAAAAACGATCACTGAAGTGTCAATTCTGATTCGGGTCGCCAAAAAATCCGACATCGTAATATTTTATTAATTTCTTAGTCCTACGTGGCTCGCCGGCGTGCCCAGTTAGCATATAATCCATAAACGACGTTGTCTAAAAGTTGTAAATGATGATCGTTTAAGTACCAAATTTTGTTTAAATTGATCACTTCAGTGCCAGTCATTGTTAAAAAATGATTATTTCAATGCCAGTCGAATTGTATTGGATGTCCACGTGGACTAGATTTTTTTAAAAAATTTTATTGTAAATGCCACGTAATCAATTTAGTCGAAATTGACATTTAAGTGATTGTTTTTTCTCCGATTTTGTACTAAAGTGATCCAAAAAAAAATTTTGGCACTAAAATGAGCGCTGTACATAACTTTTGACATTTCTAGTGTTCTTCTGCCGTTTATATCTAATACTACATCTCTTACTGTTTTTTTTTAATAATCGAAGGGCACAAGTAAAATTTTTTTTTAAGTAATGTAGTTGCATTTCCATTGATTTTCTAACATCAATTTTCTATTTAGTGCATATTCTCGATTTACAATCTCACTTATTCTAATTTTGCATATGAATCTTCATATATTTGTAAAATTTTGAACTCAAGACCTTTTATGGAACAACAACCGAAAAAGTTTAAGCTATTGGATGAAACTATCATTTATTATTTAAATATTCTTAATGATAGTTAGTATTCTTCCTTTACAAAATCGGTATAATATATTACAACGTGATATTCTATATATGAGTATTTAATTTTAAAAAATTAACCAATTGTGAACTTAGAAAAGAAAAAACTAGTAATAATGCTATATGTAGTAAAACTTTTTCCTAAAATATATTTACTACATGATGCTGTAAAATTTTTATTGGTTATTTATATAGAGTTATCAATAATACATATCATTTAACAAACATATTCACGAACCGAAGCGCTTGAGAGTCGTGATTGCTCTACTTCTCAAGATGGGTGGTGACCGGAAGCAATGGTGGACGATGTGATCCTCGTGGACTTCTGGCCAAAGCATATTCAGGATGGTGCAGGATGAAGCAGACTGAGAAAGGGGTCAAATACGAGTCTGAGGAAGAGGACCTGTGGAATAAGAGCGATCTTCTCCTTCATATGAACCCCATCCATAAGAAGATGTTAATATATTTAAATATTAAATTACGTTTTCATATAACAGTTTAAGATTTTAGAGCAGTCCACAGTAGTCTTACCAAATCTCACATGGGATGAACCGCCGGTTGTGGTGGCCTCCCTGATGTCTCACAAACCTGATGCGCTCCCGCTTGCAGTAGCTGAGTTCTAACAGCTTGTGGTAGTTGTGCCTGCAAATTAAGATTGAAATGGGTGACTAAAAATGCATGTACCCTTGTTAAATTAAAGATTGAAATTCATGATGATTCAAATAGAAGTTTCAGTGACATAGAAAACCATGTGCATCTGTGTGTTTTGCGTAAGAAAGCGTCTTATACAGCCGGCGCATTCCGTGTCGTCAAAAAATGAGGAAATGTATCAAATTACAAATTGCTTCCTCTAGTTGCAAGGAGATATGCTGAGAAACGACATGTCCTATGTGCCGTCCGCGACCCTAAGAAGTACCCCCACCAAAAGAGTGCGCCAATATTTCAGAGTTCGGGAGTAACGTTCTTGTTTTGTCCGTAAATATTACTCAGGTCTCTTGGGTCGACCGCCTGCTCAACTGTATATAGTGTTCGGTGTTCACCCCTTAACACTTCGATAATCCTCTTCTTCGATTCTCAAGGGCCAAACACACGACTTTGAAAGGAAATGGCCGATGAAGTGACCCTCCTGGACTTCTGGCCGAGCATGTACGGGATGAGGTGCCGAGCAGCGCTGGCCGAGAAAGGGGTCGAGTATGAGTTTAAGGAGGAGGACTTGACGTCTGACAAGAGCGAGCTCCTCCTTCAGATGAACCCGGTTCACAAGAAAATACCCGTCCTCATCCACAACGGCAATCCTGTCTGCGAGTCCCTCATCATCGTGGAGTACATCGATGAGACCTGGAGCCACAAGGCCCCTCTCTTGCCGTCCGATCCGTACGAGCGAGCCCAAGCCAGATTCTGGGCTGATTTCGTCGACAAGAAGGTATTAGTTCCTCTGTTTTTATAGTTGTCTAATTCGTTAATGATTCTTCAATCTGTTGACATTTGCGCGCCTTTATAATGGAGCGATCATTTTAAGCTCTTTAGATCTCATGCTGAATGCGAAAAAAGATCTTCTGGTCTCGCCTATGGCTCGGTGCTTAACTATTCATCATCAATTCTCCATCGTTTAGTCTTTGTATGGCTTTTCATTTAATATGTACTGAAATTAACAAATAGAACCGTATGGGCTAGAAAGGGTTGGACGGCGGAATTCTTCTAATAAATTCGACACATGTTGGAAGTTGATGATGTTGCACAGGTAACATTGCAGCACGAATTGCTAATACTAATTAATAGTCTGCTTGTGATGATTCTAATGATTCTTTCCGATCCGGTACCATTATGAAGCAAATTATAAAAATCAACAATTTTGCAGGTCTATGATCTCGGGAGGAAGTTGTGGATGAGGAAAGGGGAAGAACAGGATGCGGCGAAGAAGGAATTCATCGAATGCCTGAAAATAGTAAAAAGTGAGCTCGGAGACAAGGCTTTCTTCGGGGGCAAGAAGTTCGGGTTCCTGGACATAGCGATCATCGGCTTAAACTGCTGGTTCTACACCTACGAGACGTGTGGGAACTTCAGCATCCAAGCTGAATGCCCCAAGCTCGTTGCGTGGGGCAAGAGATGCATGGAGAAGGAGAGCTTGGCCAAAACTCTCCCCGACCCACGAAAGCTGTGTGCCTTCATCTTGGAGTGCAAGAAAGCGATGGGCATAGAGTAGGGGACTATGCTTCCGCTTTTGCTAGACCCTGTTTCTTCCCGCATTGTGGTGGTCGGAATTTACTTTCTTTGTTGGTGATCCTGTGCTCGTAAGGGACTTCTTTGTCTTTCCTAAAGTTCTGTAATCTGGGAGGACACTTGGTCGTTTATTCTTCATCTTGAACTACTAGGCGATCATGTCACATAGAAATAAGGCATGCTAGCTGATGTTATGCTGAAATAATGTAAGGTTCTGGTCAGGTCATGAGTACATTTCAGGTTTTCGGATGTTCTTCGAAATCCTTCCCAAGTTTCAATTTTTTCTTCGAGAATTATGGACTGCGATTTGCATACCTATCGGAGCTGAAAAAGCAGTGGAAGGAAGAAGCCTTCTCTTAACTGCCTTTAGTGCGGAACTACTTTATGTTCTCCATCTTGTGAAGCGACTATTTCAGATCCTCTTCGACCAGTTATAACCATCAATCTCATTACTTAATCAGTCCGAAGGCTTGATTGTTATGCAACTGATTATTGTAATTGGCATTGAAAGTGCCTGAACAATTTCAGGAGTCCGGACACATTACTCACTCCTCCCCTTCTCCCCCGTTAGAGCTATCATTATTTGGTGACCTTTTTATCCTTTTGAAGAAGTCGGTCTTGGTGATTTAAAAATACATGGATCCTCGTTAAATTAAGATTAAAATTAATGATTGTAAAAGTAGAAGTTTCATTGATATAGAGAATCGGGTGTAATTGTGTGTTTTCAAGAGCCAAGCTAAGAAAGCGTCCTATATAGCCGCCGCATTCCGGGTCATCAAGAAGCGAGGAAATGTTTAATATTTCAAACACTAATATTTAATTTAATGAGAAATGAGTATTTCAGGAAAATGTGATTGACCAGTTATTATTCGCACAAAATACTTACTATAGTTCCAAGAAGATGAGACTTAAGCCTTGGAAATATGCTGAGAAACGACCAGTTCTTAATGCCGTCCGTGACCATAAATGACATATTCCCAGAAAAACAGTGCGCCAATGCTTTTGAGTTTTGACGTAACGTTCTTATTTTGCTTACAAGTATTACTCCGCTCTCGTGCGTCGAGTGCTTGCTCAACGGTCACTGTTATTCGCACCTTAACACTTCGATATTACTCTGCTTCGATTCTCAAGGGTCACACGCACGACTTTGATGGCACTGGCCGATGAAGCGACCCTCCTGGACTTCTGGCTGAGCATGTTCGGGATGAGGTGCCGAATAGCGCTGGCCGAGAAAGGGGTCGAGTACGAGTACAAGGAGGAGGACGTGGGGAACAAGAGTGAGCTCCTCCTTCAGATGAACCCTGTCCACAAGAAAATCCCTGTCTTCATCCACAATGGCAAGCCCGTGTGCGAGTCCCTCGTCATGGTGGAGTACATCAATGAGACCTGCAGCCACCAGGCCCCTCTCTTGCCATCCAATCCTTACGAGCGAGACCGAGCCAGATTCTGGGCTGATTTCATCGGCAAGAAGGTATTCGTTCCTCTGTTTTTATCCTTGTGTACGTTCGTTAATGATTCTTTGATCCGGTTACATTTATGTGCTCTTTTTATTGGAGCAATCATTTTTATCTATTTGGATCTCATGTTCAATGTGAAAAAAGATAATCTGATCTTGCATATGGCTCGGTGCTTAAATCGTCATCATCAACTCACCATCATTTAGTCTTTGTATTGCTTTTCATTATACATGTACTGAAATTAACAAACACCAACTGTAAGCAAAATGTCACCCTCAACATGAACTAGATGGTTGGACATCCGAATTCTTGTAATAACTAATAAGTTTGACAAATGTTGGAAGCTGGTGACATTTCACAAATTATAACGAAGCACGAAGTACTAATACTAAGGCTCCGTTCGTTTGGCGGAAAATATTCTCCTTTTGGAAAATATTTTCCCGGAAGTCATTTTCCTGGAAAATATTTTCCGGAACATAATTTTCCGGTGTTTGGCGACCAATATGAAAAAGTTTCGGAAAATATTTTTCGCCGGCGACCGGGCGGTGGCGCGGTGGGCGCGGCGGCGTCCGGGCGGCGGCGTCCGGCGGCCAGCGACCGTGGCGGGCGGCCGGCGCCGGCGCGGCGGCGGCCGGCGACCGACGACCAACGTCCGGCCTCCGGTGGCGGCTGTGGCGGCGGGTGGCCGGCAACCGGCGGCGGCGGCGGCGGCCGGCGACCTTAGTGAAGAAGAAGAAGAAGAAGCTCCGGAAAATGATTTCCGCTTTTGAAGAAGCGGAAGTCATTTTCCGTAGACTTAGGCTATTTTGTGAGGGGGGAAGGAAAATATTTTCCCACAGAAAACGTTTTCCGCCCCCCGAACACCGGAAAACCAGGAAAATATTTTCCGGGAGAATATTTTCCGCCAAACGAACGGAGCCTAATAGTCAGCTCGTGATGAATCTATGATCCGTTCTGATCCGCTACCGGTCAACAATTTTGCAGTTCTATGATTCCGGGAAGGAGGTGTCGTTGATGAAAGGGGAAGAACAGGAGGCAGCGAAGATGGAATTCATCGAAAGCCTGAAAATAGTAGAAAGTGAGCTCGGAGACAAGCCCTTTTTCGGGGGCAAGAAGTTCGGGTTCTTGGACATATCGTTCATCGGCTTCTACAGCCATTTCTACTCATATGAGATGTGTGGGAACTTCAGCATCGAAGTGAGTGTCCCAAGCTCGTTGCACGGGCCAAGAGGTGCGTGGAAGAGGAAAGCGTGTCCAAATCTCTCCCAAACCCTCAAAAGGTGTATGGCTTTATCTTGGAGCACAAGAAAGCGATGGGCATAGAGTAGAGGACTGTGCTTCTGCTGTTGCTAGACCCTGATTTCTTCCGTGTGTGGCCGTCAGAATTTGCTATACTTGTTAGTGATCCCGTTTTACTCGTAACGGGCTTCTTTGTTTTCTTGAAGTTCTATAATCTGAGAGGATGCTTCGTTGCGTTTTCGCTTCATCTTGTACTACTAGGTGATCATGTCGCATAGAAGCGAGGCAGACTAGCTCATGTCACGCTGAGGTAGTAATTTTACAAAGGTTCGGCTCAGGTCATGAGTACATTTGAGGTTTCTGATTTTTCTTGGAAATCCTTCCAGTGTTTTTCTTCTTTTGTTTTTCGAGAATTATGGACTGCGATTTGCAACTCATCGGAGCTGAAAAAGCTGTGGAAGTAAGAATCCTATTCTTTGTAACTCTATTTAGTCCCCAACTACTTTAGATTCTCCATCTTGTGGAGCAACTATTTCAGATACTCTTAGACCACTTGTCACCATGAATCTCATTCCATAATCAGGCCTAACACTTGATGATTGTGATCGGTATTGAAAGTGCCTAAGATATTTCAGGAGTCAGACACATTACTTACTCCTCCCACCTCCTAATCCGCGCCCACCACAAGCGCCCTCCCCCCCCCACACACACACACCATAGAGCTGTCGCTGCCGCAGTTGAGAGTAAATACAACAAATACTGCTCTCCATAAGAAAGAGCAGATGAACCTAAGGTCCGGATGAAGACAACGTGATTTAAGAACGATTCCTAAACAAATGTGTTATTGATGCATCTTTACTGCTCTAGCCCACCACTGGCCAGAAAGAAAGCTGCTCTGCCCAACTTATTATCTTCATCAAAATGGACTAACAAAACTTTCTCAACTGGTCCTTGGTTGTTGCCATTGATGTCATATTATATGAGCCAAGACGGCTCCCACAGAGGCGCAGACGACCAACAACATAGCCTGTACGACCGATTTGCTTACTCTTCAACAACAGTTTCGCAGTCTATATAATCAACATTACGAGGAGGAAGATACGCCGAAAGCGGAGTGGTTATAGTCTCCAGACCATCAAACTTCCTTTGCAATCATCTCTAGCAATTAAATCGACGGCAGGCACCTTCTGGCCGAGACGAGTTTGCTCAGTGCGAATTCGACTGCAAATCTGATGGCTTGCGGCTTTGGCCATATCCTTCGTAGGGTTGAATTTGAACTGATGTCCCAAAGAATGATCAAACTCATGAACCAAATATAGAGGGAAGGGTGTGGCGATCACTATCAAGAGCGTCAGAAAGTGGAGCAATCGTAGTCGCCGCCCTTGCCTTTTGCATTAATCCGCACTGGATTGATAGGGCTCGTCTTGTATCTGGTACCGGGTCTTCCTTTCTTACTACCAAAATATAAGTCTATTGGCAACGCACAACTAGACGGTCTTTCAGCTTCACTGTCGCTATCCTTGTTTGCCAACCAAAGCAAGTAAAGGCCGAGCAGCCGCAAGCGAGCGAGTAGGTTCCCCTTTTTTTTTTTTTTTGATTCTTTGTGATTTTACATGCTCTATCCTCTGCTTAAGAGAGCTGTAGTTTTCTGCAAAATGGGCGCTGTCGTTTTTGCAAAGCATTGCTGATACGTCAATCGCGAAACCCATCAAGAACTCTCTGGTTTTCGTCGAACAGAAAGTTGTTCTGCATCGACATGATGGGAAAATCATTAAATGGGTCGAGGGCACGCGGCATGAATCTATTGAATCTAAAGGATTCTCGTGTTTAAAGCAGATGAATGCGAATCTCATTTATTTAGTTTCGCGGCGTGGATGAATTTGATTGCATGAAATGTTATCTCGTATTGATGTCGCTGTGGCCCAATTAAAGGTGAATTCGATTAGACGTTTGCCACAATTGAAGTAAGAAAACGAAAAACCTCAACTTTATATAATCATATCTAAACATTAAATATAGTATTTCCCCCAAAACATGCTGAGTCACGTGAGGAAACTTTAATACATAGCAGAAAGGTACAAAATGATACTTTAAAGATGACGATGAATCAACCTTATGGCACTTTTTATTTCAAACAGATGTTCATAAAAGAAGTTCCATGAAAAGTTATGCTTATTGTTAATAATTTTCACAACAAACATAATATGACAACATGACAAAACCACAATATAGTCAAGTAATTACCAACTTGTCGCATAAATATTTTATTTCAAAATTGAATTCTAATCTCCCTTACCTGACAACTATTTAAATTTTT